GGATGAGCGCGGCCGTGTCATCATCGACTCGGAGTACCGAACCAAGATCCCCCACATCCGCTGCATTGGTGACGTTACCTTTGGACCCATGCTTGCCCACAAGGCCGAAGAGGAGGCTGTTGCCGTCGTCGAGTACATGTCAAAGGGCCACGGCCACGTCAACTACGGATGCATCCCCTCTGTCATGTACACCCACCCCGAGGTCGCTTGGGTTGGCCAGTCGGAGCAGGATCTTAAGGCCCAGAATATCCCCTACAAGATCGGCACTTTCCCCTTCAGCGCCAACTCCCGAGCCAAGACCAACCTCGACTCCGATGGTCTCGTCAAGATCCTTGCCGATCCCGAGACTGATCGCCTGCTCGGTGCCCACATTGTTGGACCTGGCGCTGGTGAGATGATTGCCGAGGCTACCCTGGCCCTGGAGTACGGCGCATCCAGCGAGGACATTGCCCGAACCTGCCACGCCCACCCCACGCTTGCCGAGGCTTTCAAGGAGGCTGCCATGGCCACCTATGACAAGGCCATCCACTTCTAAGTCGGGAGGTCGTTGTGGTGTGAAACCGGTATGGCCTTTTGAGTCGAGAGGGGCTGGAGTCAATCGAAGGTTAGGCGTTGGAAGGTCTCTCAAGTCAATAGGTCATGCGTAGTGAGAAAACAAAAGAAATATAGATACGGGATGCAATGAAGCATGTATGCATACCCAGGGCTGCCAAAGGAGGCAAGTGTCTGAGTCAAACTGAATCTATTTGTAGAATCAAGTTGTTCACGGGTTGTATAATTATTACTTATAAATAATAAAGTCAAAAGAAGCAATGTTTATGATTCTCATTAGATGTAAAAACCTTAGCCACCGCTGCTCGTATGAAACCGATTTAATGCAGAGTGTTGGTGGAAAAGAGCAACTTGTTCGAGGTTCAGTCCATATGAAATCATCACTAGATAGAATAAAATGACGAAGGGTAACATGAAAAGTATGATTCTCGTCCATCTCTGCATAGAACTGTCAACCAGAATCTCATAAGCCATCTAAAGCCGTTCATGGTGGCCTATAGCGACAGTAACGATAGTAGAAGAAAATAACGATAGTAGTTGACACGTGAGGGAAACACTTGGCTGTTGATATGAAAGAAAGCAAGGTCTAATTATTATCCCCTAATGCCTATTTATTCCCAATTTGTATTCGCTATAACTCCTTAATATTTATTGCATCCAAAGACTGATATCAATATCTAAAATACTCCTCCTCCACGACGATGCGGCTGTGTTTGCCGAAACTGATTGATTAACCCAAGAACACCAACGTCCGGCTCTTTCGTGTTGGCCATGCTGCTGCTGTTTTCCTTGCTGATGCCCGGCGACGTTTGCCACATAGATTCCCCAAGCATAGCGCCTGCTTCGGAGCTCTCCCCTCCATGCTCTTCTGCAACATCAGCCTCAAAGGGCTCCTCGGGAATTTGGACCGCAGGGTGAGGGTGTGTACCTCGCGACGGACGCGGTTTATATGGCCCTCTACCGCCCACATTTGCGATCGAAGGTTGGTGGCGGGCATCCAATAGCATAGATGCCATAGGTGACGGTTGCGTGATGCTATGCCCACCCCTCGGGAACGCACCCAGCCCAGCTGTGCGGCTCCTATTTCTTCCCGTTTCCACATGCGAAGCCTGCATATCGGCTGCTAATGTGGGTGAATTCAGATTGGGAAACGCAGGGGGAGGATGGAATGGCTGAGTCCCTGGAGGCAGGTGTCCAGGGATGCCAGTTTTCGGATTGATAACATAGTTATCAAGAAAACCGTAGTAAGACGCAGCCATCTTCCCATGTTTTGTTGCATAATAATCCTCGCGGACATCTTTGGCTACGCCTCGACGAGCGGCAGGTTGGCCTGGCCCCCTTTTGAAGTCGAATTCGGCAAATGAACAGACGTAGCCCATACCATCGACATGCACCGTAAACTCTCGGAAGAAATCCACAATCTGGTCACTGCACTTAGGTAGTGACAGCAGTAGCAACAGGGGAGTAGTTATGATGCCTAGGATCTCTTCCAGAAAGATGACGACTTTCATCTTGTAAAGCTCCGAAAACTCCTGTTTAACTTCAAAGCTGTGCAACCTTCCCTGCCAATGATCAGGCATATAGTGAGTATACTCAACAACGTTCCTCAAAGCATACTCTGGATCGAACACTTGCGTTTCTTCTGACACCATTCCACGGGTGATGGCCCAGATGCCTCCAAAGATTCCCAGGTAAAACAAGGCGGTCCGGTCTTTTGTGATTTCAAACGATAGGAACAGTTCCGAGTCGAGTAAAGTGCAAACTGCAAGAATGGCCGTAAGTGCGCCAGACATGAAGGCAATACTCTTGGCGATATCTTCCGTCATGCGCTTGGGAAACTGGTCAATGTATCGGGTTGCGAACGGGAATGACATATGAAGCCTTTCGAAAAAGAGATGGGGAAGCTCGTTGAACTCGCGGAATTTCCACTCAGCAAGTGCGGTGTATTTGCGTGCCGCAGCTAGCTTGGGATCTTTTTGATACTCATTGTAGTACGTGAAGAAATAGACGATAATGACGTACGCGAGGACAATGGGGGCAAAGATGAGATTCAGCAACCCAGCAAAGTAGAATCGTTGCTTCAGCTTTTGACTCAAGACGCCTCTTCTTTCGGCACGTAAGAAATCTTGTTGTACTTGCCCCAATTCGTTAAATGCCATGTCAAGGATGCAGTAGTGGAGATACCACTCCATGGTCTTTGAAAACATCTGACGACCCCGCAGAAACGGGAACGGAAGCGACAAGTTTAGGATATCCTTGTTGATCATGGCGATGAGGTAGTTCTCCTTGCGCATCAGTCGATTGGCGATGTCGTGAGCATCGAGGCGCTCCTTTGACTGAGTGCCGATGAAGCGTCGTAAGTTTTGCGGCATATTGGCCGCTGTCCTAGGATTCTGGTCTCGTAAAGCCATAATTCGACCAACAACGTCCTGCCACGATATTGTCTGCATGTCCTGTTCAGGGATATCAAGAAGGACAACGAAGAATTCACGGATATGGAGTAAGCGGCGGATTTCGAAGAAGTATTGCACGGATTTCCATATAAAGAAGAATGAGTAAAGCCAGATGCCAAAATTCCACAGGCCGGACATCTTCTGGGTGCACTGAGGTACGACGACCTGCTTCAGCGATTGGCTGTGCGGCACCTTGCTGTAGTCAACACATTGCGTCAGAAAGGTGAGCAGCACGGCGACGAATAGAGTTTCTCTGCATCTCCATGTTAGCTCTACCGTTCGATTTCAACCAGGCTAAGAAGAGAGGGAAAAGGAACATGGCTCCCTCCCTCCAGCCTCCTCGAATGCACTTACAATAGTCTCAGGGCATTTGAAGACATGATACACCACATTCCATCGCCTTCATAGTAATTGTAGACATCTCTCATGAAGCTATCGAGATTTGTAATGTTTGCCCATCTCCACAGGGCAGCATTCTTGCGGTCGAATGACGGCCCCGCGTTCAATAGAGATCCGAACGGTGGTGGTGGTTGTGATGCCGCCGCCGCCGGCTGTGCGCTTGGTTTGGGAATGTCGAGTCTAGCTTCGTCAGTGGGCGGTCGCCACTGAGCCCGGCCGTGGCCTGACGAGGGTTCTGGGCTGCGGAAATGCTGCGCTTCTGCTTGATCGAGGGCTGGATTCGCCATGGCCTTGTTGGACTCGACGAGTAGCGAAGCGGGTACGTCGTCGTCCCCGTCGTCATCGTGTTGTGGCCACCTCATCGGGGGGCCTCGGCTGCCGTTGGAGCTTCTGCGAGGGCCCTGGTGAAGGCTGTTTGCTCCTGGCGATAACACGCCGTGGGCATTGTTGTTGCGTCGTGCGGCGGCAAGCGTGGGTGCAGGGATGCTGTCGAAGAGTCGGCTGGAGTCTCCGCGGGCAGGTCCCTGCCCAGGTCCAGCCTCGATATCATAGTCTGGCTCGTCGTCGTCGTTGTCGTAGGACCGTAGCTGTTCGTAAAAAGACCGGCCGCCTTGCGTAGACGCCGTGAGTCGTGAGAAGATCTTGGATGTCATATCGGTATCGGTATCGATATCGAGGCTCGCTCATACAGTTGACTCGGTGACGCACACGCCGACGCAGCTGTTGACCATGTTTTTATGTGGAATCGTCCGATAGATAGGGAGAGAGAACAGGAACAGCACAGGCGATGCACATATCAATGTTGTTGTTGTTGATGCTTCAAGTCAGCTGGTAATAACGACTGTGCTGCCTAGAGTCAGGTGGCTGTTGATGGCTGCTGGAAGCGTCACCGGGTGTCTACATAAGGTACCTAAAAGGTGGATTGTTGATCTACTTGTAGGCGTGCAGGTCCCCCCAGATCTTAGCTAAAGGGAAGCTAGCTGATTATAGAAGGGTGGGTCGCCGTACAACTACTCTCCTTTGTTCTACCATTGTTATTTTGTTCTAGTATTACTACTCTGTTCTGCTGTTGCTACTCTGTTCTACTAATGTTACTTTATTCTAATATCACCACTCTGTTCTATTATCGTTACTTTATTCTACTATTTGCTGATTTGTTCTACTATCAGCTACTTTGTTCTAGTATCGCTACTCTTTCAGGTAGTAGATATGCTAAGTTTTGTGATACAAGATGCTGTATAGACAATTTGACCACTCACAAGTCTATCACGAGAGATGAGGCGCTTGAACAGGCACCTTTGTTTCTCGTCTGGTCGTGTCCTCAATACATTAATCGCCCACTTGGGTTTTTGGCTGCTTTACACAGACTGTATTTGACCATGATCTATTTACTACCTTTTTTTTGTGGAATAGAAATAAGTAATTATAGCTCATAGCTTATTGCTCTGTATAATCTCTATAATTACTATATATTGCAAAAAAAAAAAAATTCTTTACAAGCTATCGTTTCTTTTAATGAAGTACGCTCTGGAAAAGTAAACCAATGTCAGTATACGAGACACCATCTTCGAAAAAAAAGGGGAAACAGAGCTCAACTCACTTGGAAAATTCATAAGCAGACCAGCAAATAGCAGTGCTGGGCATTGTTGTGACAACCCTGGGCCTGACTCCCTTGAAGAAGCCCCTGAAGCCCTCCCTTCTATACAGCAGCTTGCAGCCATCTGAGAAGCCGCTGACATTTCGAACTTGCGGATCCGAGGATGTGCCTCTTGTTTGTAGGATGGTCTTGATGACGTCCATGGGCGTGGTGAGACCAGCGGCAAAGCCACCGGCAACGGCTCCGGCGAGGCAGTGCGTGACAGGGTCATATGACTTCTGCGGGTTCATGGTGGTGGAGATGGATTCGTAGGCGAGGAACTGCAGGGCCGTGAAGGGGACGGTCATGGACAGTGTGGTTGGGTAAGAGATGTAGAAAGCGCCGAGGCCTTCGTTTCGGTAGACGTACTTGGCGCAGTCGACCATGGAACGATACATCTTTCGAGACTCTTGCATCTGCATACGCTGCTTGATGACTGGAGGGGAGTTGACGTTAGTATCCCCGTTCGCTCCTACGGACTCGGGGCAAATAGCACGACGACATACCATCGAATGGGTTCATGAAAGCATCGCTGGCGATTGTAGCTGCGGCACCGCTTGTGGCTATAAAGCACCAGGTTAGCCATGGGCAGGGTACACTTGGGGATCCGAGCAAAAGCGAGGCTTACCAGCAGCAAGAGGGTGGTGGACGCCAACTTGATTGCCGCCCATGGCATGTTTAACGGCTTCGTAGGTCGCAAAGTAAACAGCGTGGGCAGGACCTATGCAAGCACTGAGTTAGCTACAGGGGAAAAGAAGGAGAAGAGAAAAGAAAAAAAAGAACCGCGGCAAAACCGCAAACATGGGGGAAACATACCGGCTCCCACAATAACGCTGGACATGCCGCGCCATAAGCTGAAAACACCTTCGGTCCGCGCGATTTGGAAAGCATTTCGAAGAACGCTGTTGTGTGTTATCGTCCCATGCGGTTGTAGCACTTGCATTCGTGTCTATCGTCGCAAAGTTCCGCGTCAGTACTATAGAGGTTGAAGAAGAGGCTTTCGGCAACAAGGCAATTACCTTGATCGCATCAATGGGGTACATGACGGTGTGTTCCTGGATATTTGTCGTCAGCACATGTCCAGAGAGAATGTGAACAGTGGATCAGTCACTCACAGCAATCCCAGCAAATGCTCCTGCAGCCATGTTCTGCAGTAGCGAGAAGTTTGGTGGAAGGGATTCATAGCTAGACACACAAGCGCAGAAAACAGTCAGTACAAAATTGTTCAGGCTCGGGCTTCTTTCTCCCTCTTGAGTTTTACTTTGTCGCGCATTGCGAGCGCACACAACAAGAAAAATATATATCAAAAGTTCACAAAGGATAAGCATCGCCATGGACATGGGTGGCTGCTCACTCGTAATCCTCATCCTCCTCCACAGGCTTGCCACTTGGCGGCTGGACCATCTCGGCCACAGCGTCAGAAGCTGCGCCAAAAGTCTTTTGATTGATGGCAGCCAGGTTGGCAGATGAAGCGTGCTGAGGCAGCACGACGGCCAGCGTTTATACTGTCGGGGTTCGTCGAGGGCGAGGGTGAGGACGGAGACGGAGAGAGAGGCTGGCGGTCGGTCGGGCGGTCGGCGCTGGGATCGCAACTAAACAAAAGCGTGCGGGCGGGCGAAAGCAGCCGCGGCTACAAGGGCGAGAGAGATGAAAGATGATGCTGGAGCTGAGCTGACTGAGGTGTCCCGTCGAGGGTGCGGAGTCGATTGCAAGCTGAAGCTGAAGCAGAGGCACAGGCGGATCAATGGCAGCTTGAGAGCATTGGGGCACTTTGCGGCAGGTCGAGAGGGCGTGGTTTTTTCTGGCAGTCGACGAGGGAGATGTTTGATCGCGGCCGGCACAGTCTAGATATCCAGAGCGGATCCCCAGTAATCCGGTCTATAAAAATTTCCCACCTCTTCTCCGTTGACGGCCTCGGAGTCCGGGAGGCAATTGCGAGGTGTGCGAGCCCCACCTTTGGGTTTGAGTAGTTCAGCGGCGGAGTAATCCCGGGATATACGTATGTATGTACATTGATAGATACAGCAGCATGTGATGCAACATTTTCGAACCCGGAGCCTCGCCGGTGCATGTGGGAAAAGGGTATAGTTTCTTGTCAAGGTTTTGTTTTGTTTTGTTTTGTTTATTTTGTTTGAGTGAATGCATGTGTGTAGTACCTATGTATTGCATCTATTTGTATTGTACCTTAGTATGTATTTGGCATGGGCAAACGCTACGCCTTGGTGACGATGACGATGACGATGATGACGACGACGAGCATCTATCTATCCATCTCTGTAAGCTCAAAATGAAGGGGAAACAAAAAGCCAAAAACTCCGCTGCTGCTGCTGTTACACCCACTGCTACTCCTGCTTTAGAAACCAAACGGCCCATTGTTGAACTGAAACTTGAACTGCTGCCCGCCGCCGCCGCCGCCTGGTTGCTGGAACGCCCACTGCTGGCCCCCAAACGGTGATCCTTGGAATGGGTTTCCTCTCTCTTGGGAGTTGGGGTCGTCTCCTCTGTCAAACCGGGCGCGCAGTTCGGGGTCGCTCAACACCTCGTACGCCTCATTGATACCCGCCATCTTCTTCTCGGCCCCCTCTTTACTGAGGCCCGACTTCATGGCCTTGTCTGGGTGGAACTGCTTGGACGCCTTGCGGTACGCTGATTTGATCTGTCTCTCATCAGCATCGTGGGCAACGCCGAGAACCTTGTAGTAATCCTTTGTCTTGCTCCGCTTGAGTTCAATCTGTGCCTTGTTTAGAAGTGGGTTGATCTTGTCTCTCTTGTCTGGGTGCGCATTGGCGGCGTTTTCCAGCGTCTGAATGGCTGCCTCGAACTCTTCTTTCTTGAGTAACATTTTGGCACGATGCAACTGGCCCCAGAATGATTCTTCATTTAGCTGAACTGCCTCGTCGCAATACTTATCGGCATGCTTGCTAGTTGACTGTGACACATTGTTGTTAGTTTGAATCTTGGTAGCGTCATAGCACATCCACGCAACTTACCTCAACGTAAGCCTGGCAAACCATCTCGACCAGCTGTTCGTACAGCAGCACTCTCCCTTGGGCGGGTATTCTTCCATCTTGGCGTAGCTCGTCCACCTGTTCCTTGACGGTCTGGAGGAGCCCGGTGTCTTCTTCTGTCCCAACCAACCCCCTGCTCGCCGTTGTATACTGTCCCTTGCTCAATTGACCATTTGTCTTGGTAAATGCCTTGGTAATAGCCTTTTGCTGCTTGTGTAATTTTTTGCAGACTTTAGAGTCTGGGTCGGAATGAAGACACTTCCGGATCTGGCCGACGCCAGCGTCGAGATCTCCGAGATTGTAGAACGAAACGGCCGAGATGACGACGTGGGGAGAGATGTCTCCGGGACGCATCTGTAGCACGTGGCGAAGATCGCCAATGGCTTCTTCCAACTCGCCTCGCTCAAAGCGACAGTGGGATCGCGTCTCGCGCAAGGGGATGTACCTGGAGGCGGTAACGATGGCATCCCCTGCATGGTTGACGCATTCCTCCCATCGGCCCTCTTTTTCGGCAGCAAAGGCCAGCTTCATCGACTCCTCCGCCGCCGTCAGACTCTGAACGTCGGGGGAGTCCGACCCTTCGCCGGCCGCAGCGTAATCGGCCCTTGCGCCATCCCACTCGGCGGCCTTGGCCTTGATCTTGGCAAGCTGGACGTGGGCGCCTGAAAACCCAGGTTTGAGCGAGAGCACCTTGTTGAAATCTTCAGTTGCCAGGTTTGCGCGACCGAGCGACAGGTACGTGGTGGCCCGCTTGAAGAATGACAGGTAGTTGGTCGGATCTCGGGCGATGGCCGCATCGAAATAGGCCAAGGCCTCGTTGGTCTCGCCCTTTGTGAGATGCTCCTGAGCTGAAGTCAGGAGAACTGATACGGGCACATCGGTGGGAATGTCTTGCGCCAACACGGCGCCGGCCGATATAAGTGCAGCCGTCACAAGCAGGTTTGGCAGGCAAAGGCGCATCTTTGCGACAGTGGTGGTCGTGATCAAGGCCAGATACTAGAAAGGAGATTGAGCATGAAACTCGTGTCGCCGAACAATGAGCACAACGAAGCTGGTGAGAGAGACTTGAACAGATGAGTGCAGTCGCAAGAGTGAGACGTGTCAAGATACACGCATCTATATATTCGTGTTCTCGACTAGGCGTGGCACATGTGGGGAGAGCGGAAAGGGAAGTTATAACGCTTCGACAGATGGAGCCTGGCAAGGGAAAAAAGAGGGTATGCTGTCCTTTCCCTGTTAGCATGGGCCAGGGAACTAGCCAGGCTTACAGGGGCGATACTGCATTAGCACAGCACCCACAGCATAGCACAGGAACGAAAGCAGATGCGCCACACTATTGGAAGTGCTACGGTACATGATTCCATACATGGCCAAGATAGCATTGAGCCGAATGAATGGCCATGAAGCGCTTCCCGATTTCGCAGCCCGGCTTAATGATCTAACCAACCACCATCTACTACTAGGCTGCAACCCATAGAACGAGCTGAAGTAGCTGGTTTTAAACTCCAGAGCACGCTTGCAGGATCAGAACTGATGGCATTGAATTGGATGGCTGCTGCTGCTGACTGGGTAGTAGCGCTATGAACGTGCAGTCATTAAACATATAGTAGGTATACACTAAGAGCTACAAGAAGACACGGTGATTGCCATTTATACAGTCAAAAAACCACGGTAGAATTATCCTTTTATGATACAAATTACTCAGCGATTTATAATATTTTCAGTCATTGGCATTATTTAAATTTATTCGCAGCATGCCACTCATACGTAGCGCAAGCTCAGCTGTCCTTTTCCGCGCCAAACTCAACACCCACTAAAAACACATCCTTATCGTTATCTACTCCAGATTATCCTTCTCCAAACTAGCGACATCCCACTTCCAACGGCCCCCCGTTGCTCCAAGTCCTGTCCTTCCGCCAGCAAAACTCCCGGTCGTCCACACCCCGCGAGATGGCTTCAGAGCACCTCAGCCAGGAAGAGGTCAGTCTCCTTCTTCCTCACCCCTGCTTCCCGCTTGCGTGTGTGTTCTACCATAGCATTGGCTGACTCTCCATGCCGCGCACCTCCAGTTCTTCGACAAGCTCGGCCATCTGTTCAACCACAGAAAAGGCAGCGACCATGGAGCCATATACCTAACACAAAAACGCCGTAAGACAACGCCCGATCCCTCGTCAAGAGAAACCTCTCTTCTCCCTTCTAATTTCTCACCAAAAAAACAAACAGTCACATACGACCCCAACGAAAAGTCAACAATGGCAAAGCTCTTTCCCGACCTCCTCCCCAACAAGCCCCTCCCCATCATCATCCGCGCAACAAACGGCAAATCCAAGCGCGACCGCTCCGACAAGGACAAGCTCTCCACCGTCGTCCAGCCCCACGAGCTCGAGGCCTTTTACGTCCGCTACGCCGACGTCTGCAAGGCCGGCATGACCACGCTCAAGCCCAGGGACAAGAGCAAGAAGAAGGCAAAGGCGAAGAAGAAGAAGGCTACCGCATAAGGGGGAAGTATGGGGAAAAAGAGAAGGAAGGAAAAAAAAGAATTGGGGAAGATGGCAAAGGAATAGACGAGGCTAGCGGAACGGTTCGAATTGGCTCAAGAAAGAGAAGCAAAGACGGTGGTGAGGCCGAGATTTTGTTATCCGAGGTGGCAGAGTGATGTGTCTCGTGCCCCCCTCCGGTTGACAACGGCAATCTCGACATCAGAGGATTTCCTTGTTGGTTTCAGCGAGGCTCAACTATTTCAGACCTATATATAGCGCTCTATTCATCACCTAGCATCTTGTCCTCCATACTGTACTGCTCCGGCTACCAGGATTGACGGCTATGTAGAGGCCGTTGAAGCATCTGCTCTAGTATCAATGCAGACCAAAAGCAAGACTACGTCGGCCATCATTGCAGGAATGCAAATCGTTGTGGTAGCTTGATCTTTGGTTTGTTCGATTATAGGCTTCTCTCATATTATACAAGCCCCTTTATCTCACAGTCTGTGTTCCACGCCTGGTTTGATTTGTGCCCGAGACCACCAATATAACATTATGCGCGAGATGTATATGCCATGCCCACCATAGTAGTAGCCCCTTGTCATTATACCACCTAATCTCCTGTTCTTTCCTACGCTCAGGCCTCAACCTCCAGGCTATAGAAGGCCATGGCAGTTGGGTTCTATATGGAGGCATCCTTCGCCGCCCATCCAGCCCGCAAAATCACGTCACGCTTGAAACACGCATCTTCACCACGCCCTCCTACGCACCGCTTCGAGAACCAGATAGAGAAGGAAATAAGAAACTCAATAACCACTGTCACCACCTTCTGCTGCTCATTTCCTTGCCAGACCCAAAGACATAAAACTCAATTTCTTTTTACCCCTGATCTTCCAGAGTGACATCCTATCCGGCCAGTCGGAGCTGGTTTCGATGAAAGGATGCCCCTTGATTGAAATAGAACCCCCACGACTTTAAATATAGCATGTCCGCAAATAATTTTCAGCAACCCTAGACGAACTGTGCAAATGAAAGTGATAAGAAGTGAACAAGGAAATCAAATAAAAAGAGATGAACAACCCAGTGAAAGATCATGTGTCAAATGAAAAACGGGACCCAGAGTCAAAAGAAGCCAGGCTGAGATGACTCGGACCTAGACCTCCTACATGATCTGGTCCTGTGTCAAGCCAGCATGAGCGTCAGTTTCCATGCTGTCGCTTCCGGCCTGGTTCAGGTATTTGACGAAGCTCAGGTTGAGCGGTCGGCCGCCGTACTGGTAGCCCTGGAACTTGGCGATTGCCGTCTCGGCAGTGTCGGCAGAGTCAAAGCGAACGACGCCGGTGCCTCGAGATCGGCCGCTAGGCTCGTACTGAATCTCGGCTTGTTCCACCTTGCCAATCGTCGTAAAGAGCTCAACTAGGTCGTCATTGCTAGTCGACCAAGGGAGCTATAGCTCGTGTCAGCACCAGCCCAACAGATGGTGCATTGAAGGACGGCCAGAACTTACATTTCGAACGTATATGATCTCGCCCTTTTCCGTACCGGCGGTTGCATTGTCGGTGAAGGGATTGGGGAGTACGGTTGGCGGAGCGGCAGCACCGAAATCGCCACCACCCCCGGCACCTGCACCAGGTCCTCCAACGCCGCCGCCGAATCCCCCACGTCCGCCGAAGCCTCCGCCGAAGCCTCCGCGACCACCGAAGCCTCCGCGACCTCCAAAGCCGCCGCCGAAACCACCGCGCATTCCGCCGCCGTATCCTCCACGACCACCGAAGCCCATGCCGCCGCCGCCACCGGCAAAGCGGTCCTCGCGAACTTCAAGCATGCGGCCTTGCCAGTCGTAGCCGTTGAACTGTTGGATAGCGCTCCGTGCATCGTCGGGACTCTCAAAGACGACGATTCCTGAACCCTTAGGTCTGCCATCGGGACCGACGTGCACATCAGCACGCATCACTCCGCCAATTCGGGCTGCACGAAAGCGTTAATGCCACGGTACATTTGATGATGCAAGTATGTGATGAAGCAGCGGCCCAACTTACCTGCTTGTCGGAAAAGGTCTTTCAAGTCCTGCCAGCCGACATTGTAGGGGAGCTAAAAGGGGGGTCAGTTGAGATACTCTCACGACAAATCACGGACAGAGTGAACAGACGTTGGCAACGTAGATTTGACGGCCACCGCCGCCTCCACCAGCACCGCCACCACCGGGGGGGCCGCCAGCATATCCTCCAGCGTTGAATCCTCCGCCGGGCATGCCACCACCACCGCCGCCATATCCGCCGCGGGAGCTGGTTCCCGTAGCACCGATGAAGCGAGGTTCAGCTTCGCGATCCTGATGATTGGAACATTAGAAAAACCAAACCGTCGGCGCCAGGCAACATGGGGTTAGCATCGGGATTCACCCACCTCTCGAACGTAGACAAGGCGACCCATTAGGTTTTGGTTGCTGAGTTGAGCAACGGCCTGCTGAGCTTGCTCCCTTGTAGCATATTCCACAATTCTGTTACCACCAGCAGTTAGCAAACAATGAACAGGCAGGCGGCGCAAGAGAATTGGAGAGAGGAACTTACCCGCATCCCTACAATTATTCCCAGGACAACGTCCCAACCCGTCAACCCAACCATCCATCAAAACCAGAAAGGGAAGAAAACTACAAAAGAAAGCCAACCAAAGCTACGCGATGAAGCCCACCTTCGACATTCCATTTGGAAGCAATAGTACATCGGCAAAGAGTACCTCTCCAGCTGTAACATTGGGGGTATCCCTGGTCAGTTTTTGATCTTTTTTCACCGTGCCCGTGTTCGTAGAGTCCTGATCTCACCCTGTCTCATAAAGTCCTTGAGATGATGCCACTTGACGTCGTATGAGAGGTTGCCGACATAGACGCGGCGGTCCTGCTGGGACGTCTCTCGGATGTTGCTCATCATCTGCTCTCGGGCTGCGGCCCGTTCTTCGTATGATCGATGGGATTGCTGTCCCGCGTAATTGCCAGTGGGACCACCGGCTGGCGCAGCTCCCGTTCCAGTCATTGGGGAGCGATCGCGGCCCCGTCGATAGTCGTCCCGACTATTTGATCTGCTGCGAGGCGAATAAGACCTCCGACGAGACTGTCGGCCTGGACTCCTAGATCGTCGCCGAGGTGATCGAGACCTCTCACGCTATGGGCCGATCAGTACAAAGAGTTTTTTTCAAGACGAGAGAGAAGGTAAGTTGTGACGTTGGTAGGGTTAAGCTAGGCTAGGTGAATGGGTTATCCGGAATGCAGTCGAGCCACGGGCTGCCCAAGGTGACACTCGGCCTGTTTTCATAGGTAGGTAGGCATTATATATGACTCCCCAACAAAGAAGACGGCGCATTCAATCCAAGCTGGGCATTTGCCACGGCCGGGCAATTGAGCAGACGAGCTTCACAGCTTCGTACCGCAAGCTCGACTCTTGCTCGCGACGCCTCCCCCGTGAGATAGGGCATAGGAAACAAGGTGGCCACTGCGGGGTGTGCGTCGTAGGATTTTGTTCAACAAGGCCAAGGCGCGAGGCCACAGGAAGTTGGTGGGCTCGCTCGCACCAGGGCGAGAGTGATGAGATGCGTGTAGGTAGGAGAAAGGGCAGGCCAAAGTAAATGATGAGAACTTACCGGTCGGTAGTTATCGCCGGAGTCAGCTAAAAGACAAAGGTTAGAAAACTGGCGCTGCAAGAGCCCTCTCCAAAGTAAAAGGAAATTGTGCCAAAAGAGATGGAGGAAAAGACGGCCTGATTGAAATAATAGTCATGTACCCGGGTAGTGGTGGGGTGTAAAGTGATGAGAAGTATGCGGAGTAGCAAGGCGGGAGCACATGCAGGTAAGGGGGGTCAATGATAATGCAGTGGACGGAGAGAGGCGAGTCGAGAAGAAGGACGTATCGGCCGGCAACGGGGGCGACAAGTTACATCCAAAGTGGTATCACGTTGAATGAAGCAGAGGCGTCTCTGGCTGCGATTCTTCGGAGGGTTTCAGGTACTGTAGTGAAGGGGAAAACAAAAGACAAGGGGCAAAGGGCAAAAGCAAGGCAGAGGTGGTTTGGAAAGGAAAAAAAAAAGTCAACCGGGCGAGTGACGGCACCGAGGCTGGCAGCACGCGTCTTGCGCCAGAGAGCAAAAGAGCGAGAGAGCTTGGTGCGAGTCGAGCAGAGCTGGAGCCGGCAGACAGAGGCAGAGCAGAGAGATATAGACAGACGGGAGGCAGAGAGACGAAAGACGTACCCATGGCGGTTTATGCGATACAAAGGAGGAGAGAGGCTTTGTGCCTTGTGCCTCGTGCCTTGAGCCTTGTCGCGTGTGCAGTCAAAGGCAAACCGGGTGTCTCAACAGATTGGAGGGCAGCTCGAGCCAGGTCGCGACGACGGCAGAATTATGGGCGGCTTCTGGTTCTGGAGAGAGGGCAAGCCACAGCAGCAGCAGTCAGCAACAGAACGCGAGGGCTGCAGTGCTCGTACAGTACAGTACCAGTAACAGTAAGTCGCAGTTGGGAGGGGGGTAGGACAGAGGCGCATGGTTATTGTTCAAGCCTGGTGGTGAGAAGGGGAAAAGAACGCGCGGACCGGGAGGGGACCAGGCGACGAATGAGCGTGCAGAGGCTGAGGGAGGACGGAGGGGGCCAAGATGCAGAGCTGTGACTACTACTACCTAAACCGGCGCAGCGAGAAGCAAGTCCCTTGCAAGGCACGACGAGGCACCAGAGCTAGAGCAGGTTGATGGAAGCAGGGGGGGAGCAGCTAGACTGCAGATCCTGCTATGGATCAATGGATTGCTTTTTTCCACGGGGGAGCTCGTACGAGGAACAGCACAGCACAGCACAGCACAGCACAGTGCTTGGGACGAGCACGGTACTGAGGATCCAGCCAAGTTGAGGTTACCAGACTACTTCAATGGTACTAAACTAACCCACTACTTGGTAGGTGAACTGGCAATGAGCATATATGTAGGAAAGAAGATGCTGTGCTGTGTGCTGGAGGGAAACAAAGGGAAAAAATGAAAAGGGAAAATAACGGAAAAGGAAAAAAAGAAAAAAAAATCTCAAAACACCAACCCGGTCAAGGTGATGGGTGGGCAGGGGGGTCGGCAGCATTGGCTCGTGGGCCGAGCTGGTGGGAGTGGGAGTGGGAGAGGCAGAGGCAGAGGCAGAGGCAGAGGCAGAGGCAGAGGCAGAGGGAGAGGGAGAGAGGAGAGCCCGCCAGCAAAAAAAAAAAAAAAAAAAAAAAGTCAAGTCAGGCCAGCAGCGAGCTTTCACGCGCATGTGGTAGCAACAAAAGCGAGTTGGATGCATCATGCACGTCGCTCGTTGCGTCCAGCTTTGCAGCGCGCTGCGTGGGAGGTGTGGCCACCAGGAGGACAGTACTCAATACGTACGTGGTTTTCTCCCAACCTTAGCGCGGATTGAACCCGGGGAAAAAAATATGATGCTGGTCCTGGGTCGGATGCTTGCCCGTGGGAGGAGAAAAAAAAAGATGATGTATGTACCAGCGTATGGGACTCGGTTCCGGGGACCGCGCAGATGGGCGAAAAGCGCTCAGGGAAGCTCCCACACCCGGCCCTACGAGGGGACAAGGGGGGACGGACGGAGACAAAAAGTAGAGTTTCCTCCTCCTTGGTTCGTTTGCTCGGGACGGACTCGTGTGGCCGGGGCAGCCGGGGGCGATCCCTATTGGAGGCTTTCGCGGGCTGGAGTGTGCAAAAATTAAAAAAAGTGGCGGCCTCGGAGTGCCGTGCAAGTACGATGATGGAGCAGGGCAATGGGATTGGATCAATGCGAAAGGAGGAAGAGGATCAGGAGGAGAGAGGAGAGAAGAAGGCCGGAAGGGGCAAGTTCTAGGCCAGGCAGCACGTGTGGGCTCAACATAGCATTAGCAGCAAAAGCGCATCAATCGATGGCACTGCTAGCTAGAGCCTGTGCTAGAGCTAGAGCACTGATCGCTGAGGCGGCTCAACAAGGTGCAGCGCGGGAACAGCGGAGCAAGAGCGCTAACACCATGGCTAAGATGCCCTACCCGAGAAGATCGGTGAGGGGAGAGCACATCAGTTCAGCGGCTAACCTCGACTAACCTACTTGGCCTACTAGGCAGCTGGACAAAGAGCTGAGATCACATACGTTCGAATGGAGAGCACCGTCTGGTGCCTGACTAAGGCACTTTCAGGGTAGTGGATCAAGCTCCAGGTCACTCAGTTCAATCAGCCGGGAGCATCATGTACGACTGCCCGTTCATCGTGGCCCGGCTCCAGCTCCAGATCCCACCCTGCCCTGCCCTGGGCCCCTTGCTCGTATCGGCACTGCTAGCAATACCTACCTGGAACGACCCAAGTCCAAGGACGTGCTGGTACATACATGGCAGCCCAAGTATCTGGCTGGGGACCGGCCCGGCATTGTGTGCGAGCATCGTGCCTGTGCCTGTGCCTGTAGGCCCTCTATGCTGGCGTGTTTTGCGGCAGACAAGCCCCCGGCCCCCCGGCCATCGCCTCCAGCTGTCACCTCAGGCGTGATTGGCCAAACTGCCCTTCGCCTGTTCGCTCCGAAACCTGGCAGCTCTGGGTCTGTTGAGTTGTCTCCCCGATGCATGATGCAATCCCAGAGACGGGGGTGCTGTTCCGACGGCTGGGGCCTGGCACCCAATGAGGCCCCCGGGATGACTAACCCACCCGGTGAGGATGCGATGCGATGTGATTGCTGCGATGCGATGCCATGCTCATAAGCTACAGGACGGCCTCGCTTTGTGTAACGTGCTAGACCTAGACCATGGCCAGAACCTGCGCATCGTACATAGATAATGCGCAATTCGCAGCCAGAATTGCCATTGGCTCGCGAATAGTAACAAGTATTCATATCTATTACGTCGAAGATACCGCAAAGACGACAGACTGGCCATCTCATACCGACGCTCCTCTATGTACATGTGCTGGCCCCCCAAAAAAGCAAAGCACCGTGCATCTACCTTGGTAGCTCCCCACGCCGGATCCACTTCCAGCTTTCATCGAGTCGAGTTTGCAGAGGCCCCTCGTACAACCGGTCAATAAGAATCCCGCAGCATCGCTTGTCGCATAGCATAGGCATAAGCCCAAACCAAAGCCAGCTCATCTCCACGATTGCAATGGCCTCCCCTTGCATCTCTCGCGCCGCACGATGCCTGGCCTCGACCGCCCGCGGCCCAATCGCTCGCCGCACTGCGCCAGCCTCGTCCCTCTGCCGGCGGCACTACCACTCGTACGACCACCCGTCGACGCCGCCGTTCGGGACCGTCGACAGGGAAATCCTGGCCGCCGCCTACAAGCACGTCCCTGAGCACGGCTTCTCGCTGCGCGCCATTGGCCTCGGGGCTCGCGATGCTGGCTACCCTGACATCAGCTCCGGCATCCTGCCCGACGGCCAGTTCAGCTTGATACGCTACCACTTGGTCGCGCAGCGCGAGAGGCTGGCCGACAGGAGCCGCGAGCTGCTCAAGGAGGGGGATGGGGATGGCTCGTTGACCGCCGTTGGCGACAAGGTGGCTGCCTTGACGTGGGAGCGGCTGGTGGGCAACAAGGACATCATACACAGATGGCAGGAGGTGAGTTTCGTTTGCCCGTGTCTGTCTGGTCGTGAGACACACACACACACACACCATTGGGCGCCTTCGCTGACCCCCGAGTGCGCTATTGTTGCAGGCCCTGGCCATCATGGCGCAGCCCAGCTATCTGCCCAAGTCGCTGGCCGAGCTGGCCGCCCTGTCTGACGACATCTGGTTCCTGGCCGGCGACAAGGCCGTCGATCCGTCGTGGTACACCAAGCGGGCGGCTCTCTCCATGGTATACAGCTCCAGCGAGCTCTTCATGACCAACGACACGTCACCGTCCTTTCTCGAGACGAGACAGTTCTTGCATCGAAGGCTGGGCGAGGTCCAATCTGTGGGGGGCACCGTGGGAGCCCTAGGCCAATGGGTTGGCTTCACGCTCAATGCAGGCGTCAATGTCTTGAGAAGCAAGGGCGTCCCTATCTGACGTTCTAGACACAGTCCGCATTAAGCCACATTCCTCATCCTTGTCTAATTTACATCATAAGAGTCATGTACAATAGTATCAGCATCTCAAGGCTCCCCAACTCCCGACGAGTTTTGCTCGCCACCGTTTCATGTATATACACATTCGCCTATTGTTTTTACCGCCCCATGAATGAAGCAGCGCCCCGGAAATATTGCACAAACTCTCTAATACACCTTGCCCACGAGATATACTCACAGCTCGGCCACAAGGGGCAGACTGTGACTCTAGATTAGGGTTCGTTGGCGGGGATCGGTCAAGCTGTAAGATAGATTAGAGAGTTAGCCTTAAAAATCAAGGTTTGAATACCAATGAAACTGACCGAATAATCTTGACATCTTTGTCCAGCCTTGCTCGGCCCTCAATAGCATTCGGAGTGATCAAGATATATTGCCGCGATACTGATCGTCGAGCAGCATCCACCTGTAGTGTCATACCATTCCATTAGCAGCTCACTCTCACGTCCCATTTTCCATTCTCGTAAATCCGCAGTAAAAATGACTTACCAGCATGTTTGTGCTGATTGCACGGTTAACATTATCCATGAAGACGTCAAACTCGTCCAGACATCGTATTGGTGATCCAATGGCTTCCCACACGGAGAGAAGCATGCATATTGAAGAAAAGGACTTTTCGCCTCCCGATAACGTCTTGGTGTTGCGGCCAGACGAGCTCTTTCGAGTCTTGTCGGGCTCAATCTGGAGGTTGACCTTTCTGTTCCGGTGGTCAATGTCGATCTTGCCTCTAAACCCACGCTCACTCAATAGATAACTGAACTGAATTCGTATCCGAGCGCTGATTTGCCTCTGAAACATTCTCCATAGGTGAAGCCGGTGCTCAATGGCTTGCTTCAGACTCGCAATGGTGTCATCTACGTCTCTCGTCTTCTTCATCACATCCTCGTATCGCGTTCTGGCCTCGACAGCTCGGTCGTAAATCTGTTGGTCTGTGGCTCCTTGTCGAGCCTCTCGCTGTGACAGCTGCTCGCGGACCTTTGAGTATTTGATCTCGAGACTTGCATATGTTTCGTCTTCAGGGATATGAACGCGATCCGGAGATACTTGCTCGGCTTGTTGGGTGAAGTCGGCCACCTCGGCAATCTTGTGGTCGCGCCTGGCCTCTGCCCGCCGCCTCTCGTTGATCTCGATATCCCGCCTCTCAAAGGCGGCATTCTTTTGAGCGACTGCAATCTTCCTAAACGACTCGTGTTTCTTGACTTTGTCTTCTGCTTTGGCCACGCGGCTTTGGTGATCCTTGCGAACGTCCTTTTCAGCATCGAGACGTGCCTTGGCCTCTTCCGCCTTTTTGCTCAGCTCTCGCTTTTCCAGTTTCAGGTTGCCGTACTGCAGACCAAGCTGCTCCTCTTCGGTTTGTTTCGCTTCTCGCTCCTCCCGCAGCGCCATAAGACGCCCGTCAACGCCCTCAAACGCATCCAGATCCAGTGAGATCCGCTGAATATCCGCCTGGATTCGGCGATTATCGCTTTCCAAATCCTTGAGTGCTCTTTGGTGTGCTTTGAGGTCAGCCTCGCAGCCCTCCAATTGCTGACGCGCTTGCCGCTCCTCGATGATTAGATCCTTCACCTCCAAACCTAGCTGCCTGAGGTTCTCCTTTTGCACAAGAAGCCGCTGGGCAGAATCTGACTGCATTCGAGGAGCCAAGTTAGTCGGCGTAACAGGACTTGTGCCTATGGTTCCGAAACGGTTTGTGATTCTCAGTCCATGGCCACGTTTCCCTCTGCCGTCGTGGAAGCAGATGCATGCCACCACATTTCGGGGAGGACCGTTGTTATCGATCATTACCCGCTCTGCTTCAAGACGGTCCTTGACTAGGATGACCTTTTCGATCTGGTTATTAATAACAAGCTGCGACCGAACGAGCTCATTGTCGAAGGCCAACACTCTGAGAATGGTATCGAATTCGGCATCTGGCTCTTGGGCGCTGGTATCAATTGTGCCTCCATACGCGATATAGATTGGTGGCTGTTTCCTCAGACCCATTCGTTGAATCATATTTGACAGCTTTGTTTGGTCTCTCTTGCTCTGCACAACGAATGCATTCAGATTCTCACCAAAAGTCTTCTCCAGGATGCCAGACCACTCAGGCTTTCGGAGCGTAACGTGGGTGCCGAGGGGACCCAGCGGCTTGCTTTCGAAACCAGTTTCCCTTTCAATGGCCTTGGCCAGCCTTATGAGGTCTGCATCATATCCATCAAGGGCTGAGCCGCTGCTCTGTTCGAGATCTCTGACCCCCTTTTGCGCCATTACTACCTCCTTTTTCTTTTGTTGTAGCAATTCTCCAACTCGCTTTGCCGCTTCTTTGGCCGCCGTTATTTTTTCGGAATACATTGGCGCCCTGGCCCTGGCCTCTCTGGTTTCTTCATCTACTCTCTTCTCCTGCGCTTGTGCCTCGGCGAGCTCCTGGTCTTTCTGTGCGCGTGCAGAGCCCGATGCGCCGTCTAAGCGTTTTTCTTCCTCCTTGATCTTGCTCTCACATAATTGTATGTCTGTCCGGAGAGTTTTCAGCCGCATGTGCGCATCTCGCTCTTCGCGCTGCAGTTCTGTTTGTTTCCTCTTGGCGTCATTCCACGCAGCCTCTGCCTCCAACATTGTCTCTTCAAATGTGTTTTCTTCATTGCCGAGAGCTTCTCGGGCCTCTTGAACCCGAACCAGCTTCTCTTCTTCTTTTGCGAGGGCTTCTGTCGCCTTTTCGCAGTCCGCTTCCCAGGAAATGAGCTCTTCGTCGCGCCTGTTCAAGTCGGCGTTGCGCTGTTCTAATTCTCTTTCCCGCTCGACGACCTGTGACCAGACAAGCTGGTTCCTATAGTGCCTTGCCTTTTCGCGAAGGCCCTGGTTCTTCTGGGCTATCTCGGCAAGTCGTTGGGCATCGTCCATTTCCTTTTTAACATGGCCAATCTTCTCGTTGAGATCCTCGCGGAGAATGAGCGTCTTATCCAATGTGTCTTGAGACATTTTGTAGTCATTGTCCAGTTGCTCCAGTTGGACACCCGAAACGAAATACTTGTACTTTTGCGCTGGGGTTGCGGCGTTGAGGAACTGTCGCGCGTTATCTTGGGAGAGGACTGTCAGGGGGTTCCCTATCTGCAAGGCATACCACTCCGAGATTTCGTCAACTTCCTGCTTTTTGGTTGAGACCACCTTGCCCTGGTCCGTCTTGATCTTGAAGCCACTGCTGCCAGATTTGGAAAAATGGCGTTCGACCGTGATGGATGCTCCGTAGATGTCGGGCTGGTATGCATCGGTTCCAGCGTTCTTAATCTTGACAACAAGACTTCCTTGGTCACGTCCCTCCTTGACGAAGGACTTTAAGCTACCACCTCTGTTGGTATCACTAGCCTTGCCACCGAGGCATAATGTCAGAGCCGTCAGAACAGCACTCTTGCCACTGCCGTTCTCTCCCACGATGAAATTGATCAAGGGACCGAGTTCCACATGCAATCGTTCGTGGCACATGAAATTATAACAGGTGATGCTTTCAATAATGCCACTCTCAGCGACCATGTTGTTGTCAAAGGTCTGTGTCGTGGTGCGGCGCATCAGCTTCTGCGTAGCTTGCTGGTCGTCCCAATCCGTATGCTCCAGGTGTCGGAAGCCATTGTCTCTCATCAGTTCGTATTGTGTCTGCGGGGGAGACGCCGGAGCGTCGTCGTCATCGTCATCTCCATCGTCGTTTTCGCTCTCAGAGCTGGATGAACCGTCATCTCGTCTTGTCTCTGCTGCTCTACTGCTCGAACCCTCTGCTCCGTCATCAGCGGATAACCGGACTCGTTTTCTCTGCCGCCCGCGGTTAGCCAGCTGATGATTGCCCGGCATGCTGACATACATACCGGCTGCATGCCGATGGCCATGGATGCATGCGCTTCAGTGATATCTGCGGTTCCAGCCTGTTGGCCTGAGGCTATTCGTGATCGCTTGAGAGGCGCCATGGTCGATGGTGGTTTGCGGGTTGGGACTGGCACCAGTCACACAGATCGGGAAGTGTAAGGGAAGGCTGGAAGGATGCGATGCTCGATGATTGAAGAGTATTGATTACATTAACGCATAAGCAGGGCCCCATCTCAGTGTTGCATGCATCCTGCAATCCCTTCTGGCCGATAAGCGATGCGATGAGGCTTGTCCAAGTCCATTAAGTTATTCTTGCGCGTTGACCGCGTCGACCGCGTCGTGGGGTAAATCAGCTAGGCAGTTAGGCAGCTAAACAGCGGGCATGACTAATGGCGCCCATCATGCGCTACGGGCACAGCACAGGCATGTACATGGCTGTGAATCCATGATGAGCAACGAGGACATAATGCTATCTTCAAGAGCATAATTTGTATTTTTATATATGTATATGTATCATTTATTATTGGAGAAGCACAATTATTAATCAGGATGCGAAATTGCTTGGAGAGAATCCACACGTGCATCGCTATAATTGCCAAATGAAGATGATATACAGTAGCCAGCACTGACAGAATTTCGATAGGCGGGGCCTAAATCAAGAACAGCACTCCATCTCAAACCTATATCTCTTCCAGCCATACTCTACACTTGATGTCTTATCAATATTGATCTCTTCGCCATGCGGATGACTACAAATCAGTGCGAGCGCCCCTCCTCACGATAAAGCATGTCCAACGACGGCAATGTCGGCGAGACGGAAACCGCCGTAGAGCAGCTCTCTGAAAACACCGTCGAGTACATGCTCTTTGTCGTGGAGGACCAGCAATCCGAGGCCCGTAAAGCACGTACTCGTCTCGAAGCTATTCGAAAAGCAGCAGTTGAGCTCGTTCAGTCACTCACAAAAGACTACATCTGGCAGCGTGAGGGGTTTGAGATTTCGCTGAAGAGCGAGCATGGTGAGTTCCCTGCAGCGGCCCTTGCAGTTTCTTCAAAGCTTGCTCTAACTGCTTTATCTCTAGGACTGCTGTTTCTACATGGCACCACCGACTATGGAGATGCCATTGAGGATGAATGGCTCATTGTCTACATTCTCTGTGAACTGACCAAAGCCCATCCCGATCTCTGGCTTCGAGTGGGAGACTCTGATGGAGAATTCCTCTTGGTCGAAGCGGCCAATGTCCTTCCCAGGTGGCTGAGCCCGGAAATCGATCGCTATCGTGTATGGATACATCTTGGAAAGATCTTTCTCATACCCCTCAGTTCCAAGGGTAGAGACGAGTCCGAACAGTTGCCGCTCCTACAGGCCGTCACGTTTCTACGATCAAATCCTGACGCCCTGGTTCACCTCCCTGCCATCGATTCTGAAGCATTTCACAGATTAAAAAAGTATCCGGATCAAATCTCCAATTCCATCCACCATGCTCTTGTTACAATCCCCAGGGCAGTAGCCTACATTTTACATGCTCTTCCAAAGACCATTGCCCCTGCCGTTGAACACTTTTACTTGAGAGATGCCAACTCACTGAAGCCCATTCTATCCTCATCGGCCTCTTTGCAATTTCCATCAGAAGACCTCGTCACAGTCAGTGTACGATTCAGCAAAACCCTGTTTGCTCAGCTCAAGTCCCAAAGATTCGACACACCACCAAGGTGGGAGGCCCTGCTCCGGAAAAATACAAACGTGGAGCTGCTCTCAAAAGAAGACCAGAAAAAATTCGAACATTTAGAGACTGGCATGAAGCTCACCTGTGGATTCGAGATGCTTGCAGCCAATGCAGAGAGTAGCAAGAGCAGAGTCGTCCGCGAGATGGCCATCATGTTGGAGGATCTGCGAGAGGATGGAAGTTCATGTTTACCATCCAATGAAGACATGAAGCTGTGGGAGAACGCCGGCAGAGATGATGATGATTCGTGGCTTGATATTAACTATGAAGAATTTGAGCGTGAGCTAGAAGGAAAGCAAGCCCAGCCTTCGTCTTCAAAGGCGGCGTCTGGCTTTGGCGAAGCCCAGACACAAGAGAACCTGAGAAAGATAGTCTCGCGTTTCGAGGCTTTCCTCAACGATGACACTGCGGGTTTGGATGGTGCTGAGCTTGATAGAATGGACGTCGACGATGATGACGAGGACGATGAAGAAGATCAAGACGAGGAGGTGAGCTTCGATGAAGAAGCATTCTCCAACATGATGAAAGAAATGATGGGTATCGCTACAGCAAACCCTAAAGAAGGAGGAAAGGCTCGTAAAGTCGAGGCGGTCGAGGACCGCACCGATAGCGATGCAGAAGAAGACAGGGACATACAAGAGCTTGCCTCTCGCATGGAGGCCGAGCTCAAAGAGTACGGCACCCTCCAGCTCGATCCGCAAACTACCGAGCGTGCGATAAAGTCAATGGAGAGCGTGGAGAAGGAGAAGGAAAAGAGTGATCGTAAGCAAAAGCAGCCGCTACAAGGAGAAAGCAGTCACGCGGCAGATTCTACCGATGACGAGGATGGCGAGGTCGACATTGACTACAACCTGGCCAAGAATCTTCTCGAGAGCTTCAAGAGCCAGGGAGGCATGGCTGGCCCTGCGGGAAACCTCATGGGGCTCATGGGGTTCCAGTTACCCCGTGATGAAGACAGCGGGAGCGAACGCGCGGATGATGCGCGATAGCTGAGGCGGCGTGGTGCAAACCATGCTATTGGATTTTGTCGTTACACTCTGCTTTTCATGTCAAATACCGAGAATATCAAGGCCTGGGAACCTGTTTTTATATGTACAATATGAGGGCAATGAACCTTTTGTAGCAATCGTATAATAAAGAGCCATATCAAGCATCGCCTCCGAAAACCGGCTTGTCCATCATAATGTAACTGCTCATCTACCTATCCTTTACCACAAACACCCCAAATCTCATGCAACTCTTCACTCCTCCGAGGCAGGCTTCGCAGCCTTGCCGCTCTTCTGTTCCCCCGCCATGCCGTAGAGCACATTGATGTTATACCGCTTCAGCTCCTCCCATTCCTTGCCGTCAACCACAGAGACGCCGCAAAACAACTATCATCACAGTTAGTTAGTTATTCACACATCTTTTCTATTTCATGGGATGTTGGGCATGGCAAACCTGGAATATCTCGACGAGGATGACCTTGTCCGGGTTCTTGAGGTTGACCTTGTGCTCAGGCTTGACCATGCCGGCGATCATTTTGATGACGGCCTGTGATTCCAAGATGGAGTGGTTTCTCATGGTAGGTCGTATGGCGTACTGTTTGGACATCAATCCTAGTTAGCCAAGTCTCATTCAAACAAAGAAAAGAAAAATCTCTTCTCAGTTGGACCCAACTCACCGTAAAAGGAGCGTCCGTCTCAGCATTTCGGGTCACCACCTCCTTCACCTCCTCCGCCCCATCTGACGCCTCCGCCTCCTTCACCTCTTCTCCCTCCTCCTCATCCTCCCCCTTCTCCTCCTCATTCAAGCTAAAAAACGACGCCAGAACCTTCCGCGCCACCCTCTGCACCCCCTTCTCAGACGCCTTATCCGTATCCACCACAGGCGTCAACCGGTTAATGTATTTGCACTTCCTCTCCTTCGCGCTCTCGCACTTCCTCGCGTCCCTACAAATCTCCAGCACCAGCTGACAAGGGTCCACCGGCCTCATCGTCTTCATGAAAAAGACACACTCGATCGCGACCGACACCGGCGAGAAGACGCCTCTCGGCTGGGGCTGCTTGGGCGCCTTCATGGCCTCGAGCTCCTTCTCGATGGATGCCTCAATGTCTTCGCCCTCGTCTCCCGATTTCGGCTCTGACTCGTCAACCGGCGGCTTGATGCCGTACAGCTTCTCGCCATACTCGTCACACAAGGCTTTGAACTCTCGGACTGCCTTGCCCTTCATGCCCCTCGCATAGGTGACCCAGATGCCCTCATCGCCCACCTCGAGCGTCTTGCCCATTTCCGCCCAAGAAGCGTGCTTCGCCTTTTGAGCCGGCGTTTTCCATCTCCCAGCTGCACCCTCCTATGTTGGTCATCCCAATGTCAGCATATTCAAGGCCATCAACACGAGACAAGGCTTTTCCTTTGAATGTGTAATACAGAGCAAGTATTCCTCCATCATACCTTTCTCTTCTTCAGTGCGGAGCCATCAGAGCCGCCAGGGCCCTGTTTTCTTTTTGACGCGGAGTCTGCCATCCCAATTGATTGTTTTGTTTCGAATATGAATTGGTTGAATGATGATCTGAAGCTCTTTTATGAAAGAGTGATGAGCCTTGCGGCGCTGGGCACAGCTTATTTGAGGCTCGCGATTAGATACGGTGAGTGGGTACCCGGTACATCTATCTTGGTTGCAATTGCTAGAATAGCTGGGTATTCGCGACGACTCTCAGCATTTTTCACGAAAGCACGTGATTCGATATCTCATCCTTGCAGACTCCCAGCTGTTGTCCAGGCAAACTCTCATGAGATCTTGATGGCTGCACCGATTTCACATGCCAGGTAAGAATACTTTAAATGTGAAAAGGAATTTTTAAAATTATTTATTCAATATGCGCCAAAGTGGTTTCTAAAGGCGGATTTTTGGCCGTGGATTGAGCCCTCGATTACTTTGGCGCATGCAATACGGTCTTATACACAAGTCATGTCACAATGTTGAAAACCGATGATTAAAAAGGGATATCAACTTGAAATTCATATTGATCAAACATTCTGTGAAACCATGTATCATTTTTTCTCATTTTGAAAACCCTCCCATCCATCCAATCCTGCTTCATTAACGATCAGTGCCTGCCTTGATCCGCTTTGTCAGGTCTATTATTCTATTAAGGTGCCGATAAATTCTCGTGTCGGTGCACATTAATCCTTTTTGGCGTTGTTCTTGGCGCTGGCTTCCGCAGTCATGATCAATGCTCGCGGGGCGTCTTCTTTGGGCATGTACAGCTCGACAAACTGAAGGCATTCTGCCGCGTTGAATGTGGGATCTGTGAGAAGCTGCTCCAATTCCTCCTTGGTCTTGACAGCAAACTTCTTGGCTGTCTTGGATCCGCCAAAGACGTCAACCAGGGCCTTGAAATCCCAGTTAGAGATGTCGTTGTACTCGGCCTCCATACCGTGGATGAAGCGCTCAATGGTAAAGCCATCGTTGCAGATGACGAAGCTAAGAAATACATGTCAGTGATGGTCTGGTAGAGCTAGGGGTTCCCGAGATTATGGTTGTGACTTACATGATGGGCTTTAGTTTGAGACGAATCATTGTACTCAGTTCTTGGGCTGTGAGTTGGAACGAGCCGTCGCCCACAAAGAGGATAGTTCTGCGGCCGCTGTTGTCGTCGGCTGCTGCAAGGGCGGCTCCTTGGCAGGCACCGACGGACCAACCGATACTTCCCCAGAGGACCTGACTGAGCGCGGTGACGCCAGATGGGAACTTGGTATCCCAGATACCAAAGTTGGCCGTGCCGGTCTCTGTGATGACAATGTCGTTCTTCTGGAGGAATTGACCAACGCGTGGCCAGAGGTAGGCTTGAGTGATGACGGGTGAATCATCTACAGCCTTGGGGATTTCGTTCTGGACAACTGGCGATGGCTGAACATTGAGCTCGGAGGCGCTGATCTGTTTGATAACCTTTTGCAGCACTCCCCTCATCGAAACACTCGGATATGTCGAATACTTGACGACGCAGTGGTCGCTGTGGAGATCGATTGTGTTCAGCTGAGAGGTGCGGTAGGAAAAGCCAGCAGTGTTGAAATCACTCTGATGAAGAGGTTAGTAGATGAGCAACCAAGTATAGGTTTAAGCGGATTACATACCTTGAGGGCACCAATTGTCAGGATAAGATCCGAGGACTCGACAATGTCCTGGGCTTGAGGGGGTGAAGAACCGGCACCAGCATAGACACCACCATACGTCGGGTGCTCTTCGTTGACAGCGCCCTTGCCCATGGGAGTGACAAAGACGGGGAGGTTGGTCTTTTCGATGAGATTGTGGACCTCCTCAAGGACACGATGGCGGATGGCACAAGCATCGACAAGGATGACGGGGTTCTTTGCAGCTCGGAGGTACTTGAGGACGACGTCGACGACGTAGTCTTCACTCTCGGGCTCATTATCGGGCTCTGACAGATCAATTGGCGTGTCGAGTCTGGCACCTTCAACCTTGGCCTGGACCATATCGGTAGGGAGCATGATGTAGATGGGTCGAGAGCGGATGTAACAAACTCGGAGAGCGTGGTCGATCTGAGTAGCAATTTCGGCCGGGTTGGTGAGCTTGGCAACTTCACAGGAGATTTGGGCGCTCATGTTGGCGAAGACATTGAAGTCGCCGTTTCCGAGCGTGTGGTGAAGGAGCATGCCGTTTCGCTGCGAGACGGTGGAGGGGCATCCGACAATGTGGACGACGGGGATGTGCTCAGAGAAGGCACCAGCAACGCCGTTGATAGCGGAGAGCTCTCCAACACCAAAGGTGGTGATGAGGGCGCCCATCTGCTTGACACGAGCATATCCATCAGCGGCATAAGCTACAAGGCAGGAATTGGTTAGTAAGAGAGCGTCACAATTGATGAGATGTAGATGGCATTCATCGTCAGGACTCACCAGCATTGAGCTCGTTCACACTGCCCACCCACTTGAGACCGGACGAGGGCAGGTAGTCAAGAGCAATGAGGTTGTAGTCGCCGGGAAGGCCGTGGACGGAGCGGACGCCGATTTGGTGAAGTCGGCGGAAGAGATACTCGGCAACGTCGATGGGCTGCTCGAGGTTCTGCACCCGGATGTTGATGTTGGCACCCATGTTGGAGGAGGTCTCTCAGGAGTGTGATTTGTGTGTTTGTTTGTTTGTTTGTTGGGATGAATGCGATGTAGTTTGTTGTTGTTTTTGTAGTATAGTATAGTAGTGACCAGCACTCTTCGGTTTAGGAGCGAAAGACGTTCAATTGAGAGTGTTGCTCGTAGGTAAGGCAAGGTAGGAATGGATTGATTGATTGTATGTGAGGTGACTGATTGATGTCTGCAGAAGAAGAGGCTAAACGAGGACGAGAATAGACTATATATTAATATTGATATGAATACGAATTGGCAACTCCCAAATCCAATCCAGCTCAACAACGCCTGCCGTCCATCGCCAATGAATCATCGAGTCTTCTGCACCAAATGCGGCACCGGCGATGGGAAGCAGCCAAAAAGCCCCGCCAAATGCAGACTGCTCGTGCCATCAGCAAGCATGAGCTCACTTTTGGACGCGCCTCTGTCATGATAGTGATGTAATGACGACTCTCAGGCCATTTACGCCTTGGCCCACTCCCTGCGCTAATGCACCCGTTAGAGCTATCAGACGCTAAAGCCCGGGCCTGTTGATTCCAGGTTGCTTGATTGCCTAGAGATAGCCCTGGAGGGCCCTGTATACTCCCAAAATACTTCGTTGGCAGGCCATCTTCAGCGGACAATTACCACAGTCCAAGGCCTCCGATCTAGATTCCATCGGACGCTGCTCGGCACCACGCCCGGTCAATTACCAGCCCGTCGCCCCGTTGTTTCTTTTTTGGCCGCATCACGGTATCGACCGGGTCCAGGAACCAGTCCATGCATACGAGAGTCGCAGGTTGACGAGTTCTTATTGCGAAATTTGATAGTGGAATTGATAAGTCGATAGGCTGAGAGCCCATCTAGCTGTAAGTATGAGCAAAGATTTTCCTTCTCCTTCTCCTCTCGTGGCATGCTCGCAGGCTCTCGCCACCATGCGCACACAAGTCATGATACCTCGTACCACTGACAATCTCTGTCTGTCTATTGCCCCTATTCCCAACTCCCAACGCTTCCCAATAAACGCCGTCCATCTATGGCTGTCAATGCACCAGCCCCCTAGTAATCATACAGTTTTTTTTGTTCTTTCCCCCTTTTTCCAAAAGCATTCCCTCCTCCTTCATATCGTACACAATTCTTCCATTCCATCGACAAAGGCCGTGGCAATTCAGTCGCATCGGCCATCCTTCCACCCGGTCCTCCAGCGCTCATCCCAACGCGAGCAGTCAAACTCGGGCTTCCCCAGCTTCCTGTTGACGTCGTTGTGAGCGCGGCAGAGCCACTGCGAAAACTCGTCCCGGTTGTTCACCTGCGGCTTCTGCCGAGCCATGTAGCCCTGGAAATCCTCGGCGCACACCCAGCACGGGTACAGCTTGGAGAAGAGCCCGACGAAGCTCAGCAGGTCCGACTTCTGCCCCTGCGAGGGCATCTCTGGGTACGACGCCGCGATGGAGTGGAGGAGCGTCCAGGTGCTCCGGCCAAGAGTCTCGACGTCGGGCGGGCAGTCGGCCGGAGGGCCCGAGGCGACGGCTGTTGCTGTTGTAGATACTGCTCTGCTGCCGGTGGTGACGTCTTTTTTCGTCTGTGCGGCCCAGGAAGCGAATGATGTGCAGCTTCGACATCTTTTCGATAGACAGGGCACTGTTACCATGCTTGATCCAATATCCAATGCCAAGACAGGCACAAGCGTAGACACAAGGGCATACGGGTGCAGAGACTTACGGCTTGCCATCTTTGCCTAGCACCACTCCCTTGGGAAACTTCTTGGGCTGCTGGTCAGCGGCAGCAGACTCGGAAGCACCCGAGAGCCCCGGAACAGCAACTGCGTCTCGAAACGATGCTTCCTCTGCCATTTTTTCTTCTTCTTCTTTTCTTTTATCGGTAGGATAACGTCCCAGTAGTGCTCGTAAACCAACGCTCGCACGCACTCAATCACTCACCCCAATCGAGTCCCGAGTGGCGGCCAAAATATCAACAAGGATGAAATGATGGAGAGGATAAGATATATAAAGATGGAATGGTCTCAACATTCGATTCGTACAATATCTTGCAACTAATTTGTCAGCCCCCGGGAACCGCCTCTAACCCGTCAGTCCGGTCACTTTTTTTTCTTATCGATAAAGCTGCGGGTAGCCCCTCAGCCCCTCCAAGCCCATCGTCATCCACTATTTGCAGTTCATGGCAAGACTGGTTCGTCCGATGTAAGCAACAACATCGCAGCTCAACATCGTGACCGTACAGCTTCAATTGTATCCTCCCATATGTAGAGTATTGACATTAATCTCAACCTCATGCACCAAATACTCCCCGGCAACCTCCACCCTGTAACAGTCTAGCTTCCATCATGTCATCCTCCAATTCCGCGCCACAAGACAAGCCGATCCCGGTCCTCCTCCTCAAGACGAAATCCAGCCCATCCGACGCATACGAAGACCTCTTCTCGGCCCCTTCTCATACTCCCCTCTTTGAACCAACTTTTGTGCCCGTCCTACAACACAAATTCGAAGAAAAGGGGGTAGATAGACTCCGAAACTTGCTCCGCCAGAAGCGCATCGGGAGCAACCCGGACTGCGAATTCGGCGGGCTGATATTCACTTCCCAGAGGGCAGTCGAGGCATTTGCGCATGTAGTCCGAGAAGACGAAGCATCAAATGGTTCGTATCCTTACATTTATCAAACAGTACCATCTCCTCTTAGCTAATATGGTTCGTTACAGATGATCCCGCATGGCCTCACTTACAGCACATCCCCATCTACAGCGTCGGGCCAGCCACCACCCGCGCCCTATCCGCCGTCTCCCAACAACCCCCCCTCCAAATCTTCGGCAGCCACACCGGCAACGGCGATGCCCTCGCCCAATTCATCCTCAGCCACTACACCGACTGGCACCGCAAAGACCATCCCCGACAACTGCCCCCCCTGCTCTTCCTCGTGGGCGAGCAGCGCAGAGACATCATCCCCCGCACCCTAATGGACCCATCTCTCCCCGAAGACCGCAGGATCCCCGTCGTCGAAGAGGTCGTCTACGGCACGGGCGAGATGCCGTCGTTCCCGGACGACTTCGCAGCGATATTGAGCAAGACGCAGCATAGCCCCTCGCGGTGGGTCGTCGTCTTCTCGCCGACGGGCTGTGATAGCATGCTTCGCGGCCTCGGGGTGCTGGATCCTTCAACGGGCAAGTTTTCTGGATGGCGGGATCGAGGGACGTTTGTGGCTACGATTGGTCCCACGACGAGAACTCACCTTGTCAAGAATTTTGATTTTGAGCCTGATGTCTGTGCTGAGACACCGACGCCGGAGGGAATACTAGAGGGGATAGTGGCTTTTCAGAAGAAGAGACTAGAGGGGACTGCATAGTAGCAATGGGAATGGATTGATAAATGAAGCAAGAGGAGGAATTTAGAACCTGTAGAGCTGATGCTGGCCATTGGCGTTTTGGCAAGACACTGTAACACATTGTAAGAGTAGATACGAAATCAAACAAAGACGGAATAAAGATAGAGGAGGGAGACGGCGCTCATTCAATTGGCTTTCTGGGGTATCATAGTATAAAGCGTCTGTCTGTCTGTCTGTCTGTCTGTCTGTCTGTCTGTCTGTCTGTCTGTCTAGGCATCAAATTCTCTCAAGGGAGTGTCTTCTTCCTCTCTTCCTCTTCCTTCTCTTCCCTTTGTTTCTTATATTATCACTCCCCATCTCACTCATAAGTCTCGACAAGTCTTCCTACACCTCTTATATAGTATAATTATGCATCACATGATTCGAATCATGTTCGACAGACGCTCACTCATATAGATGACATCTGTCTCCATTAGGCAGACGAATTGAAGAACGGGGCTCCAGTAGATGATGCACCAAATTAGGAACCCTCATCCCATGGTAGCAGGCAAATCAAGGTAGTTTTGAGCAAAGGCATGCTGCAACCTCATCACGCCCCAATCACCCACAGCTCAACGCCAATGACGCTAAACTTGGGCCCCGCGTCGCTCAGCGGCTCGTTGCCAAACGTCTCGCACGTCGCGCTGTGGCCCACGTCGAGCGAGTCGTCCAGCCACAGGCCGTAGTGGCCGCCGCCCGACCCCACGCTCAGGAAGCCCGTCTCGCAGTTGATGTAGAAGTCGTTGAGGCCGCTGTAGGGGAACGCCTTGAAGCGGATCCCGGGCGTCGAGGCGCCGGACCGTGACGGGGGAGCGAGCGTCGTGCTGCGTGTCAGATGGGTCGTGTCTGCGGACGGCGGCAGCGGGAGGGACGTCAGCGTCGAGGCTCGCCACAGGAAGCACTCGCCGTTGCCAAAGTAGGACGGGGCGGGATGAGGATACTCGGAGAGGTAGGCACCAAACGTCTGCGTCAAGTCAGCAAAACCGTCTCTACCCATATATCCCGACTCCAGCTTGTTTTTCAAGCTTTCCACAAGGACAAACTGCAAAAACAAAGACTTACCCCGCCCTCCTGGTCCTTGACAACCAGCACAAAGCCCACCCTCATACCCTCATACTGGCGGCACCGCTGATACAGCGTCGCCAGGCTGGTGCCGTTCTGCTCCAGGCTATACACCAAGCGCCAGTCCTCGGTGATGCGCAGCCGCTCCGGCACCATGGTGCGAATCTCCTCGGCCACCACCGTCGTCAGCAGCCTCGACCCGGCCGGCGTGTTGTCCTTGTATCCGTGCAGCACGACTGGGTCCAGCGGCGGCGGCCGGAAGGGGCTCAGCGTGCGCAGCGACGGCGTGTAGACGTCGTTGATGCCGTCCTTGAGATGGTGGTGGCTGTGGCCGTGGCCGTGGCCGTGATGACTATCGGCGTCTTCGTCAAACTCGCTGCCCACGCGTGTGTCCTCCGTCGAGAAGCGCCGCATCAGGCCCGTCCACATTGCTGCCAGCTTTCTTTCTTTTTTTGCCTTTTTGGCCTCTGGCGTGGGAAAAGCCCCCTTGTGGTAGGTACCTATAGTAAGCAGCCCTAGAGCTGATGGTATAAGCCGGAGGGTCAGGAAGTATCAATCTTGATCTTTCCACTGCCCAGAAGTCTTGGATGTGGCACCAGGTTGGTAATGGGTGGCAGAAATGTTCAATTGCGGTATGGCGGTAAGCAGCCGCGAGCAGTTACGATGTATCCAAAGACGAGACCCGCCAGCCGAGCGATAGAAGCCGGAAGGCCATGGAATTAGGGCAAAGAAAGAAGCCGATGACGACGCCCAAGGAGAAGAGAGAGAGGGGGGGAGAAAGCAGGGCGTGATCAAAATCCAAGGTGCAAAAGCTGCGTGTACCTGCGCAAGGTAAGACACCAAGACGACCCTAGGTAAGGTATGGTGGGCATCGAGTGCTTGTCACAGGCAGCTTTTTAGCTGTTCGACAGGGCTCATGCCTGCTGCTGTTTTGCCTCTGTCTGGTGGGGTTGGCCCGGATCGAATCATCCAATGCTGTCATTCCATTGGCTTGGCCCGAGACCAACAGGCCATTGCAGAAAACAGCCGTCCGTGTCGATCGCGACACTCGCCCCGCACCTCGGCCGGGACCAGCCTTTTGATGCTAAATATACATACTCGGGCTGTAGGTAGTACCTGTACTCTTGTAAATTGAACACGTTCATCTTGTAAAGCTAATCTATAAATACCTTGTACTCTTCAGCTCTTTTGTAGGAAAGCAGACACTCCATATACATCATCAACCATGTGCGTGTATTCGTCGAGATGCGCAGGCTAAATCACGACTCCCCCCGCAAAAAAGCAACCAAAACTTGAGCTTAAAAAAAAAAAGAAGCCATCCGAGGCCAGTGTATTTATTTCGTTTCATATCTCGTCTCATTCCTCCTTGCTTTGCTATCCGCTCGTCTTGGCCCGGCCAAGACTGATATCCTTTCTTTGCCAATCTCAACTCATCTCATTGCTGCATGTCCTCCGCAAATACCTCTGCAAATACCTCCGATTTTGTTCACCTTTGTGTATAAATTGCAAACAATCTCCTCCAACAACGTGCTTCATCGAGCTCTGAAAAAAACATGGCCAAGCTTTTACCGCATAATCTCTTGGTAAATCAGTTGCTTCAGCTGCTCCTTGCTCAGGGTATCTTTGTGCTTGTCGAAATCAAAGAACTCCTCCGGGATCGGAGGCGCGGTGGGCTCATCCTCAGGGTCATGATATGGCTCGAGGTAGGGGTGCTTGAGGGCATCCTCCACCGTGATTCGCTTTACAGGGTTGAACGCCAACAGCTTCTCCAAGAGGTCCAGTGCCAGGTCAGAAGTCTTGGGGAAGAGAGTGCGGAATGGCACCTTCTTCTTGAAGGGCAGCGAGCGGATGTATTCCCTTGCTCGTCGAGACTTGATGCCGTAGTAATCCTCCATGGTCGGCGTGCCGAGTACATCCAGGATCAGGGTCAGCTGGTGGTGGTCTGGAAAGGGCCTTGTGTCAGCATTCATTCGCGTAAAGAGTTCGGCATAAGTGCCAACTTACAGTCCTTTCCGGGGAACAGAGGCTTGCCGCTGAGCATCTCGGCCAGAATGCAGCCAACGGACCAGACGTCAATGGCCTTGGTGTACTCCTTGAAGGTCAACATGATCTCGGGGGCACGATACCATCGCGTGGCGACGTATTCAGTCATGAAACCAGAGTTGTCCTCCTGGGAAGCAGCGGATCGGGCAAGACCGAAATCGCAGACCTTGAGATCACAGTTGGCATTTAGCAAGAGGTTAGATGGCTTGAGATCTCGGTGCAAAACGTTTGCCGAGTGCATGGCCTTGAGCGCTCGCAGCGTCTGGTAGATGAAGTACTGGCAGTGGTCGTCGGAGAGGTCCTGGGTTCGAATGACTCTGTGCATATCCGTCTCCATGAGTTCCTGCACGAAAGTTCCATGGTAAGCAAATATAATGAAAAAAGGTAGAGTCAACTTGCGGAGCTCCGGGGAGACATACCTGGATAAGGTAGACCTCGTTGAAGCTATCGTAGCTTCGAGGCTTCTGGATATCAAGGATGGAGATGATGTTTTCGTGGTTGAAGTAGCGCAGGAGCTTCATCTCTCGCAGAGTTCTCAGACAGAACATGGAGTGGTCGAAGGGGGTAATCTTCTTGATGGCAACCTTTTGCCCGGACGGCTTGTGAATGGCAGAGCTGCCCCAATGCTGTTAGAATCTGGGCGTGCGTAGCTACATACATCCAGACCGCAAGTCCGGATCGGCAGGAACTTACCAAACAACTCCGTAGGCTCCCTCGCCAACAACATCCTGGATGTCATACTGCTCGCTGACGTTGAAGGAGATTTTGCGTGATGCCGACGCATTGTTGGGGGGGTTCGACCGAGACATGATGGTCGGGCTTGCGCTCTGCGCGACTTGAAGCTGAGGTAGTTGGTTGTGGGCGGGTGACGGTTAATGGCCAAAGGTGGGTGTCCGAGCTCGAGAGCGTACAGAAACGCAACGCAGCACCAGGCGGGAAAGGGTAAACAAAGGCCTCTCCGTACGATATGCGTTGGAGATTCTCGTCGGTGCCCGCAGGCTAATATGCGGATAGGCCAACTAAACGGGACCTCCACCCAGCGAACTAGAACAGAGTCAGTTTGAGGCTCTTGTCGTGGCAGACGAGGGGGGGGATCACGGCTATACGAACAGAAGGTGGGAAAAGGAACGGGCGCGGATATGCAGAACAGCTGCCAACGCTTATCTTGGGGCCGAAGAAAGAGGAGTTGAAGAGACGAAAAAAAGGCGCTCAGTCTCGGAACAAGGACAACGGATGAAATAAGAATACGAGCGGACAAAGACAAAGACAAGACAAGACGGACGGGCTTCTGGCAAATGATATGGAAGTCTCGGTGTGTTGACGAAGAAGCACGAGTCGCTGGCTGCGGGGTCGAAGGTGCGTGCTGGTCCAAGTCCAAGTGGGGTGGCCCAAGGCCTTTGTATCTGCTCAGCTGAGGAGCGTGCGTTAGCGAGCCGGTGCTTTGTCTCTGTACAAGCAATAATTCAGGAGCGCCAGCGGGGGCGGGCTAGGAGTTGAGAGGCCCAGGCCAGGCCAGGCAAGGGGTCAAGTTGCAGACAGTTGAAGGCCTGGGCTAGGCTACCGAGTACAAGTAGGTATGTTGCCGGTACTAGTAGCCTCGATAATAGGTGGTGCAGGGCCCTGGATGGACTGGACCCGGCTGGCCTGTTGATGCTGATGCTGTGGTGGACACGGAGCAGATGCATGGAATACCTACCAGAGCCCGCCTGGAGTTGGAGTTACAGGTTCGTGCCGTACGGGTTCAGGCCGCGCGCGGATCCGCTGGTGGCCCCCCCTTGCAACTGTCCTGTGACAACCTGCCGATCCTGGGCAGAACCAGATCGAAGACAGGCGCTGGTCGTTTTGTCTGTACCGTATCGAGCCCGGGTTTGAAAGGCTCGAAACAGCAATGCCCTTTGGCTGAAGAAGGGGGGGGGGGGCTGGACCAGACGGGAGACTGTTGACGGGGAAATGCCGTGGGAATGCATGCATGCATGTAGATATGGCCTGTCAAAACGCCGGCACAACATACAGGTGCCCTTTTCGGGGGAGGTTTCCTTTGTGTTTTGTTGAAACAAAGACCTCAACTGGGAGTGAAAACAAAGGGCTATCTACAAGGATTTGTTTTCTAGAACGGAAGCCGGTTTTAGATTGCTGAAGATTTTCTTTGGCCGCATACCTAGGTACGAGAGGTAGCTTGTACCCTCAGTCTACCTAGTACCTCCTTGGTACGAATGCCAAGGTGCGCTTTGTTCTTACCAGAGCTCTGATGAGAACTACCTTGAAGGCAAAAACAATCATCTCATCATCCAATTGTGACAAAGAGAGGGGAAAGGTGATTACACTGCAGTAAGCTCGCGCTGAATATGCACCCCCCCTCATCTTCATCACAAGCAACAAAGAGAATGGACAAACCAAGTTGGCCGTCTTACTCGTACTTTGTTTCTATCCCGATGGCATTCAAACAACCTGAACCTAAACCAATCCCATCCAGCTCCCGGCGCCTGCCTGAGCTAAAGCCCGCTAAAGCCCGCTAAAGCCTTCAATGTTCCATAGCGCAGTTGATGGTCTCGGCAGGAGAACGACATGGGGGGCGTCTGGGGCATCTTACAGGCTCAGCCCGCCCTGTAGCCCTCCAGCTTCTTTTGCGCCAGCGCGTTTGAAGTTCCGACTCCGAACGAGGTCCAGGCGCTTCTCTTCAACGGCCATCTCAACCAACAAACTCCAGTCTCGATACTCGTCAACATCACAATCCAATCCATACGATTGCATGCCCGATGAGTCATATGATCCCTTCTACATACCTAGTACATCCCCCTTTCTTTCTTTCTTTCATCTCATGACTGCATCCATCATCACAAAGCAAACTAACCCTCTTTTTTTCCCCTAAGCGCCTAATCTCCATCCCCATTGGCCAGCCAAGCGTCCCCCTCGCCTGTTTCATCACACTCCCACCTGCGGCGTAAATCACAAATTCCCCCAATAAAGGGGCCCAACCTCAAACCACGACGTTAGAGGTTCTTCTCCAGCGTCGTTTCAGGCACTTGGCCCGTATTTCTCATCCCAGCCTTTTTTCCCTTCCATGTTAAACCCTACCGTACGGTTGCGAGTACGCTTCTTTGTTCGTCCTCCTCCCTGTCCAGTTACCGAATATTACAAGAAAACACTTGTACCAAGCGTAAAAGACGAGGCAAATCACGTAACAGTCTCCCAGTTACACCACCACAAATGTGACGCACAAAAAAAGGCCGTCTCTCCGTATTGGTTACCAATGCTCGAAAATTTATGGAGTTTCCCAACCCAATCAGATAAAACACGCCACTTCTGCCCCCGTCCCGCCGACGAAACAAAGTGCTCCAAGTGCCCTTTTTAACGGCCGGCCGGCCGGCCTCTATCGCCGTCCGCCGCATTGCAACCGCGGGCAGCGATGCCGAGATGCAAGACAAGAGTAGCATCTTGGCACTTGGCGGTATAAAGGCAGGATAATGCCTGATGAGGCTAGACGGCTGCCTAGATGAGAAAGTAGACAAAGACGCCTCGAAACAACGTACTCAGCCACAGGACTTGGCTGAGTCTCAAGAAACACATCTTCAGTGCTTCAAATTATAAGCGACCATTTGTTGAAATATTGTTCGTTTACCATAAAAAAACAGACATAATCCCATCTCCTCATACTCGCCCTCATTTTTTTCTGCCAAAGGCCGGCCACCATGAGATTTCCCCTTCACTACCTAGTCTATACAATTATTATTGTGACACCACCGCTCACATACAATCCTTAACAATCATTACTGCACAACCTAGATGATCCATCATGTTAGCTATCGCGTGTCGCTGATAGGGTTATCTATGGGGGTGCCGGTTGACGTACCTTTTCTCGAAGTGAACCAAGCCACTGTGCCGCACTTACTCCCTGGTCTGCCCGGTCCTCGACGAGCAGCGTTTGCGCCCACAGCTTGAGAGATGGCTCGCCGTCCTCCCGAACAACGTACAGGTGCGGCACCGTGATGCTTCCCACGCCAAGTGCTCGGTGATCACGGCTCTTCTGGATCACGGCCCTAATGCGCTCGTTGAAGTCGTTTTCGAGCTCGGGAACCCGGCCCTTGCCGACGTGAACCTGTGTGCGGTCCTCCACTCCAAAGACGTCGGCGATGAGCTGAGGAACGGCATCGCGGCCCACCCACAAGAACTGCACCTGGCCGTCGTCAATCAGATAGAGGCCGTATGGCACCAATCTCTCCAATGACAGGTTTTGTGCAGGGGGTAGGGTAATTTGCCCTGTGGCCTCATCCGGGACACCCGCATTGTCGGGCATGTCGTGCAGAGAGTAGAGTCTGGGGTAAATGTATCGGATCAAGAGCGGGATCGGAAGCGTGGACAAGAGGCACAAGGCGGCCGATCGAATGTCGGAAGGAATTTGCGCCGACTTTCGTAGGCCGACATTCTTTGTGAGGCCAAGGAACAGGAGAGGGAGTCCTCGGAGGTTGGCAGGGAACTGCAGACCGCCGCCCATGCTGCCGCCGGCGAGCTCCTTCTTGAAAGTCTGGAGAAGCTCGGTAACCTTGGCTGACAGGGCGTCTCGGGCCGCATCCAGGCCGCTGCTGAGCGCTCTCTCGACGGCCTTGTGGCTGAAGTAGGCTGTGATGGCGGACTGGTCCGCAGACGCGTACAGGTCAGACAGGTTCGTCGTTGTTGGCAGGGCCAGAGTCAAGACCCTAATGCGACGCTCTCCATTGCATGTCGTGTGTAGCACGGCCGCCTGGAGGCATACCACGTTCTTAGTAAGACTCTCGTCAATGGCGACTTCAACAACGTAGCACTGATCGCGGGGGAAGGCCGGGAATGCGCAGAGATCTGAGCTGCGGTTGAAGAAATTTCCGTAAAAGGCATTCATGCGCAGACCAGTGGTCGCGCGAACTCGGAGGACGGCCTCCAATCCAATCTCGGAAGACAGGTAGTCGCTAAACTCGGAGGCGAACTTGAGTGCGTCCTCCGGTCGCGAGGCGTGCCAGCCAGGATAGAACCAAGTCTGTCCACCCGTATATCTCGGCAAGTTGCTCAATGAGGCCACGTCCTGGTACTGGGATGAGAATAAAAACATGTCAATAGAAACCTGGTTCTTGGAGCACTCGACGGCAAAGCTCTTATAGAAGCTGTTCGAAGTCTGCAGGAGGCTGCTCTCCTTGGAGGTTCCCAAGAGCTTCTTGTCTTCCCTCATGTCCAGCTTTCCGACGCCGGTGTTGGGAAGCGAGGCTGTGAGAACAACAATCTTACCACCAAGCGCGGAGATGAGCTTGTGTCCCGCACGCAGGGCGGAGCCCATGCACGAACCGTTGCTCTGGTTGTTCTGGAACATGTCCGGCAGCTTCTGGAGGAACTTTTCGATGCTCTGGCGGCTCTCGGTCAAGGGAACCAGGAGGTCGTGGGGCACCGGCAAAAAGGGCTCGTCAAGGTCGCTGACCACGAGCATGCTGGTCTCGCCATTCTCTTCCGAATCCTTGGGGATGGAGAAGTAGTGAAGGCTAGAGTCGACGGCGAGGAAACCAAGGCGAGTTCGGCGATCCGCGTTGGGTATCCTGTTCAAGCTGTCCAGGATGGTCCTGGCACTCGTGGCCAGGAGGCCGTTGGAAACAGCCGCATAGCTGACGTCGAAGAGGAAGAGGTACACCAGGGGCTGGGGCGGTCGGACCATGTACTCCTGGGGGGCGACAAACTCGACGACGGCGTGGTTGAGCTCGTGGCGTCGCCATCTGTCGGCAGCCTGCTGGGCCGCAGCATCCCAGTCGAAGGCCTGGGGCACGTCGTTGCTCAGGTTGCACATGTTACACCTCCAGCGGTGGCCGTGGTCCAAAAAGGTAACAAATGGGTTGATATACGTCCTACATCTTCGGCAACGTGAAATGACCTGATCTTGGACCACGGGGATGGGATCCTCGTCGTCGTGAAGAGCTCCGTACGGCTGGATGATGAGAGCAAACGGCAGCTTGGACTTCTTGAGCAACGAGTTGGATGTGGGGACGGCGTTGATGGTGGAGCGAATGTATCGCGAAGAGCAGTTGGAATCCGGCGAGGCAGTCACGCTGGTCTGTCAAGAAACGCAGCTCATATTAGCGCACGTCATCGCGCATGGCATGTTGGACAGGATGTCAAATCTTACATTAGGCGGAAGAATGATTGGAGGAGGAGGCAGATCCAGCTCCGTGACGTTGAAAGGCTGGGTCAAGAGGTCCGTAGGATAAAGCTGGTTGAGAGCAGCGGGCCTGTTTGCTTGGGCCATCTGCGGGGGCTGAGGCTGGGCTCCCATCTGCATCCCAGCCATGCCCTGGGTGATGCCGGCGATGCCAGCGGCAGGACCCTGACCACCCGGCGGTTGATATCCCTGATCCGGAGCCTGGTAGCCGCCATATGCGGGCTGCGCTGCGGGCACGGGTTGCTGTGCGCCATAGCCGGCTTGGGGATACTGGTATCCAGGCGCCGCGGGTCCGCCAGCGGCAGGTTGAGGCTCGCCCTGCGGATAGGCACCGTAAGGAGCAGCACCGCCTTGGACTGGCGGCACGCCGTACTGCTGTCCGACTGGTAGCTGGCCGCCAGCTAAAGCATTGGCTCCTGTGCCGACCTCGAAAGCTTGCGCCGCATATCCTCGCTTCTTCTTTTTGCCCGCAGCAGCCTCGTGGCCGTGAGGTGCGGCCTGGCCATCGTATGGCTGTTCCTGGGCTTGCTGGTCAAGCGGCTGGCCGTAGCCATCGCTGGGAGGCGCCGACATGATGAGATTGAGTAGAACGAGGGCGTCGCTCTGTGCGCGATCAGAGGCGAGGGATGTTGGGATGGAGTTCGGTCGGTGGGGAGGGCTGGGCCTCTAGAGGATCGTTTGCTCTGGGCGAGAAAGCTCTGCCTATGGCCACGAGGTGACGGCCGAGGGGGTGAAAAGGCCGAGGTTGCGTCCGACAGTCGAAGGATCGAACAATTCGATGTCGAAGCCAGCCGTCTGGGTGGATTGGCAGGCGGAAGCAGGATCAAGATTCGTTGGTGGGCGTCACTGCTTGTCGTCCAGTCGATAGGTAGAGTGTCCTTTTTGGATAGGTATTAGACACCGCCTCTGAGCCACACAAAGAGGGGCGCTGTGGCTAGGGAGAGAGGCGTTGAGACGCGGTGGAGCACGAGGTACTAACAGGCACTAACAGGAAGAGGTAGCAGCGACTGCAGCAATGCAGGTCGATATTGTTTGTGTTGTATTGGTGGTTGTGGGTTTTATAGAACGATTTCATAGACCCTTGAACTTCCAATACCATTGAACACCTAGACGTTTTCCAAAGACACGAGGTATCCAGAAGAATGGATTATCCACGGCTGAGCTTCGAGACATTGTGAGATGCCGTTGGAAACACGTCGCTACATGCCATTTCGGTACGCGTACAGGGACTTGTTGAAAGGTGGCCAAAAAGCAACCACGGTACTAAGGCAACATTTGTTGATCCTCAGCGATACGAGCAAGCTTGAATCAAGCCACGTGGTACATAGATCTAAACACGGGGTAGATGGCAGATGACTGGTTCCTGATGACTTGCCGCGACGAGAACAGCTGAACCTCGCATCTCAGATCTGAGCCGTACACAATACGTCAAACTTCAGGGTAGCTGTTGATCTCCAAAAGCTCGATGAAACAACTCTTCACAAGTTGAAGCAAACAGCGGCCGGAATTCGGCAACTTGCCCAGACCCTAATCTCCCCGCCAAGGCAGACAAGGGCGTCGCAGCGGTTCACCCGTCGATGCATGCAGTGCAGTACTAATACATATTGACATCTGATACCCTGTCCATCATCATCATCCCCCGATTAGGACATTTTTCGCTGTGGGGGATCCCTCTGCAGTATGTACCGCGTCTAAGCTCCCCGGCTGTGCTGATGCGATTAATTGCTTACACGAGCTAAAGCATTTCAATTCACCGCTGTGTTGCCGACTCTCTTTCTTTCTTTTTTCTTTTTTGAGCTCCCTCTTTTGCTGCCAGTGAGTGACTCATGAATTGCCCATATATCTGATACCACGACAAGGAGCTTCTTCTAGTGAGAATGTCACCCTTCTTTAGACGAACCCTGCAGGTACCATCAATGCAATTGACGCAAAAGCGTCTCTTCGCAGGAACCGCGTCAATGCTCTCCATGCTCTGCTCTCAATGTTCGGCCACGGAACGATAATAATAGACGGGATGCGGTAATCCTACAGGTCCCTACTTTCAGGTCCCCTCGCTAGCCCGCCACAGCCCACCTGCCCCCAGCGCATTAGCGTCGCCAACAGCCCACTGGCAGCCGCTGTAAACTGCAGGCTGGCGGCCCCCCTGGCTTGCAAACGCGAACTACCTACCTAGTATCAACAAGATGAGATGAGGAACAAGCATCATCATGAGTTGAGCAAGGGGAACAAACAAAACAGTATGTCAGAACCAAAAAAAAAAGGCGCGGGTGAACGGAAAGATGCTCAACTCCTCAGCCCCGAAAGCCCAAAAAGCCCCAGATATTCTCTTCCCTTGATCAAGCAACCCGGTCTAGTGTTACAAAGACAGACCTGTGCAACCGTGCATGTAGCTCAGCAGCTATTTCGGGCAGTAATAATCGAAAATCCAATCGCCAAAAGGCTGAGGCCTCCTCCACTCACTTGCACATGCATTCAATTCGCATTCTTTTTAATCTTTTGCATTCCCATTCCACTCCCTCCAAGCTTCCCATCACTCCAAAGCCATCAACTTGCTTTCTTCACGCTCCCTCTTTTTATTTTTCAGTTCTTCCAAAAACCGTCACGGGTTCGATTTTTTTTCTGGCCTTTGCCGCCTTTTTCTTCTTCATTCCAACTCTTTTTCGCTCCTTTGACATTTGATCATCTGGTCGCGCCACGTCCATTTCCCCAAGAGTCGCCTGCTTCGTTTGCGCCTCGCCGACAAAATCGCCTTTAATAACACACCCAAAAAGAACCAAAACCTTAGATACCCCGGGCTATATTCGTTCGCCCAGTTTTTTTTTTTAAACTCAGAACAGCATCGCTTGCCTCCCCGCATCGCGCCACTCCCTCCTGAATATCATGGCGTCAACCTTGGGGTAACGTCTCTCTTTCATTCTCTCTCTCCCATCCCTCACTTAACTCTAAGCAAAGAACATAAACAACTAACATGCATCTTACGCCCTGCTCCAGCCAAATTATTCCCCTCATCATCGCCATCGCCCTCCTCAGCGGCGGCGGCTGGGTCCTCTACCAAATCTACCTCTCCTTCGTCCAGATGCGCGAGACCGCGTCCGAGCGCATGGGCCGCAAAAACGTCGTCTTCACAAAGGACGGCGTCCGCGTCGGCATCAAGCAGATGCAAAACGAGAAATACGTCGACAAGACCCAGAGCTACGTCGTCAAGGCCTGGAACCTGGGGACCGCGCAGAGGGACGAGGAAATGTGAGCAGCCATCACCCTTTGCGACCTATGTTACACTATTGGGGGGACCTGGAGAGGCTGTTACTTTGTCGCGGGGAGCTTTTTATGCCTGGGTACTAATGTTCCTTGGGATTATAGGAAGCGGAAAGGCTCGAAATAACGGAGTCGGAATAAGCTTGACGAGTCAACTTTGGATTCAAATGTCAAAATGACATGTGACGGACGGCATAGGAATTACTTGCAACTGATGAGAGTTTGCCGACTAGGACTTGAATGGGAGGGAGCATTGTTTTTTTCTTTCTACTTTTCATGGATGGAGCCCCTTTGGAAATGTATTGCGGAGGAGCGTCTAGCTGGGCCATCGCTTGATTGACTGAACAAGTCATCTAATAGGCCGTTATACATATCCTAACATCTAACTCTCTCTTAAATGCAGCCACACTGATAATTTTCCCTAAATAAGACCAAAATGATGACACTGTCAAACGCAAGAACCTATGACATGCTCCTAGCCTGTGCGCCTGACCCAACCTTTCCTTTTCCTCGGTTGATCACCCGATGCCTGCGCCTTCGAAATAACAAATAAGAACCGGTCCGTATGGTCTTGCAGTTCATCTCAATCCCCTTCCGGACTTGTATCGTCGTACGTCGAAATAGCGTGCTGCGTCAACTGCCGTCTCACGTTAGCGGGCTGCCCATCGCTAGGTGCGGCTGCTTCACATACCAATACAGTCGGCTGACCCTGGAACATCTGCTGCCGGAACATCTGCGGTGCCATGGGCATCGTGGGTAAAACTTCGGACGGCTTTGCGACTTTCATGGAAAGAAGCTTCTCGACGTTGACAGACGGACTGTTGGCCATTGTGCCATCCATTCTAATGAGCATGGAAGGAGTCCGATATTGGAGCTGCGGGTTGATTACAGCTGTTAGCCAACTTATACATGTGCATGTGCAGGACATGGAAATGGGGGATGTATTCATACCTGTGTTAGCATGAGAGCGTACGAGACGCCAAGATGCTTTCCGATGTAGGTGAGCCGTCCACGAGCCCAGGTTCGCTGGTGATCAGTCGTGTAGTCTTGTCCCTGGATACAAGCCAGCGGCCAGGTCAAAAAGTATCCAGAGAGGCTTTTGAAGGTATCGTCTTCGCCGCAGGCAAACCCGGAAAGGCTGTCTTGCTGAAACAGGTGCTTTCGTGTGCTGAACCACCCGAGCTGGTAGGGTACCGAAGCTATGATATCGGTGATGTTCTCCACGCATATTCTCCTCGCTGTGGCATACTCTGGCGCTGTGCGGTAGTCGACGGGTGAGCAGACCCAGGCGGCACACCGAATCACGACTGACGCCAGGATGATTCGTGATACTCGCATCATGCCCCAGAGGCTAGCCACCCACAGATCTGGGTAGGCGTCGACGCGGCCTGGGAACACTTCCAGCTGACCGTAGTCGGCATCAGGGATTTCATCTTGCCAGAGGATGGTCCGGTATCTAAAATGGTCTGGGAGCGTCTCCGCCCATCGGATGCAGTCAAAATCCACCTCCCGAGCTTGTCTGATCAAGTCTTTCATGGCTTCAACGCTTTCCATGTTTCGAGGGAGCTGGCTCATGAGCCGGTTTACCTCTGCCCTGATTTCCCCGGTGCGAATGCCGAGCCTCTGGCACTGAGAAGCATACGTATCGCGGACAGAATCTGAATTAAGCCACCACTCCGCCTGCATTAGAGGTGGTTTGGCAGTACTGAGCGTGTGGACAATCTACGAAAACTACAGTCAGAACAGGAAGATATAAAAGCATACGAGGAGTCAAACATGTGGTCATGACAGAGGAAGAACCTACCATCTGGGTTCGCACCGCTATGAACAAGGCGACACCGATTTTGGTCCGGAGTTGTTTGCGGCCCCGTTTCCTGACAAGCTGGATGGCGGCACGGATGTGAGGCCCCCAAGCCAGCATGCCGAGGTTTCTGGTTGTAATGTTTTCGAAAAGCCCCAGCAAGAGGATTGATGCTAGTGTAGAATCCTGCTTGATGGTGTCTGGGTTGTTCAAGGCTATATTTATAGCCCCCAATGCCTTTGAATGAATGCGCAGGGCGCGTTCAACCAGAAGCTCGTCCCCCCGGGTATTGGCGAAACTAGCCATGGCGCAGGCGTCGAATGCGGCTTTGAAATGGGGGGCCACCTCTTCTGCCCTGAGCAATGGTACTACGTACTCGTGGAACCCGCGCCCGTTGCCTTGCCGCGGAATGAGGACGTAATTGGAGAGGAAGTGGCAAGTCACCTGGCCGTCCAAGTCCATCTGCGGCTTCTGCAGTAGGGAGTAAAGGCCGGTCCAAGGGGTCTGCTGATTCTTGCGGCCATAGGAAGCCGTTGAGGACAGGTGTTGAGATGTCGCAAAGGAGGGGTTGGCGGTTGAATCTTGACCGGTTGAAAACGTCGGCTCAGGCGTAGAACCGGGGGCGAATTTGGTCATCCTTTGCGCCAAAGCCTTTTTTGTTGCCCGCTGCGCTCTCTTCTCCGTCGCCTGGGTCTCGTTACGAAACACCAGGTCGAACTCATCTCGGTATCCAGGGCACTGCCGGCGAGACTTGGCACACTGGTTGCAGGTGGGCTTTGTCTCGTCACACTAGTAGATGATGAGTTTCGACGCGGAGCTTCATAACAGGGCAAAGAGCAAAGAGACATACCTTGATGCGACGAGTACGGCACATCTGACAGCCCCTTGAAGGCTTGCCTTGGTAAACCATGGTGAGTGTACGAAGCTGGCTGGCTTATATCAAAGAATATCGGGTTCGGAGCTTGAATATCGTATTCTCGAAACCATGATATTGGACCATGGAGAAGTGGCCAGAAACGTCGGCAAGATGAATGTACAGACGACAGACCTTTGACAGCGGATATATAGGTATATGTATGTATAGGAGAGAAGAAGAGCGTGTTGAGGCTGATATGGGGCGAAATTGGGCCTGACCCTCTTGCCAAATCGGGATGGGAGAGCTCGAATGAGGATGAAATAGCGTGTGAAGCCAAACGCCACGCAGCCCTATCTCGGTACCAAGAGCCGAAGAAAGTAAAAGAAGGATTAAAAGGGGAGAGGCAGTTAGAAGATCGAGGGACCGTCTTCAAAAACGGAATCGCGGCGATATTGTAGAGTGGTCAGCTTCCAAGGCAGGCAGCTTATGGGCTCTCGAGGTGACGGTGAAGGAGAAAAGATTCGAGAGACGAGAATCCGAGGGCGCCAAGCAACTCCCAATGGTGATGGGGGAGAGGGAGGGGGGCCCGTAAACAAGAGGCCACGAAGGGAAATGTTTGCTCAACCTGTCACAAGGCAGGCAGGTGGATGACGGTGCAACAGTGAGTGACGAGAGATGCCGAGTGTTGGCAGGTAGGCGAGAAGCGATGTATCTTGCGATGAGAGAGGAGTTGAGCAGCGACTTTGGTGAGATGGATGTCTGATTTGCCGAGGCTATGTAGCTAATGAATGGTTGGATGTGCCTCCCGGATAAAGTGGTGGCGAATACACACGGCAGAAGCAATGAGGAGCGATCTGGAATCGGACAGCAAGTTGGACGGACGCCTGGAGACTGCGCCAAGGAAGACAAGGGGCCAAGGTTGGGGGCGGCTGGAAAATTATACAGGGCGTTGACGAGCCAGATGAAGGACTGCGGTGGATGAAGCTATCGCAGGCAGAGTTGGAGATATACTCGTATGCCGTCCACTTGGTGCTGCTGTAAGCGAAATCCGGACCCGGATTGCAGGATTTCTAGCGAGCCGGGATCTTGGTCAGATTCAGGCGTGCCAGCCGGGGAGCCTCTGCCGGTCGACTGTCAGGCTCTCGCTCTGGCTCAACTCTCTTTTACTTGTCGAACCGACTCGGACTCACTTGTACGTAAATTCTTCTTTGTAGGCCTGACGCGGGTATCAACGAGAGGAGACGCTGGAAAAAGAAAATAGAAGAGGTCAACGTGAAGCGCGAGCTCCGGGATGACGACGAATGAGGGGGGAAAAGAAAGGAAAAAAAGGACTTGGAATAGGAGGCCCCAGGGATAAAAGAACGGTCTCGATGCCAGCCAAACGGGAGACGGGCTCACAAAGAGCAAAGCATCAAGTGAGACGGTTGGAAGAACGAAGGAAAAGAAGGGAAAAGAAAGGAAACGGACGGGTTTGGCGGGAGGGTGAAATTCGTTCTCGTCACGGCAGCGTGATGGCCATGGGATGGCACTTCGCACGAGACGACCAAGAAACCTGGAAGCGAGATCTTGGCGGTACCTGCGTGGATACAAAAGCTCACGGGTTGGTATTGGTACGGGTGCAGGCAGCACGGCGGAGGGCGTTGGGCTTGGGGCCTGTACCTGTACGCGCACCCTGCCTACTGGCCGCCGCTGGGTCTGGTACTTTGGCAGATGTAACCTGCCGTGTCGCGGATCTCAGTTTGCCAGGCCTCAGACACTGGACTGGACTGACAGGTGCCAGGGGCTGCAGTTTAGTACCCAGACGCCATTTGAAGCCATCTAATCAATCACACTGGATCCATCAATGCATCAATCCAATGCTATATTGGGCCACAGAGAACTTTGACCGCTAACCGAAGCAGCTAAACTAGGGGTAAAGCCGGTGCTGTTTCTTGCGAGTGCCGAACGCATCTCCAAAACATCTTCCCATCAATCCACCCGCATTGGAACCAATATCGTGACAAATTGGCATTCCCAGATCCCGGGAAATGCTGAAGACTCTCTTGCTGCCAAGGTGGAGCCAAGCCGTGCAACCGTTGCGCAGGTCGAAAAAAGCTCGTTCAAGACTTCTTATTTGCTGTGCACGGTTCAAAGGGCGGCAGCTCGCCGAGATTTGACTCCCCCAAGTCCGGACTCCGCGCCTCGTACTTTAATATAAAAAGGAAGGGAAAAAAAGAGATGCCACCAACAACAGCAGGATCGAGACTCGTCCCATCCTTGGAAAAGGCTGCCCCCAACAAGCATAAACTAGCATGGGTCGGAGTGATCAAGCTGCGGAGTGACCTGATCAAGCCCCCCCCCCCTGGCCTAGGACCCAGCAGATTCAATGCCAAAGGTCTAGAGCTGCAGGTTTAACACGCTGGGGAAGCGCGGCTAGCGAGAGATTTGAAGCCTCACCGAAACGCATTGGTGTATCTACCGCCTACACTAAAACAAACCAAACTCCCACGAGCCGTCAAAGTTCAGTCTTTTGGGCTATAATTAGCTGCGACAGGCCAAAGGGGGAACCGCTTCTGTTTGACGAGTGTCATGGGGGGTTCCATCTGCCGCTCCCCCAAGGTGAACTAGCACGGCACCGCTGTTACGAGGGCCAAGAAAAACGAAACAAAAGGCGGCACTCAGAAACAGAAAAATAAGGAAATAAGAACTATGAACAGAGGAAAGAATGGTGAGAGATGGGGGAATAGAGCATCCCGGCCAATGGATTGTTGCGGGTGCGCAAAAAGAGGCTACGTGCAGTTCCGAATGGAGGCTACTGGCAGGCCGTGGGCGTCTAGATCCCGAACTCGACGACTCCCTCGTCTCCGTTGATGAGCTCTGCAACTGGTGCTGATGCATCTGATCTCTTCTTCGTCTTTACCAACTGTTTCCTCGGGCTGCTATATCCGTACACGCAGCACCATCCATGTAAGTAAGATGTCTGATGGTATAAAACCACCATTCACCATCTTGACCTCCAACGCCCGCAATCCAACCGCCAAGAAAACCTCCCTACCATCGCCATCCCAAGCCTGTCCTTTACCGAACCGTCTCTCCCCGGTAGGCCAAACACGCGAAGCGAGACGGATCACAGCGTTGCCTCCTCGTACGTACGACCCCCCCCCCTTCGTTGCACGTCACACCCAACAGAGGCCCTGCCCAGCTCAGCTCAGTACGCATGTTTGCCTCTCTCTCTCTCTCTGTGCCCCCCCTTTCTCCTTTTCCCTCCCTCTCTTCTTAGTTCTCACGTGTTTATCTTGCGATATTAGGCACATATGTATGCCTACGCAGCCTACGCACTCCTTGGTTGGGACAATATTCCTCGCACAATGCTTCCAGACAGCCCCCCCCCCCCCCCCCCTGTAATCCAATACAAAGGCACTCATGATGACGATGCTAATGGCACCAACTTCGCCTACGCATGCATGCATACGCAACTCCCAAAGTCACACAAGGGTGGCTGTTTTCAATACTATATCTCCTGCAAAACACCTGAACCCATCCCCACCGCCGTAAAATCCGGACTCCGGACAACTCGTACTTCCAACGTCCAACATACCCAACTGACTGACAATCCCAGGCGACACAAGCCCCAGTCCAATCACAACAACCACAGCCTTGGTTGCTTGGCATCTCTCGGAAATATTATTATGACATGTAGGATTCGGCCAAGGATGCTAGGCAGGGGTCAAACCCGCCTTCAGCAACGCCTTTTGGACATGGTCTAGGACAAATGCACATACGGCCTGTCCAAGTATCAAATAGCTCCAACTTGTGCTACTAGATTTCATTAACATTCCTAGTAACTACGAGTCTTCCTCCCCTTTCGTGGCTTTGTCCACCTTAAATTACCAGAATTCCTGCGGTGCCTTGAGGCGGTATGACAGCTTCATCCCATGCCTCTTATGCCAGTCTGCATGGCATATGACACTACCTACTGCTCGGGCTTCTTCCCACGAACAGTCTCTTGCCCCCCCTCCCTTCTCAGGCTTCTTCTTTACATCCTCCAGCCTTCCACCTATGGCTCTTGCACCGTAGGCTCTAACAAAGCAAAAGATGTGCTATAATATAGAACAGTATAAGACAATAGGGAAAAGGCAAACTCCTGTTGCGCCCCATTGTCGCCATTGTTAAATCCTTTTTTTTTTTTTTTTTTTTTTTTTTAGTTCGCCTCTATCGACACTCTGGCAGCCTAAACCGCCACCCAAAGTTTTTTTGTTTTAACCCTCAAATAAATTAGAAATGCCCTCCAGGCCATCAGGCGTAGCCCTGCCCCCGGCCTCATCTGCCCTTTTGCGGCCCGCAGCATCAGATGCTGCCGGAGTGGTAGTCATGAAGCCCTGTGCCATTTTGCTTCGGGCTGGGCGCTTAGAGCGGCTCGAACTGTCAAAGTTTTTGTTCAGCTTCCCCATCTCCGAGACGCTCACTCCTTTGAGATCCTTCAAGAATTCCAAGACAATTGCTCTCTGTTGCCGAGTGTGGGATCCCGGCTTGGCGACGTAGGCATTTAGGCGCTCTAGTTCTGCAGGATTCACATTGGGCAGTGCCAAGAGAACGTCGGTTGGCGTTGAAGTGATTGTGCTATAGTAGACCACAATGGTGGCAATGAGCGATGCCAACTCCTTCTGCACATCTACAAAGTATGGCTCGTGGAAGGATGTGATGCATGATCTCAGTACGTCCGAAGAGATATACTCTCGGACAGCCGTAGCGATTTCCGAGGGGATGGGAGACGCATCCGCCGAGGCCCCGTTTCCATCAGAAGTTGTTTGGTTTCTCTTAGATCCTTGACCAGACGTCGAGAACTCCGGCACCAGAGAGATGAATAATCGCAGTAGCATGCCGCAACATCGAATGTCTCGCATGCGAATTCCATGCATGCAAAAAAGCAAGAGTGGTTCGATAATCTCCTGGTGGGACAAGCAAAACTTTCGAAGAGAGGGATAAGAATCCCTAGAATGGTTGTGCTCGCCAGCATTCTGGGCCTGTGACTTCAAAGTTGGAGAATCTATATAAAAGGTTAGCAATGGCAAATATGTCGAAAGTCATTAGGGATTCATCTTACTCGGCTTGGTTGGATCCAGAAAGTCGGCCACTAGCACGACAGCAGTGTACGTCACCTGTCGGAGAATGCTCTCAGACTTCATCTCTTCCTTTAGCTCGGCATCTCCATCTGCCACCACGGTCTGCTGCTGCTCCAGCTTTGCCCACTCAGAGTTGATCTTGGTATCCATCTGTTGGAAGCACGAGGATAAAAGCCTGGGCAAGAAGTTTTCGCGGCAATCAACAGGGCAGTCGTCGACGAGGTGCCGCACCAGACTCAGCAGGTTGCTTTGCTGGTGTGTAGACAGCCATACGGAGTCTGAGAAGAAGGCCTCGGACAATGGAGCGGCGAGCTCGCTGAATCCGTAAAACTGCGAATGAAGCTTGCTCATGCAGTATATGACGCCATACGCAGTTTCGCGGACAAAACGAACTGAGCCGCGAATCGTGGATGCAAGTCCCTCTATCGTGCCTTTCTTATCAAGAACTCGAGCGTAGAAATCATCTTTGCTTCCCTCAGAGATACCGGCCTGCCAAAACCGATCGCTCAGGACTTTATCAACCATGTGGCGCATGCCTTCTGGGAATCCTGTCCAATTATGTGGGTTATGCGACGCGTGGGCATAGCTAGAACGAAATTAGTAAACATGACCAAAATAACAGCATTTCGACCAAATCGAATACGTACCTCAGAAGACGCAGTAAATCCGCTAGAATGTTTGCGAACCCTTCCTCCCAAATCACGGAAGTAGCCTGAAAGGCGGTGGATGACTTGTCGACCCGGTCCACAGATAGAGCAAGAAGGGTTTTCGTCGGACGGAGTGGCAATTGCTGTCATGTTGTGTTGGCATATGCTTCCAAGGGCATAGGACTTCCAGAGGTTACACGTACCTTGAGGCGCTCTTCCAACTCGTTCTGGAGGGCTAATCCCTCTGCGTCGAGCTCACAGGAGCCCCAGTCTTTGATATTGTGTGCCTGACGGCTTACCAAGTATGCTTGGGCTTTATCTAGCCCAAGAAGTTCGCAGAAGCCAGAGTATGACTTCACGGCAGATTTGATATTCTCCTCTTGCCATTGCGCTTTGACTGGTTCAACAAACTCTCGTAGCTTCTGGATCTTTGCCTGAGCATCAAGGCTCTTGGCTCGGTGTCTAGGGGCCTGGATTAAAACTAACACTCAATCTGCTATTAAGTGTCGGGTGTTGCAACTTACATGATTAAGAACAAAAAGCTTCGGTAAGCAAGAGTCCTTCTATCATCTAACTTTCCGGTAGACATCATCTCATTCACACGGGCTTCGATTTGTTCGTAAACTCCCTAATGATCAAAAAGTTAGCCCTCCTGTATGCTAGATGTGAAGAGTCCACCGAGAAGGAGCATACCAGGAGGTGGTCAGGCATTCCGATTGCGAGGCGATGCAGCTCGACCATGCTCTCGACTTGGAAATCTTTAATGGCGTCATTGTACGCGCCATACGCTGGCTCTAACACAGGCCATGTAAGAATGATGTGCTCAAGTACTTTCAGCATAAAGTTTGCGTTCTTGTTCAGGGCATTTGTCGAGAAGTAGACGAGTAACTGTAGAGTTCGCCTTCGGATTAAAGGATCCTGAAGAGTGACGAGCGTTAGTCAATGCCAAGATCGGCCCATCGCATTCTTGTAAACAGAGAACATACCTCAAAATTCATCTCCAAAAGTCTCGTGCACCAGCCTTCAAGGCTGGACTCAAGTTCGGCTATCTGTTGTTGCTGTCCAGTTGATCAGTTAGCGTAATCGCCATAATCAAGAAGCGTCCTTTGCCACATACGCTGTCGTGTTGGTGTGACCTCTTCCACTTCGCATACCCTTTCAACGAGGCTTCAATTAGAGTGAAGTGGGCGTCTACCTGCAGAACGGGCATGGAGTGCTTGAAATAATTTTGTTCTAATCACGTCAGTTCATGCTTCCAATCAGAACGGCGGAGCCGGGGCAATGTCTCACTGTCAAATGAAGGCTGTCCATCGTAGAGATGCAGCAAGATTTGTTCGGTGCGCCCCAGGATGTGAGATACAGCATCGACTAGTTTGAGTTGCACAATGATTTCAACGACCTGTGAGCTATAGCGGCGGTAATTGCCCAGGAAGGCATGGCGCTCTGGGATGGTATCGGTATCCTCCATAAGGAACAGAAACGTTGGGTCAGAGGTATCTTGAGGCAGATTTTCATATCGGACCAATCTGGAGCTGCAGACCTCGAGGAGAGGCCCTATCATGGATGTAACAATGTCACTTGGGCCGATCACCTTGTTCGCAAGGAGCCTCGTCCACGTCACTAAGACCGGGATGGACACCATGAGACTTTGGTGTTGTACTACTTGGAGCAAAAGCTGCAGGAAGCCTTCGGGGCTTGCATCAAGAGGGACTTGGGAATGCTTTCTCTCAAAATAATCACCTAAACTTGAGAGCATCTGTTGTCGCAAAAGCGTGTTAGAGGATAACTGAATCCGTGCGTTTGTTTACTATCAGGGGCCTTACCTCAGATAGCCTCTTCAGGATCTGATACTTGTCTTCGTCTACATCGTCAGCGTCGACTTCTGACCGACCAATGAGTTGCTTGAAGAGTTGTATGGATGCACTGCTGTACATGGGGGCCACGAGGTCCCTGAACTCTTCATCTGTAAAGTTGGACCGGCAATACAGAGCGTGGAGGGCGTCTAGAGCGACCTGTTTGGGAGCTCGTTAGCACGAATCGCAGGGAATTGGCACACCAGTAGGTTTGTCTCACCTTTTGAATTTCAGTCGATGGCGACGCCAGGCCAGCAGACAAAATATCCACACAGCGAGCAGAGGCTATAGCTTTCGGGATAGCCCATGGCATAAGTGATAGGAAGACGGAGAATCCTTTGACAATGCACATCTTCACCTCGTCATTGGCGTCTGCATTGATACACAAGCCGAGGAACTCTGATAGTCGACTGAGCCAGCCCTCGTGACCACATCGAACATCTGGACCGGGCTGACGATTGGGGAATGCCTCGATCAGGACCGCCGTGGGAGTGAAGATCTCGACGCACGCCTTGCTAAGGACGCCTTCCCTCATGGCAACAACAGAGTCATCTCCGGCAAAAACCTCGTCCGACAAAGCCTCGAGGACAAACATGACGAGCTCCTTGTGAGCGGGCGAATTGGGGATTTGCCACAGCTCAACGAGCATGGCATCCATATCCGTCCAGTCGGAGCCCCAGCTTCTCTTGGCCACTTCCACCCAGAGCTGGGCAGTCTTGTTTCTCAGATATGATGGGTCGCCCTTGGTGACGGCCTGGCTGAGCTCCAGCACCCAGTTTCGAAGGGTTCGGGATTGTTCGTCGGTATAGCTGGCCCATCGGTATCGTATGGCATGCTCGAGGAGCGACAGGGCATAATGGCGGACAACGGGCGCCTGAGCCTTGTCAGAGGCCAAGGTGTAGCCCTGGAAGGGAGCTTCGGGGATGTCCTTGACCTCTTCGAGGAAAGATTGGGCTTCCCTACGCGCATCGTTGGTCGAGTGAGGGCTGTGAACCACTTCGAGCGCAAGGTGAATCTTGGCAAGCACGTCTGCGTCGCCGTTTCTCGCGTCGCCGCCGTTGGAGTTGGAAGACATGATTGATAATCAGCTCAAGTGGCGCGAGCAGGGACGCTGCAGGGCACGCGGCGCAATCGGGGATGCTTTTGTCCCACGAGACAGCCTCAAGAGAATGTTAGAAGTCGGTCGGCTTGGGCACGAGCATCGAGGGTGGCTGCTGTTCACTAAAAATAAAAAAAGAGCAGGGGGGGCCGGATAATTTGTTTGGTTATTGAGGTGACAGCTCGTCGGTAGCAGAAGGGCCAGCGGGGTTCGACTCGTAACGATTAGGTGACTCGACTGCTGTGCTAGAGACCAAAGGAAGACGGGACTGCAAGATGAAAAGATGAATAGTAACAATGGGAGAAGGTTGATGGCGAGGGAAGACGTGCACGATGTATTATTCGGAGCACGAGGTGAAGGCGGTCAGCTGGCAGAAAAGAGCGGGAGGATCCAGCTTCTGCTTCACGCAGCCGTTGCAAAACTGAGGCTCTTCTTTTCAAGGTTCAAAGTTAGCTTTTTAGGGGACCTTGGATCACGAAAGCCCAGGCGACGTTAGGCCCGAGATGGAGCCTTATAGGCCCGGCAAGCCACTAAAAAGCACCTGGAAGGCAAAAACACCACGGCCCAGCACAACACAACGCAAGACGCCCACTTGGCTTAGGCCTCTCCAGCCTTCCAATGCCTCACGTTTCTTCACGCGACTGCGGTGGCACCGTGCTGCAAGGCTGAGAGGGCGGATTACGGTACGGAGAAAGCATACAGCACAGCTCCAATGACACTCCATCACTTGCTTCACTTGGCCCAGAGAGCACAGGACAGGCGGCGGTGGAGCCGGGCAGCTCCCCTGGATCTTCTGTCGTCGTACTATTTCCACCCAGTGGAACCGCTGCAGCTTGGTGGAGGGGCGTGTGGTGTGTGATGCATCGCTTGATGGCCTCTGGTCCGGGCCTTGTCCTGGCTGATCAGCAACAGCATGCCTCTGCCGGATGTACCCCACGCCGGACCTGCTTGATTACCCGAGATTCATGTCTAGCTTGCTTCGCTTCTCTCCGTCTTCTAGAAGGATTGGATTAGAAAGACAATTGCTGTCCCAATAAGGCAAACCGCCCACTTGGCTGTGGCTGTTGGCCGGCTCCATCCTCCATTCTCAAGCAATAGCCAAGGTATGTATTTTTGTCACGGCGGGATCGACACTAATACGGGCAATTCATTAGTACGTGTACTCGGGGGGTCTCAAAAACGACCACTGTCCCCAACCTAGCTCCACTAAGTCGGGGGGGTCATTGATTAGCAAAAGGTCCGTTAATTCGCAAAAGGAAAAAAGGTATATAGATTAAAGTGTAACTGCTATATAAATAAAGGTACCTCGTTTTAGATCAATAAATTTAATAATTTTATAATAATCTTACGCAACTGCAGCTAGTATAATAAAAAAAACATAACATCGCGTTCTAAGTCTAAGTAAGCTTATTAGCGCTATCCTCCTCGCCGCCGCCTTCCTTATAACCTTCTTCCTTATCGCTTTCGAATTTAATAGCCCCAAACTTAAAGGCTGGCTCCTTATAGCTATATTTATCTATTATCTTAATACCATCAGCTTTAAAAAATAACTCCTTACAACTAACTACCCGTCATTTAACTTCTAATACTATATAATTAACGGCTTCCTTAATAGTCTCTATATTATAGTCTAATAGCCGCGGCTATAGCACCAGCAGCACCTAGCCGCTATAAAAATAGCCTTAAAAACAAAGCTTGCAATAAAAACAATAATAGTCACAGATCTATTTATTATTATTAAGTAAAGCGCAATAGTCTTCCCTAGACCACTTCTTACACACCGGCAAGTTATATAAGCAGAAGAAGATATTATTATTAAGGCATAAGGCTATAATATCTACCTAAATAATAGCCCTAACCTTCCTTAGCCAACGGCAAAGGAAGGGCATCTCATTATAAACTTCCTTATTATATATCCGCGCTACCTCTTCTTCTTATGCCGCTTATCTATTATAATCATCTTTAGTAAGCCGGATTCTTACCTCGTTAACGCTTATTAGGCTGTATTTTATTATAACTAATATCCCTTAAAAAAAACTTAATTTTCTAATACTTTTAGCCTTTAAAAGCCTTATCTTAGACATCGCTATAATACTATTTAAAGCAAGTATATATAAGGCTTTTCTTCCTTTCTTAAAAACACGCAACACTAACAATATTAGCAGCACTTTTAAGATAATAAAGGCCTTAAGGCAGTGCTAAACATAGTTATAATAGTTATTTATTATTTAAATATAAAGCCGCAGCATTAAGGCCTTACGCTACTTAAATCGCAGCTAAGCTAGTGTTTTTAATATTATTTTTTCTGCCCTTTAGGTAAAAAAAGAAAAACTTCCTAACAATAACAGCCGTAATAACCCTAAGGCACCATTAGGGTTAATATAACCGGCAATCTTACTTTCTTTCATATTCCTAGTTAATAAAAATAAGGCATCTTAAAGTTAATTAAGGATAAGGGAAGGATTATATAAAAAAAGCCCAGTCTACTCCTAAGCAGTAAGAATTATATACTTTTTAAACGTTTAAGTACGCATTTCCTATAGATAAAATAAAAAATTAGTCTTACTAAAGTTAACTACACTGTCAGCAACTTCGCAGTATAGGATCTCTTAATGCTAATACTTATAGGATTAAAAAACACCAATATTAAAAAGTTAAAGATAATACATAAAATATAAAGGTAAAGGGAAAAGCTTAATATTATATTACTTTATAAAATAAATAAATTTACTTATAAAATAACTCTTACAGCCATTTATAAAAAGAACTTACGTTTCTCTTAAGTCTATTAGTTATATATATTTCTCAAAGTATTAAAGCTATTCTATAGCTATTATATTAGTAATATAACCCTTTAGACTTATAGTAAGCATTATGCCGCTCTTAAGATTATTTCTAAACTACTTTACTAACAGCTAGACCCCAGGAAGGATAATAAAGAAGGGAATTACCTAGCCTTTAGCTAAAATTACCTTAACAGCAGTAACAGATACAGTATCATAGAAATCAGTTAAGACCAGGTTATTAATTAAAGTAAAAGTCTAAAGAAGTATTTTAGTAAGAAAATAGCCTACTATAAAGCCAGTCTCGTCAAAATTCCATATATTCTTCTTCCTTACCTTATATTTTATTAAAAACTATTTCCACACGCGGAAAAATAACTCAACAGCGCCGCAATCTTACATAGCCTTTTATTTTATATTATAAGAAGTAGACTTACAGATATAGAAATTCTCCTTTAACTACTGCATAAATCTCTTCGCCCAGGACCGCAAAACCGTCGTCGTCTCGCCCCTAGCCGCAAAAATAGCATTAGTATAATATTATAAAACACAAAGTCTTATATAATAGCCTTAGGTTATATAGCGATAAGCCTAGACAAAGATCTCGCGTTTTTCTTCCAGTCGTAGTAGTATACGGTTACCTTTATTAAGTAACTGTGGATAGGCTCCTTTAATTTAACTATATAGTTTTAAATATAGCACTTAAAGGCTTTTTACTACAAAAGAAATAGTTAAGTAGTAACCTTCTTAGTATAGCTTAGCTGCAGCAATAGTATGTTCTTTAAAAGTTTTAATATTATAGCGTATAAAATAAAGTAAATTCGTATCTAGATTAATCCAACAATTACAGGCAGGATACCTAGCCTCAGGAGAATCTATTACAGTAGTAATAATTAAAAATAATAAAGATTTAATAAAGTTATTATAAAAAGAAAATATAGCTTCTATATAGCTATTATCGCAATCTTACGGTATAACGCATTAGCGATAGTGTTATAATACGCGGGGCATTTTTCGTTTTTATTATAACTTTGGCGGGTTAAATTATAATAATAAAAGAAGTATGCAAAAAAACATAGATACCTTTATTTATATAGAGTCAGCACTATAATTAAGGTATCTTTTTTTTGCGAATTAACGGACTTTTTGCTAATCAACGACCCCCCCGACTTAGTGGAGCTAGGTCGGGGACAGTGGTCGTTTTTGAGACCCCCCGAGTAGTATTACTGCCGCGGCTCATGCTCCCACAGGCAGAGCAGCTTATCATAAAAGCTGGTCGAGACAACGCGCATCCTCCCATCCTCTGCTGGCGATGGCACAACATCCGAAGCATAATTCATGCTTTTGTGCTGTTCGAATCGGGCCAAGACCTCACAGGCCCAACCCTGTCCATTGGCGTCTGCCACGATCTCAACGAGCCTTGCTCCGGCATACATGCAAGATGCCAGGATTCGTATCCTCGTCGAGCCTCCCGCTGTCCGGATATCCACCAGCTTCAACCTCCACACCCCGCCTCCAAGGTTCGCGTCCGCTAGCAGTTGCACGCGCTTTAGGCCATACGAATGATGAAGATCATGAATGGCAAAGACTCGCAAGTGGTCATCGTAGCTTCCAGTGACGACTATTCTACCCTGATCCTGAGTTGATAGCGACAGGGGTAAAATTGCAGTTACTCCTGCATCGTGCTGCCCCTTCACTGTTATGGAGCCAAACGGCGTGTCTAGGGTTGACGATGGCTCATCTTGATCCCCTTCCTCTTGCCAGTGACAGGTCGTATATCGAAGCATGGAGTCGTCCCCACCACAGTAGACTGAGATGGGTTGGTTCGTTGCATGTGATGAAGCGCTTGTAGGGGAGAAAGCTATGCACCAAGCCTCGAGAGAGTTCTGAATGTCCACATCGGCAGATTTTGCTATCTTCCACTCATCATCCAGTAACAACATCCTGGCCAATCCGGTAGAGGTGGTGACTCCAATCACCCTACGCGCAACCGGATGCCAGTTACACTGCAGAAAGAGGACGTCGTCGTCGAGATCCTCACACCTGCTCGTAGCCAAGTGCTGCAATGGCGCGCTGGCGTCTCTGAGCGGGTCGAATTTGAACATGGCAAGGGTTCCAGTGCTGGACACCACTGCCAAGATGTTCTGATACTCTGGCACATCCTGGTAGAAGCGGAGGTCCAGCAGAGCAGACGGCTGCATTACGGTCTGCACTATCGATCTGTTTCCCTCATCAGCAGTCAGTAGTCCAGCAGCCCAACCAGCCTCCTAAGCTTCCAGAGTTGCAGCCTTACACGTCGTCGCCCTTCACCTTGAGAACGATGAGGCTGCCGTTTCTATTCTGTGGTTTGGGAGCTGCTGAATTATCATTCTGATCCTCCTCTTGTGCCGGTGCTGGCTCGGCGTCGTCCTTTTGCAAGTTGTATGTTCCCACCACCAAATACTCAGGATGCGCGGGGCAGAATTCAGCACAGCTAGGCGGGAGGTCCAAGACCAGTGATTGCAGCGATGCGATGGGGGTCAGTTCTTCCATATTCGGTGAATGATGTAAATTTTGGGAGAAGGCGTGAATTCCGGGAAAGGGAAGCATAGATCAAACGGATGGGCGGTCAAACTGAGGACATCAATGCTTCACCTGATTAACCGTTGCCTGTGGTGCTGGGAAAAAGAAAGAAAATCGCTGTGGCGGCGGTGGAGCTTATCGGATAGCTTCCCGCCAGCCCGGCGGCAGTCACTGGAGAGAGCTTGCAGGGGAGGCCGTTGTAAACCAAGACGGAATACCTGTGCTGGATTATCTATCACATCCCATCACCTACATAAAGAGACCATCCCCGCGGATGAATCTTTGTCTCCTTACATCTCTTGCAATTCCCCTTCTCTTACGCTTTTTTTTTTTTTAAATACCTAAACTTGATAAAGAATCGATATTTGCAAGCAACTTTGATGCCATGACCTCATCGGCCACGCGCTGCTTGTACTTGTAGGTTTGGGGTAAACGCACTCACCGAAACACACCTGGTCGGGCCTTTTTCTGTGGCAGCTCTGCCAAGTTCATTCCTCTGCTACGGCTTAGCAACCAATCCTTTGATGCCCACTAACTGTGTGCGCCCACGTTAGCCCATACGGGAGCTCCAGAAGGCGCCAAATTGCCGTAGCGGCGGTGTCAGGTACCTGATTGCGGCGCGGGTTGGCTCAACGCCATGGACTCTGAGGATTCAGACTTTTATGGTACCTTGAATTTCATCGAATATCTCATTTTACTGATTGGGAGGAAATTGGCAAAGTATCTCTTCTAACCGGACAACCTAGGTGATGACGAGGTCGCATCTCATCTCTTACAGCGTGTCGCCGACTTTGACGTGGACGATTGGGCTCAGCAGCAGCGAGAGCATCCGGGCCGCCCGCAGCGCCATACAAACTTCATCGACGAGACCTCTCACCTGCACAATCCATATGCCGGGATACAGTACGCCTGGCAGTTGACGGAGACGATTGGCGATTTTCTCACGCGGCTACCGCCCGCAACAACGGACCAGACACCGGATACGCCATGGATCTTCATTTGCAACCCCTACATCCCACGGGTACACAAGCATGAGAGCCAGAGCCAGTTCTCAAAGGGAAATGAGGATGAGGCGCCGGAGGAAGAGGGCAGTAAGACGGCTATTGTCGCTCAAGGTGGTCTGGAGAGGCTTCACCTGGTCACCAAGTTCATCGAAGGAATGCAGAGGTCGGGAAAGGCCAAGTCCACCGTTGAAAAGGAAATCAGAAAGGAGCAGAAGCAGGCTATCGACGATATCCTAAAACTGGCCCATCTCGCCAAGGTGCGGACAGGCAAAGTATGATTCTTCTGAGTTCGTTGATGATATGGTATGATGGAACTCCTAGTTGCTAACCATGGCTCCTCTGTAGTGGCTGTTGTTCTGCCCGGCTTCGGAAGTCAACGAAATGTGGGAGATTGTCGCCAAAGCAACTGCAAACAATGAGCTGGGCATCGCCGCCAAGGTTGCACCACGATCGCCATTGGAGGATCCTCGCAAGGATCGCATTCTATGCATATACACATCCGACTTTTCGGACAAGGCAGACGTTGGGCGCGTTTTGCAAAAGATGCGCGAGCTGAAGCTGGTTGAGGCCAGAGGCCGTCCTATATATTATAAACCAGGCAAGTTCTCTGCTGCTACATGTCCAATGCTCAAGACTAACATCACCAACAGATGCATTCACATATATCGGCATTTCGCACGGCAATGCGTGGGGGCTGCGGGCATCTATTTATAGCTCTGGCGACGTATTTCCTCGCCGAGCTTGAGATGATGCCAAATGGGGAACATCTTGTCAAATTGGTAAAACAACAAGAAATGTACACTAAATTGCTGCAATACCTTGATACTAACACCGAAATAACCAACGGGAGATGACTACCCATGAATGTCAAGCGGAATGAATAAAACAGAATGTATGCTAGGACAAGTAGAGACCAATATGCTAAACGCCAAATTTTTGAACGACCTTCATATCATGTCACATCGTACCATGCCACGCTATCCCAAATGCCGCCTCTCTATAACAGTTCGATATAACCCCGGGGAGCCTCCTTCTCTCTATTTGTGTGGACATCATCAAGACAACGGCACGACGCAAGCTATGTGACTTGCCGTTCATCGTAGAGAGAGCCTTGATCCGGGTCGACGGCCTTTAGTAGGAGGATGAGTCGATAGGCGCTATTGCCGTTGAGGTAGTACCGATGCAGCTTTTTCGATCGAATGAAGCCGAGGCCTTCGTACAGCTTCATGGCAGCCGTATTGGTCTCCTCCGTCTCCAGCACGATTTCGTCAGCATTGCGATTTGCCATGGCATCGATGGCCTTCTTCACCAGAGCGGTGGCAACTCCCCGCCCACGGAAATGCGCCGCCACGGCCAGCATGGCAATGTACCCTCGCCGGGTGGGAGGCGAGTGAGATGAGTGCACTTCCAGCTTGCAGACGATGACGCCGATGAGGGACGAATCCTCTGGATCCAGGGCCTGGATCGATTAGGTCCTGTTGTGGGCGAGAGACTCGGCGGAGATGGATGGCTTACCATGAAGCAAAGATGAGACCATTGACAGAGAAAGTACCGGTAGACGTAGATGCTGTATGGCTCGCTCAAGTCTTTTGAGATGAGGGCCCGGATGGCGGGGAGATACTGGCCCTCAAGCCGGTGCTCATACTGGATATACTCCAGATTGGCTGGCAGCTGCTTGGTCGACGACACTGCCATGGCGGTTCGGCTTGGTTTGCTGGTTTGCGGTGAAGGGCTGTCGGTCCGGGGAAGCAGAGCAGGAAATAGCGAGGCGGTGCGATGCGATGCGATGCCAGAAACCTGAATCTGTCCGTCTATCCCGCGTTTCTTATCCTCTCTCTCGTTCAACCACCACCTCCAATGAGTGACTCAACCGTCGGCCGGTGAGTCGGCAATGGGAGCAAAAAGCCAAAGTGGCAGCCAACCAGGCAGGCCGGTCAGCATCGGCGGAAAAGCAGGGAATCCTTCGAGAGGCCTGGCAACAGAGATTGGGTGCCTGACAAGCACTTTTGTTTGGCCTTTGGTGCAACTCCAAGTTCTGACTAAAGCAAATCGTGGGTGGAGGCTCCCTACCGTCGCGTGACGGTCAATCACATGTTAATGGGGGGGGCTCAGAAAAACGTGCTAAAAAGCTGTGCCTGTACATGCTGGAGCTCAGCTCAGCGAGAGATTCCCAGATCCGGGCGAGGGAAAAAGCCAAATTTGATCTGATTTGATGCTTGACACCGGGTTCCAGCAACTTGCCGCAGCCAATGGAACGGGCTGCTGGGGCGCTCCGAGGAGTGAAACCGCGCGTCTGACTTTTTTCTTCCCCCCTTATTTAGAGCATTATACTCTTATTTCTCCCTCAAGGGCGGACTGTTTTTTCTTCTTCTTCTCTCCAGATGAGAGAACACGCACTTTTGGCGCTGTCAGTTCACTTTAGCGGCCTTCCCACAGCGCTGGCAGCCACTAAGAAGGCTGGAGCTCTTCCCGTGCCGGACGAATCTGATGTCCTGACGTCAGCCGCTACCTTACTTAGACAACTGAAACCAATCTGCTCATAACTTCCAATTTCAACTTCCAAGAGAGCCTTTGCCCTTTGGTCCACCTGGCACGGCTTCGTCTTATTCACCCCTTGCATATCTTTACTTGTCCTGCGGCTTGACACGGAGGCTTCGACCATGGCGACAACTCTTCGGAGGCGGATTCCGCCAGAGACCAGCTCGGCCGAAACCTCCATGGACTCCAAGGAAGACTCCCCGCCGGTTCAGCTGACATCCCACGTCCATGTAATCGAGCGAGGGCCCAAGGCGCGCAAGCGTCGCAACACCTTCATCTTCTTGCTGGGTGGTCTCTGCGGCCTCATAGCTGCGGGCTTCTTTGCCAAGTCAACTGATTTGATCGACTTGCCAGAGCTTACAGATATCACCATGGACAGTCTGCTCGATGTTATCCCGGCCGGCCTGGTCAAGGACATGCGAGAGCTGGTTCAAGGAGAGCGCGAGGTTACTTCTTCTTATGACTCTTTCTCTGTCGGCCTGAGAGCTCGGGCTGAAGGCCTGGATGCTCACCATCCCATGATCATGATACCGGGTGTCATCTCAACGGGCCTGGAGTCCTGGGGCACGGCTAACATCTCGAGGCCCTATTTTCGAAAGAGGCTGTGGGGAAGCTGGACCATGATGAGGGCTTTGGTTCTTGACAAGGAGATTTGGAAAAAGCACATCATGTTGGACAAGCGAACTGGACTTGACCCGCCCTTGGTGAAGCTTCGTGCAGCCCAGGGCTTTGACGCAGCCGACTTTTTCATCACGGGTTATTGGATTTGGAGCAAGGTCTTGGAAAACCTGGCCACTATTGGATACGACCCCACAAACTCGTTCACGGCCGCATACGACTGGAGACTTTCCTACCCGAACCTTGAAGTAAGAGATCAATATTTTTCTAGGCTCAAATCATATATCGAAACCGCTGTTGCAGTTGAAGGCAGAAAAGTGGTCATTGCCTCGCACAGCATGGGCAGCCAAGTCATTTTTTACTTTTATCACTGGGTTGAGTCGGACCTGGGCGGCCGTGGCGGAGGAGATTGGGTGGATCGTCACGTCGACTCTTGGATCAATATCAGCGGCTGCATGCTAGGTGCGGTCAAGGATTTGACAGCCGTGCTATCCGGGGAGATGCGCGATACTGCACAGCTTAATGCCTTGGCAATCTATGGGCTGGAAAAGTTCTTGAGCAAGGAGGAACGAGCGGAAATTTTCAGAGCCATGCCGGGCCTTTCGTCGATGCTGCCTCTCGGAGGTAACGCTGTTTGGGGAGACCTAACCGGGGCACCGGATGACCAACCCGACCAAGGTTTCTCATACGGATCCTTTCTGAACTTTCGAGTTGGCTCAAATTGGACAACTCCCGATCGAAACTTTACCGTGGATGCCTCCATGGAGTATCTCTTCAACACGACTGAAGATTGGTACAAGGATCAAGTCAAACGAAGCTATTCCCATGGCGTTGCCCATACCACCGCAGAGGTTGATGCGAACGAGAAGGACCCAAGGAAATGGGTAAATCCTCTTGAGAGCAGACTTCCCCTGGCGCCAAATCTCAAGATATACTGCTTTTATGGTGTTGGCAAACCCACAGAGCGATCATATTACTACAGAGCGCCGGACCAACCCACCATGACCAACCTCAACATTACAATCGACGTTGGGCTCACCGACGGTGTCATCGATCATGGCGTCATCCTAGGCGAGGGAGACGGCACTGTGAATCTTCTGAGCGCTGGCTACATGTGCAACCGTGGCTGGCACATGAAGCGATATAACCCTGCTGGGGCCAAGGTCACAGTAGTAGAGATGCCCCACGAGCCTGATCGGTTTAGCCCGCGAGGGGGCCCCAATACTGCCGACCACGTTGACATTTTAGGAAGAGAGAAACTCAACGAGCTGATCTTGAGAGTCGCCGCCGGCAAAGGAGATACCATCACCGACTACGTCGTCAGCAATATCCAGGCTTATGCTGACAAGGTGAAGGTTTATGAGGAGGAAGACGGGGCCGAGAAGAAGAAGAGGAACAAATCATAGAATGATGTCGTTAATCTGGTGTCTTGGTTTGCCTGTGCGGTGGGTTTAGTTGGGATGGGATGGGCAATTTGGCGTTTGGCGTGGGGAGCTGTACATATGCAAAAGAGGCGGGCGGAGTGCTTGTTTCGTAACGAAAGAATACCCTCGGACACTGCGAATGCAGATAGGACAGTAGACAAGATAAAATATAGCTGAGAACTGGCGTTACGGGTGATGTTGAGTTGTGAAGATGTTTAATTTGGACGCTTATGTCAGGGACAAGACATGTCTTATCTTACCGATGCACGGAGATTGGAGCCACTGCGGAAATGATGAATGAAAAGGAGGCTCATACGAAGTGGCGTTTGGGGCGACGACAAGGATAGGTACTTGTGCCTCCTTATCAACTGGACGAGATGACATAGATGGAGAGGCGCTGTAGAAATGTGCCAATCCGTTCTTATCGTTGGTGATTTAATAGTATAAAACAATAAATTGCCTACTTACTGATACCTCATGCGTCTATCGTGTCGGATATCATCCATAGATTAGTATAGTAGGACACCTATCGTAAACTGGCAATGCCCGTATTTGATATTGATCAAATTGATTATACGGAGTACCAGCCGGCGCCTCTTAATTTAGCAAGCATGGCGCATGTAATTAGTGGCTTGCAGTTGGAATATAAATTTTCTTAGTGCCACCGTTTATCGGCTGCGCCTGTTGGGTGACATCAGGCTACTTGCTCCAACATCAATCCCGAAGCATCGCCTTCTTTTCTTCCCTTTTACCCCACACATCAAACGGGGCCTGCATTCCGCTCGCATCCCGAACATCACAAGCCCGGTCAATCAGGAATCAGGAGCCCTTTTCAGGGTCTGGGACAGGGTCTGGGATTTGGGACCGGAACTGGGGCTTGCCGACGTCTGGCGCACTTTTTTCTCTTTGTCGACGTGACCTTTGGACATTCTGCGGGCCTGTCGCGGTTTGGTCTGCTTCCTCCTCCTCCTCCTCTTCTCTTCGCCAGTTCGCCAACCATCGCCGAATCGTCTGCGTAGAGGCCCAGATGCAGTCGCTGCCACGTGCTGCGGGACCTGGCAGCCATGGCGGATTACGAAGAGACGGTACCATCTCCGCTCTCTCCTTTCTCTCCCGAGGAGGAGGATGGGCTGTGGTCTGGTGAGTCGATGAGCCAGCGACATGCAACGCTTGGGAGACGGAAACTGACAGTAGCGCGCCCATCCAGAGCTCGACAAGTGTGTCTCGGAACATTGCGACAGCCACGAATCCATCGACGATGCCCTTCGGTCCTGGCTGAATCTGACAACCAAGCTGCGCCTGCAGCAACCTACGTCGCAAGACGAGGTGGTCTTGTGCTCGCAGATCCTGTTGAAGAGCGACATATTCCTTCGGAACAAAGAGTATGTACGCAAGCAACTCATCTACAGCCTGCTGCAGGAGGACGAGTCCGGGCCACTCCACGCCATAGTATGCATGCTCCTGCTCGACGGCCACCAGGACGAGGCGACGTTTCCGCACATGATCCAGGAAGCCTGCTTTCCTCGCCTTTTGGAGTTGATCAGCAGCCGAGACTCTGATGACGACCCGCGCCTCCATCGATTTCTGCTGCAGCTCATGTACGAGATGTCGCGCGTAGAGCGGCTTGCGCCGGAAGACTTGGCACTAGTCGACGATGACTTTATACATTTATTGTTTCGCCTAATCGAGGGTGTGTCTAATGATGTTAACGACCCATACCATTACCCGACCATTAGAGTACTAGTAAGTGTCCTCACCCTCTACATCCAAGAGGGATTGACAGTCTGTCAACATTCTGGCATGCTGACAAATGGCAACAGCTTGTCTTGAACGAGCAATACATGCTTGCGTCTACAGATACCGTGACGAAGCCTGGCTCGACGCCCGAGCCGCTAACAAATCGCATTGTAAAATGCCTGAGTCTCCACGGACCACAGTATCGAACCTTTGGGGAGAATATCATTCTACTCTTGAATCGAGAGACGGAGACATCTCTCCAGCTGCTGATCCTCAAGCTTCTGTATCTTCTCTTTACAACAAAAGCGACGTACGAATACTTTTATACAAACGATTTGCGAGTGTTATTGGATGTTTTTATCCGGAACTTGATGGACCTTCCGGACGAGAGAATGTCCCTCCGGCATACGTACCTGCGAATTATGTATCCTCTGCTGGCTCATACGCAGATGAACCAGCCACCACACTACAAAAAGGAGGAGATTCTCCGCGTGATCAATATCCTGAAGGGCTCCCACAACGCCCACTTTGCTCCTGCTGACCCGACAACCCTCCGACTGGTAGACCGAATAGCCAGGGTCAAATGGCTCGAGGCGGACGACGACGCAGACTCTGAGGCATCGGGACAGGCAGAAGTTGCGCGAAAGCTCTTGGGCATGAGTGTTTCGCCAAGAGATTCGTCCAGCAGTGTTAGTGTCAGTGATGTGGCCGAAGTCACGGAAAAGCCAGGGGTGCACACACCAAGTCGAAAGAATGATTCGAAAGTGGGCATGGAGCACTCGGAGCGTTACGTGGAGATGGAAGACGATGCTGGCAAAACTAAGAAGCCTCTGCCAGCGGTCCCCAAACACAAGCACGGCATCCCATTTAAGCATACGGCCACCACCACGGTACACATCAGCAAAGTTGCCACGAAAAGGACACCCCCCAAAGCGCCACCTCCAAGACGACATGGTAAGGTGAGAATGGCAGAAACGGCATCGGATGAATCTCTATCGGGGGCCATACACTAGAGAGGCCGACAGGTTTGTAGCCAAAGTTTGCGGTATCATGTACGTTTAGCTATTTTGTGGTGGGAAGGGGGCTTTTTCTTCTTCTTCCCCTTTCCTTTATTTCGTCCCCTCTTACTTTCAAGAGGATTGTTTGAAAGCGGGCTCCAACGCTATTACTGGCGCTCAAAGACGTTGACCGATCCGTGGCTTCGTCTCCTTGGAAGTACACGGCCGATACCTTTCTGGAGTTTTTGGAGTACAGTGCACAGTGACGCGAATTTTTTTCAGCTCTCCGACTTGATCAGCGACAGACCGGCCATTGTTTGACACGAGAAACATGAGTAAAGGGAAAATACCTCGCAGCATAGACAAGAGAGTGTTTATCGGGACGAGATGCAGCCTGCTTAGGACTTGTTGTACCTTTTCTACTTTTGTTTTTCTTTTGTACATACAGACGTACATACGATGTCTTACTACTGGGCGTGATGCTTGGAACAAGAGGGGCAAACAGGCAAAGGAGCATTTCTGACTTGGGCGAATTTGTTGCTTCTTCTTTCTCTTGTTTTTTTTATTATTATTGCTTTTTGTAGTTTATAGGGTTTTGAATGTGCTACGTGTGATGTTGGGCGTTTATTCTATAATACAATTGACTAATTGAATTTTGTTTTAAAATGCTGGAGTTGTGTAGTAGAGTGTTGATCGTGATCGAGGAGATGAGGGGGGCATTGGATATCTGACGGGGTTCTTCATATCTAATTTCTCTTTTACCTTTTTGTGTATTATTCTTGACCCTCAGAAACGTACATGTAAGCTTGCGTTTGAAGTAGGTAGTTGGCATTGAGCACCTATGGGTATGATGTCAATATCAAAGTGGATGTAGCCTCTAGGCCTCGGGGGTTGGATATGCTGTGAAAGGTGAAGACACTGCAGCTTACATGTATGCAGGAGTGAAGACAGGCATGGATGGCCATCGACATGGCCCCCCCGGGGGTCCTTCACAGCAATTTTAACCTCACCCAAGACCATACATCATGCAGCCTTTTTAGTAGTAGTGGTCACTCTCGCAGCCTTTTTGCTGAAAGATCCACATGATAAGATAATATTACTGGTCTTTCTTGTTAGAAGCTTGGATGGATTTAAAATACTGTGAAGACGGACATGGATTAGGGCTGTCGACAAGGATTACCCGGTCCTTCACAGCAATTTTAACCTCACCCAAGACCATATATCATGCAGCTGCTTTAAACATTTTGACATTGATCACTCTCGCGGCCTTTCGGCTAAACGGTCCACATGAAAAGAGAATATTATTGGTCTTTCTCACTGGTAACTAGAACCTTAAGGATCCAGCTCCCCAGGTCTTGAGTGCAGTTGAGAATGCTGTGAAATCCCAAAGAGGCAGTCTCTGTCGAAGAGGCACTGGGGAGATGTTAACCCGACCCCGCATAATTCAAGGAAGCGTTATCGAAGCAACGCAAAGAGGGATTAAGTTAAGCAAATAGAGATTCATTATGGGGCTTTCGCTGGGCAATTAAGCTCAAATGTTTCATGGATTTTGGAATCGGTATTGTTGGAATGGGACTCTATCGATGTCGTGTTGGCTAGACATGTTGGGAGCCAGCCACCTCACGCACCCCCATTGAGTGAACCCAACCAGATTCCTAGCGTCTTTCCTCGATGCTAAAACCGTTCGCAGTGGAGAAATCCTTCCAGATTCCACGAATTCCGTCGATTCCAAACAAGCGATGCAAAAGAAAATAGGCTTCCGGAGCAGCGAGATTCGATCACCAGAATGGATGGAATTTGGAGGTGGAGAGAGATGGCTGGTGGGGGAAAGAGGGGCGTGTGGCTTGTGCTGGGCTGGCGCTTGTTTTAGGGGAACGGGCTAATACGTCATTCTCTGAGGGAGCCGGCCTGGGGCGGACAGAAGCAGCTGAAGGTGGATTTTTGCTGGGTTTAGAGTTCTTGTAGTGGTACATGTCTGGTGGTGGGAGTTTGTATTGGGGACGGCGGTAGCAGGACTTGCAATCTGTTAGGGGACATGCTGTAAGCGAAAAGAGGATGATGTGCGGGCGGGTTTGTGCATGAGTGCAGATTTGGATTTGGGGGGCACGTCAGTGTCAAGTGTCAAATGTCAGTGTCAGTGCCCACGTTGTTGAGAGGACAGGGCCAACCAACTTAAGTACGAGTACCTGTACATACACGTATACGAAGAGGTATGGACAGAACAGAACAGGACGGGAATATCGAGTCAGACTGTGCCCCTTGGCCTCGGGACGCTCCGTGGAAGGATTACAGGCACTGGATGGAATACTATTACCGGGCGCCGTAAGCAGCGCCCTCGCACAATTTTCCATGTTGCCTTTGTTGTCCCCTTTGAGATGGATCTTTGTCGCCTTGCGTAGCACCGCCTTAGTACAGAGTACCCGCACTCATCATCTTGATGGCGACTGTCACTGGCGCAGCGCAGGTTGGCTTGGCTTGGCCCTATTTTCGTTTCCCCCCCCAGTACCTGCAAGTGACGCAGCCGTAGACGCAGGTGATGCAACAATGCCAGGTATCGACGAGGTGCCTGCGCTAGCGTGCCCCCTCTCGGTTTTTGAGCTGTGACGGGTTGCGAGTACCTTGGCAGCTGCTGGAATCGGAGGGGGCGGAGCAGGTAGATGTTACATGTACAGTAGCGGTACTTGTGCAGTTAGTATGGGGCCCTCCATGGCGTGCATGAAATGGGCATGTCCGTCTCCCCGTACGACGCAAATCATGGATCTTGCGCAGATGCGAGGCGGTGGTTCTGGTTCGGTGGCCTGTGGCTCGGCAGCACCAAATTCGCAATTTACAGCGGCCCAAGTTGCAAGTGTTTACCTGTAGGTACCTCAATGAATTATTCTGTCTTCTATTTCTGTTTCTGTTTCTCTTCCTGTCACTGCCCTCTTTGTATGTCAATAAAATTCTGCCCTTTTTTCTTTTTCATTTTTTTTTGTTTCACGGCGCTAAAAACCTGCTTGGCTGCCCAAAAAGTCTCACCTCAAACTGCCATTGCGTCAGTCGAGCCGGTTGACGTTGACCATCTCTCGACCTTCCCCTCCCCACCAACGCCTCTTTGTGTTGCTGTGATCGTCCCAGCTGTCGTCACTCGCTAATTCCTGTGCGAGGCGAAACCTTGGTCTGGCGCCGACTTGGCTGGCATCCAGATTAGAAGCAAACTATAATTATTTGGCGGCGCGGCTGCTCGGAGCTTGCTTTCCTCTTTTGCTGCATTTCCTCCTCTTTCTCCTCCCCAGCTCAGCTCAGCTCAGCTCGGCCTTGCTCTGCTCTGCTCTGCTTTGCCCTGCTCTGCTCTGTTGCGACTCGCCTTCTCTCCTAACCATCGTCGCAATGGATCACCAACCTCAATCCCAGGGATTGACTCGTCTCTCCCCTGATCTGAACGCTGGGCCCAAGCTCAATTCTTACCTACAACCGCAGCAAGTCCCGTCACAGTCGCAATCGCAGCGACAGCCGTCCAGCTCGCCCTACCAGACGTCGCAGAAGGGGAGGCGACCTCTCTCCTACCAACCCCAGCCCACATATCTCGAAGCCGGCCGACGCTCGAATAACGCATCGCCCCAGAGACGCCAGAGTCCTCTTCCCGGGCGCTTCAACGAGGAGTGGGACGCCAGCCAGCGCGGGAGCTCCATCCTCGATGGCCGCCGTGGCCAAAGCCCCCCAGTCATGTCTTCTACCGCGGCCGGACCATCGGCCATCCAGCGCTCCAACTCGGTCAACAGCTATGCGGCTGGCGATGATCGAGCCCTGCCTCAGAGAGGTAATACGCTGAAGAAGAAGGCTTCGCTGCGGCGCAGTGGCACAGGCAGCATGGTGCGATCCAGCAGCCGTCGCAGCGCACGAGCCGGCAGCGTTAAGAGCCTTGCCCTCCAGACTGCGACGGATCCCGACGAGCTGCACAGCGCCTTCTTCTGCCCTGTTCCCACAAACGGCAATCCCACCGATGTGCTCGCCGCTAGATTCCAGAGTATGCTTGATCCTTCCCCTTGTCAGACTCGACTCGGCGCATTGCGGCCGTTGAATTGTATCACCCGACGCTAACGCTTTATGACACGCAACAGCCTGGAGAAAAATGCTGAAAGACCTCATCGCGTATTATCGTGAAGTACAGTCTCACTATGAGCAGAAGTCCAAGTCGCTCGCCAAGCTCTCAAGCGTCGCCAATAGCATTTCGAACCCGACCTCGTTCCTCCAAACCGCCGGCATCGACGATGCCCTTCAGATTATCCGCAACTATAACAAGCTAGCCCTTCAAGAGGCCACAAAGGCCAAAGAAATCGAGGAGGACGTCATCTTGGCGCTTACTGGGCTGAGGAGCGATCTGCAGCAGAAAATCAAGGAGATTAAACACCTGGCCGGTGACTTCAAGAACTCTGTTGAAAAAGAAATGGACGGCACCGGCAAGGCTGTCAAGGTTCTCTCCGAAGCGCTGGGAAAGAACGAGATGGACACCTCCGCAACGACGGGCAAGCAGGATCCATACCTCCTCAGGCTGGCGGTCGATCGCCAGATTGAGCGCCAGATCGACGAGGAAAACTACTTGCACCAAGCCTATCTCAACCTCGAAGGCTCAGGACGCGAGCTCGAATCCATCATTGTAGGCGAAATTCAAAAGGCTTACAATGCCTACGCCGGCATCCTAAAGCGCGAGGCCGACAACGCTCACAGTGTGGTCGGAGAACTCCGCGATGGGCCAATTGCGATGCCCAAGGATCAGGAGTGGGAGCATTTTGTGGCCAACGACAACCGAGTGGTCAACCCTAGCATGCCATTGCGCTCGGCCGAGCAGATTCATTACCCTGGCCAAGACCATCTCTCGGCGCAAGAAATCCGTGCTGGATTACTGGAGCGTAAGAGCAAGTACTTGAAGAGCTATACGGCAGGATGGTGAGTTTCCCCTTTCATATACTGGCAGATATCTATTTCTGTGCCATTTCTCTCAACGAGGCAAAACCTAACGCGATTCATGGTAGGTATGTACTTTCGACAACGCATCTTCACGAATTCAAGTCGGCAGACAAAGCACAGGCCCCCATAATGTCCCTCTATCTCCCGGAACAAAAACTAGGATCCCGCTCCAGCGAAGGAGGCCCATCCAACAAGTTTCTGCTCAAGGGACGACAGACTGGTGCCATGCACCGCGGCCATACCTGGGTGTTCCGAGCCGAGAGCCATGATACGATGATGGCTTGGTACGAGGACATTAGGGCCCTGACGGAAACATCGCCGGAGGAGCGAACGGCATTTGTGCGATCTCACTCAAGGCGAAGCACGAGCCGATCATCTCACCGGTCAGCTAGCAGCGACGGACTTGATGAGGAAGAAGACGAAGAGCCATTTACTGCGACCGAGCAAGACGTCACGCCAGGACCTCGAGCAGACATAGCCGCGCGGCGACCCCAACCAGGTGGGCGGTTCCCATCCGATATCCAAGTCAATGCACAACGAGGCTTACAGGTGCCTCAATCCCCGTCTAGCGTAGGATCCAGCCAGGAAGCACCAGCCCAGGTGATTGCTGCGGCAACCGCCATACCAGGATCATGCACGGATGCCTATGCTCCGGATAAGTTGACACGGCACGATGAAGGCCATCCGGAATACGGACAGAGAGGCGAGACCCCGATATCAAACGTGCATGCACAGGCGGTTGCTGCCGACCACGAGGCACAGGTTGACGGCGTCAACCCTTACACAAGCGAGCCAGTGGACCAGAGCCAAAGCCATCATCGAAATGCCTTTGTAACTCCACTCATCATCCCCGGCACTCGTCAGCCGGTCAATGGCATTGGCGGCAACAGAGCTCTTAGTCCGGAACAGCAACACAATGCGGCCGCTATCAACGGTGTAGCTGGGGGAGCCGAGACGAACGATATCAACGGTGGACACTACAAAAATGTCGGAGGCGCCGGAGCTCTCTCTCCGGACGCAATCCCCAGGTCTGAGGTTCAGCCCGATGATTCAGGACTGCAAGTTCTCCCCGGCCAGGGCGACTCTGCACAGCCAGTGGGTGGTCTCAACTCGGTTCGTGGAATCAACGATGAGAGGGCGGCCAGTTCAGTGACGGTGTCGGACCTACCGATGCCAGGCAGCTTTCCTTGAGCTCATGGTCTGATTTACATGTGACGGAAGTGGACTTTATCTCTCTTTTGTTTCCTTGTGTGTTTCTCATTTGTCCTCGAGGAATTGGGTATACGTTGCCATCTGGATACCGTTTCTTGATTACCTGTTTGAGTATTTGCGTTTTTGTACGATGTGTTTTGGTGTTGGATTGTGAATGAGGCAAGGGATGCAGAAAAGAGCAACAATGTGTTGTATCAGATGAAGGCGTTTGTGTTTTGCATTATCTTGTTGTCGATGCAAGTTGAATTTGAGGACCGCATCACTCGTTAGGTATATCCGTAGCTCGCCATGCGTGGTTCAGCTAGCAGTTTTTTGCCATTTGATGGAATTGAATGTTTTGTTAAAAGTAGATTGATACCATAGGTAGCAGCAAGCCTTACAATCTCTCAATGCCAGTCTCTCATTATCTGTTATACACATTCAGATGCTCCTACACAGACGCTGCTGTGAGCAACTTCAATTGAACCTGCATGTACCAATGTACAGAACGAGGTACTTGGGTACATCTTCTCGCCCCACCACGCACAGCCCGCTGGAACATTCTTCCGCACCAGCCAATCACATCCCCTCAATCGGACAAGCTTCCTCTCAGCAAGCCTTTCGCCAAAAAATTTCAACACCATTGGAGACGCTCTAAAAAAAAAAGTTTCAACGACGACGAGGGAACGACAACACCAAAAAGAAAACGGGCCCCCAAACGATTGGCCTCTTTTTCCTCCCTCTCTCGCGCCCGCGGAACTCTTTCGGTCCAATCACTCATTTTCGATTTTTAAATAAAATAATCCAGCAAACATACACACAATGTCTTTCCGAGGCGGTTCTCGCGGTGGCCGTGGAGGGTCTGGCGGCGGCTTTCGAGGCGGACGAGGAGGATTCCAGCAGAGGGACATGGGACCGCCGGCGCAGGTTCTAGGTATGGCGAATTTCGCTCCTTTTTTTTTCGCTTTTGATTGATTGTGTTGTGTTTGTTTGTTCCCTTTTGCTTTGCTGTTGAGGCTTTGCTGCTACTGATGTTGGCTTTTCGAAAAAATTTCTCTTGGATGGAGAGAGGGTGCGCTTCTTTTCTCTGTTGCTTCTTTTTGAGGGTTTTATCAAGGCTCTTGTCGCTCAATTTTGAGATGGCAATGGACAATGGCTTCAAACTGAAGAGACAGAAAGAAGAAGAAAAGACCCAGCAGACACACAGAGAGAGACAATCAGCAAGACAAGACATCTAAAACAAGCAAAAAGACATTACTCGGCTAACACCTCTCCTCCCCTAACAGAAATGGGCAAGTTCGTCCACGCCTGCGAGGGCGAAATGGTCTGCGAGTCCATCAACCCCAAGGTCCCCCACTTCAACGCCCAAATCTTCCTCGAGAACAAGACGGCCGTCGGCAAGGTCGACGAGGTCCTCGGCCCCATCAACCAGGTCTTCTTCACCATCAAGCCCTCCGAGGGCATCCAGGCCACCTCCTTCAAGGAGGGCGACAAGTTCTACATCGCCCCCGAGAAGACCCTGCCCCTCGACAAGTTCCTGCCCAAGCCCAAGCCCCCGCCCGGTGCCCCCAAGCCCAAGCGCGCGGGAGGCAGCTCCCGCGGAGGCCCCCGTGGAGGCGGTCGCGGAGGGTTCTCTCGTGGCGGACGTGGTGGTCCCGGCGGTGGCCGCGGAGGCTTCTCGCGAGGTGGTGGTGGTGGAGGCTTCGGCGGTCGTGGTGGCCGCGGAGGCAGCGGCGGCTTCTCCAGGGGCGGTGCCGGCGGCGGCAGGGGACGCGGCGGCTTCAGCAGGGGAGGACGTGGATTCTAAAGGGAAAGGAGGAAGAGAAACAAAACAAGGAAAGGCGTTTACCAAGACGATTTGCCCATCTCTCTTTTCCTCTCTCTCTCTCTCTCTCTGAACAACTTTGGGGGTCCGCCAAGAATTGAAAACACAGAAAGACAGAAAGGAAACTGGGCAATGGGAAGAAGCAGCCGACAGCAGCTTTTCTTGGGAACGGGAAAAAAAAAGGAGAGGGGGGGAGAGATTTTTATATGTACAAAGGGCTTCACGGCGTTTAATGGCTCGGTTTATTCCTCATCGTACTTGAATTGGGTTTTCTCGTCATCTTCATTTCCCCTCCCTTTCCCTTCCTCACCCCCATCTCGGGGTGTGCTGCTGTCTCGACAAAGGCATGACGAAGAATTCATGTACGAAGTAGCACGAAACAAAAGAGAGTGATATAAATGTGATGCGAATGTAGACAAATAAAATGTAATCACTTTGGGGCTTACCAAAACACGAGTCACTTCCATCATGATACAAAACATGGGGATTAACAGGGGGGGTATCATAATCTCTGTTCGCAGTAGGCTATGCAGACCATATCATCTCCTCCTCCAGCCTCTGAAGTGCCATAAAAGAAAAAACCTCCGTTTGTATAGGAGAGTAGCTATCCATTATATAAAAAGAACCCCATGCCTTCCGCCATAATGTTTATCCATACTTCGAGGCGCTTGCCGAGCAGCCACCCAGCCAAACAAGATTGAACAATTTCGTTATGCGCCAGCTCTCGTTGCTCATGAACCATGCAGACCATTGAACCTCTAGCCCCCATTGTCGCAGCCGAATATCCAGGGAGACCAAGAATTAGAAAATAAATACATAAAGCTACAACTTGCTACGGCTGATGCAGTCGCCTGGTTTAGGGCTTTGGAATGCGAATCGTCTTGCTGGTCATCATGCAGCCGTGGATCATGAACAAAAGCACGGCGGGGTGGAACTCAAGCGGAGTGCCCTCGAACAAGGTGCCAAAGGGGATATTGTCCAAGATCCAGCCCTGCTTCAGCCAGTAACCCATGAGGGCATCCAAGCCCAGCGACGTCGGAATGGGGGTGCCCTCGAAATATTTGCTCTTGCCGCTGGCGTCCTTGGGCAAAACCGCAACGGTAACGTTGAAGCGGGCCAGTCTGGTCAGGCCGCACAGGACGAAAAAGGTGAGACCGACGGTATCGGCAGTAGTTCGAAGGCCAAGTGAAAAGGCCACCATGGCGGGGGCAACACCAAACGAGATCTACCAAACATGGCGGTCAGTATGCATGTCTCGAATGTTGGCAAGCGGCGTATACGCAGGACAAAACGTACCAAGTCGGCAAGGGAATCCAGCTCCTGGCCCATGAGGCTGCTCTTCTTCCTCCACCGGGCAACCTTGCCGTCGAGGAAGTCGAAGAACAGGCCAAATGGCAAAAACGCCAGCGCCCAGCCCAAATGGCTCTCTCGATTGGCGCCGTCAAGGCACGAGTGTAGGGACGAGAATATCGACATGACACCGCAGAAGCCTAAGCCAAGCATCACATGCAACGTCAGCAATCAAAAAAAGTTCGCCAAACAAAAACAAGGGTAGGGGAACCCACCGTTCATAAGAGTAATGAGATCTGCGAGGTGCATGGCCCGTACCAGCGAGAAATGGCCCACGTCTGCAGAAAGAAGCATCTTTTGCTTGTCAATGGCTGTTGAACGGACAGGAAAAGAGAGAGGTTAGCTTCTGCTCAACAAAAAAAAATACATGATCCATCCCCAACACTATTCGCAACAACGACAAATCGCAGCTGAGAGAATCCGTACCTGGTTGGTTTGCCGGCGGCGACTCTCTCGAGGTCACGCCGTTCTCGCCCGTCGAGGCGGCACTGGATCGTTTTGACATGGCGAGGCTGATTGAATGGCGTGCGAATCGAGGCTCAGAGAGAGAGAGGCTTTTTGTCCGTCTATTCGGCTGCTTGTATGGCGTGGAGAGAGCAGCAAGTAGTGGATCAAAGAACGCGCAAAGCTAGAAGCGTCCTCCGAAAATAAGTAGAATGGGAAAAGAGAAATCGAGTTTCAAGTATTGAAGGAGAAGAAAAGAGAAGCACCCGTGTGGATCTCACGAAACCTCGATTACAGGCGAACGGTGACGTCTTGTGAAAAGAAAAAAAAAAGAGAGGACAAGGAAGAGGAACGAAAAAAAATAGTCCAGACGCGCGAGGGGCAGCTGCTGCGAATCAATGCTCAACTACAACTGGACAACGGCGCTCGTTACATGTACTTGTTAGCTGTCCTGCTAGGCGAAACAACCTTGGTAGGGTCGGGTGGCGCTGCTGCCAGTTTCCAGTTTGTCCCAACTACCGCGGTTGCTGGCAGGTGGCCGGTATCGAGTACCTGCAGATACAGCGCAAAGCAGGGCCAATTTGCGCGAATAGGGTACAGAGCTTGGTGCTAGTCGGCAGGTACCGCTACTCGGTTGGGGGCCGCCAACGTGCTACCAGCGTGTTCGAGTATGTACCAGCGCCATGGTCTCTGATGTCAATGATTTGATGCCATGCGCACACACTTACAGTTACACCATGACGAGCAGACAATTAGGATAGTAGGTACTAAAGCACTCCCTGGCAAATAATCCCGCCTTAGTAAGAATGACATCCAATTGTATGTTACTGTACCGTACACCCCGAGTAGCGAGTACTCGCAACTCGTTGCCGATTTACAGTGCCTCATGCACTACTACGTAGTTGGTTGGGTCGGCATGCCGTCATCGTTCTCTCGTCTTTTGCTGTTGCCCTGCTTTTAGCTGATCAAGCTCTGGATCTGGATTTCCAGAGAAGCTCAGCCCCAATCACTTGCTGCACGCATGGTGGCGTTTCACGTGACGCTCTGCAGCACACGCAGAGACATGATACAGCTGACCCAAAGGATTACATACGCCGTCACATGCTAATGATCACGGCTCAGCAATCCAAGACACCTTGACACCGTTCACACGACTTCAAACTTCAAGAGAGAGGGAGAGACACGCGACCCTGAATATAAAGTTAATACAGACGCTTATTGTTCAGTAATAGTATGAAATATCATCAGTAATGCCACAGAGATGACAACAACGATGCAACAATATCCTGTAGTGATTATTAGGTATTCTAGCCTGATACTGACGACCCTATCAATGTCCCCAATCAGACGCAAAATAAGAATATAAACGGAAACCAATGTGTACAGTTTCCCTCGCCTCCAGACAGGCAGAGCCTCTCCCAAAAAAACAAACATACCCACAGTTCCTACTCAACTGTGACCTTCACAAAAAGTGCAGACTAGTTTTCCAGCGGGTATCTTTGCCCAATCCTTGCAACATATGAAAGAAGGAGAAAAGGGAGCGACAAAAATTCAACTCAAAACGCCAGACACGGGCTGCTACTAGCAAACCCGTGCTTTCTCATCCGTGTTCCTTTTGTGTGGTTGTGAAAAATAAAAAATAAAAAGAAAAGAAAAGAAAAGCGTCCACTCCGTCTGTACATCCGTCTCGCTCTCTGCTCCATCGATTAGCTTGCCTGCCTCTTCTGCGTTGTAACTAAAAACCAAAAAAAACCGTCCAAGGCAAGCTAGGTCCAAATGCTCGAGTAATCCATAAATGAGATGCAAGATGCATAAGCCCTGTTTGTTTGTGTTTCTGTTGTCAACCTGCGTCAAAATTGGCGCAGTCTTAATGCTTGATGAGAATGGAGAAGCCGTCCAGCCACGCGCCACATGTGCCGGCAACACCGCAGATAGAATAGCCTCGAGGAGGTATCAGAGTGTGTCTGTATTGCAATGTCAGCGTTACTTTGCCCTGCCTCGACACGTCAAACGGGCTGCAGTGACTTACGCAGAACCGCCATGGGCTTTTCCAAACATGGCTGATTTTCTACCAAGGCTGGTCAAGAGCTGGATGCCATCGATCCAAAAGCCAGCCCTCACGACAAAACCGCTGAGGTACTCTCCGCGTCGAACGTCTGCATGATGTAATAACGTTTGGTCAGCTTGGAGCTTCTTTCACTCTCTTCGGGTATGAATAAACTCACCAAATTCAAATGTGTCGCCTCCCTCTTTGCCTCCCTTCTTGCCAAACAGCTGTGTCGAGTTATCGTCATACACAAACTCTAGCCCATCTAGTGCCGAGCCGTGATACACAATAACGCGAGACATGACCCGGTCCTGCTTCACGGCGCTGGTGAAGATTGTCTCTTGGGGCTCACTGCCTTGCATCTTTGACTGTCCGAGGCTTTTGCATCGGAATGCTACTTTGCCGCCCGGCAGCTTCACCGATGACTGCTTTGACGCAAACACCTTGAAGTCGTCGATATCCAAAGATCCTCCGCCGTGGGATTTGATAGACACCCTTACGCGTCCTTTTCTTTTGGCTTCTGGCAGGCGTGCCCGCAAGTCTTGTTCCGTCATTGTCACTTGCCGCTGGATGGGAGTATTGTTGTCCGGCATATACTCGATCCATGCACGGCAGACATCGTCTCCCTCTCCGTAAATCTCTATAAAGGAAATTCCAGTCTGTGCCACGGCGAGTACGTTACCGCCGTCAATGGCAAATGCCTGGACGCTTTCGTCGGGATTCATCGGAGCATCGTTGGGCAGCCTGAAGGCAGGGTGTGCTCGGAAGCGAAGACTGTCCAGACGATGCCAGCCACACTCATCTGCCTGCATGGCCAACCCTCCCTTGGACTTGGTCCTGGTGGAATACGCTTCACGAGCCACGAAACTTCGGTTAAGAACAACGTAGTCTCTGAGCATAATTCCTCCTTCTTGATGGGGGCATCCAAACAAATGGCCAACCTCGTGCAGATGCGCGCCAATGCCAATGTTTGCCGCCTCCCAGGAGCTTCCCGCCTCGTTGCAGTCGTTGGCCACATGCGCCGTGTCCGTCGGCGTGCAGTCGGTAAAGGCTGGCACGACCTCTTCGAAACAGCCGGGATAGCTATACAAGCAGTGCGATCCAAAGATGCCCAGTTGCAGCTCTCCGCTGCCGCCGCCAAGTGCGGCATGGCTGCGAATGGTTTTGACGTCCTTGTCCCAGTGAGCATCGAGCAGGAGAACTGCAACGTATTGCTTCTGGCCAGGCAGGGGGTTCAGGTGCTTCTTGACTGCTTCTGAAGCAATGTCGAAGAGAGCATTCTTATCCGTGGCCTTGTCATACTGTTGCGCCTTGTTAAGATCCTGCAGCTCCGCCACCGTCTTGTCGGACCGGATAATGTGAACGCGGGCTTCAGATCTCATGATGCCATTCTCCCTGTCGCGGAGATTGGCGGAACCAGACGTCCATTCCTCTTCGAATCGAAATGTTCGTCGCCCAAGCTTGTGCCTCCACATCTGCTCTGCGGTAAATGCCTGCCAGAGATAGGCTGCCATTCGAAACTTCTTGACAGCCGTTTCCAAGCCATTGCCTTCCCTTTCGGCCCGCGACGGCGTTGCATCAAACGTCCCGGGCGAATCTTTGCCCAGCAGAATGGCGAGCTGCAACGGAGGTGCGTTCAACGAAGGCACCATGTGGAGAGTAAGGTACGAGGCGTGGATGTTGTTTGAAGACGAGCTGTTGGCCAGTTTCGGGCTGGAGAATTCAATTCTGATCTTGTTGGGGCCGGGTTGCAGATATAAAAGAGCTTTGAAGTGAGAATTGCATACAGGCCAGCTGGTCGGTGGAAAGGAGTCGTCGAGTTTGCTGATGGTGACGGTGCCTTCAAGGTGATTCTGCTCCGTCTCTCCAACTGTCCCGTGCAATAAGAGAACCTTTTGGTATACCTGTCTCGAGAAGTTAGCACCATCAAGAACATGGTAGCGTTAGTCGTCCACTTTTGAGCAATTCGAGCGCCCAGTGCAATCAATGCAGCGCAATGCGATTAGAAAATTTTGACAAGGGTCTCGCGCAACGTACCCATGCATTTTCCGAAATGTTTTGGACACGAGGAGCATACTGGGAGACGGGCAGATTGGTCCTTCCGTTGGGCGCAGGAGATCCGAGGCCCGACATGCCCGAGACGCTGTATCGACTGGAGTTTCCGCCAGGCACCAACATGGGTCGGTTTTGAGCTTGTGCTGGATACTGGCCAGACCCATTGCTGTCCTTGACCTGTAGATGAAGCGCGGGATCCGACTGGGCCATGGAAGGCGGCGTTAACGAGCCGCTTGACGGAGTGGTGTCATTGGTTTCATGGCTCAGAGTGCCATCGCTGGAAGTGTCGTTTGAGTTTTCTGTCCGGAAACTTGCTCTGGATCGGCGACGCAAGTCCTTGAGGGAGAGAAATGCTGGCGCCATGGTTGCGAAGGTGAGGCGAAGGCGTTATGTATACACGACAAGGACGGCGGTTTTGTTTCCTTGTCGACAGAGAATGGCTGCCTGCTCGCTTGATTGTTTGCTTCTCTGCCGCAGTCGGAGCAGAGAGAACCGTGGTGAAACGAACGGCAGTCGATGAGCTGTCAAATCTGGATGAGCTGTCGCTCAGCCGCACCAAAAATGAAGGAGAGGCGCTAGGCGTGATTGACCAGCTGCATAGACCCAAAACCCAATGCAGCTACAGGTTGTGATTCACAAAAGGGCTCCCAGTTGACGAGGCTAATCCGTGATATAGCGAGAGTAAAGCAGATACTACAGAATAGAGGCGATAGATGCCGGATTGTCAATCGGGGAGTTGTGGCTGACGCGAGAGCGCTGGCGGATGCTGACGCCCAGGGGGGGCAAGATTTAGGGCTGGTTGAACAGGTTCGAGGCAGCGTCGGGAAGTCGAGAGCGTGAGACGAGCTCTAATTATAGGACACTGAGGCAAGATCAAGCCCAGATATTGGAGAAGGGGGGGGATTGTGAGAGAGCGAAGGAGGGAGTAGTTTAGAAGAGAGGGAGGAAGAGAGAGAGAGAGAGAGTCAAGGAGCAGAAACCCAGGAACAGCAACTTCGACTGAACTGTGAGGACGAGCGAGTGGACGGTAGGCGCCTTTGTTGCCCACCTTCGTGCGAGTGGACAATTCAATTGGAGAGATTGAGAAAAAGACGGAAAGATCAGCGTTCAGGCCGGACACGCGTCACCACACCAGTCGAATTTGTACAATATCTCGAGGGGTGAAGGAGAAGGAGAAAGATAAGCGCAATGGTCAGGAGAAGCTTCCCCTAGACAGCCCGTATTAAAGCCATCCCGCAGTCACTCATGCCATGCCATGCCATGCCTGCTACGTAGCATGCGGAGCTAATATGTTTCTGCTGCTGCATCTCCCGTATCCGCCTGGCTGCAGACAGGCCAAAGCGAGCATCTCGGCCAAAATTGGCGGGCGAGGTTACAGCCGTAACGATGACGTCGCATTTTCAACTTGAAGCTTTTTTTCGAAGCACCTTTTTGACGGGCCTTGCGCCTGTGGGGGGGAGACGAGACGCCAGACGGATTGGCCAATTCGCGACGAACAAAGTGCCGTGGCGCTATTTGTGGCTATTTATGTCAAACGAAGCGGTGCTTTTGAGGGTGTGGTGCTGGGAGCAGATCTTACGGGCGCTAAAAGGCTGGCCGTTGCAGACGTCCAATTTGCCTGGATGAAGGGGGGAAGAAAGACGATACGAGTCAAGAGAGAGGGTAAGATGCCATGGATGATCGGTACAAATTCCGACGGCTGAATCTGTTGCTTAGGGTTGGTCTCGTCATGATAAAACTACTAACGATACCTTAGGTTCCCAACTACGAAGCAACGTACAACTTGTATCCATTAGCACTGCAGTTGCCATTGAATTTGACGCCACATGAAATCAAATACGGTGCATTGATGGTAAAGGAATAGCAGAATCTGCAGACTCTCGCAAAACCCGCCTGTTGGCTTGCACAGGGGCGTGGCTGTGTGGGCTCATCGGCTCGGCTTACGGCTTCTGGATCCAGAGACCCCCGCGCCCTTGAATCTTCATTCGTGTATGCCGGTTCTGGAATCTCGAGAATCGGGGCTTGGCAGGTTGGTTGTGAACTCTCTGCGGAGCATCAGCGCCGTGGCAGCATCTCGAGCAAAGAGAGCCGGAGTCGGTTCCTGTGTGTGTTCCGAGCTACTAAACACATATCAATTTGATGACCTTTTTTCTTCTTCTTTCTTTTTCCTTTTCTCATTTCCCCCTTATCCTTGTATAATTAGTTGGAAAACCTGCAGCTGCGGCTCGGGCTTGGCCGCAGAATTCAAGTTAGTTGAACGCAGCTATCAATACTAACACTATCGCTGGTGTATATAGTCGTGCTCCATACATCCACTTTGCTGCAATCCCTGAGAAATACATGGCGTCATCAAGACATCGCGAGCAACCAAATATCTCTCATTCATGCATCCAAAATCCTCGCATTGCTATCTCGTACAACCATGCCTGTATGGCCTCGTACTCTGAATGTACGATGTGACATTTGAGTCGTAACGAGCGCACATCAAACGCCGCATTAGGAACAATCGGCTATCCTCGACCCGGGGCCACGCAGCCACCGACAATTAGGATAAATTCTAACATTGATGGCCAAGTTGAAGCTTCCCATCAACCACAAACCTGTCAAGGTCAAGGCTCTGCTGCATCCTGTATAGCCTGAAAGACAAGCCACTCCACAACGGCTCGCCAAGGTCCCACACTCGTGCCTCCTGGTGCAATTCCCTTCTGCCCTATCACGAGCCCTCCCTCCCCCGTGCGAGGCTCACTATCTCTGTAATACGCGGATTCCATTTCCAGCCTCGGTCCCAGTTTCACTTCGATAGCGGCCAGTTTAGCAGAGTCGCCAGAGGCTGATCGCCGATTGGAGGCGCTAGCTTAAAGTGCCTGCAGAGACACGGAACATCCAGTCGAGCGCTAAAGCTTCAGGGCACGGCGACGCTCAATGCATTCCAGTGTCCAGGCACAGTTGAGTTGAGGTCCCGAGATGAGAATTCGGACCTGGCAAGCCCAAAGTTTAGTTGGCTCTTCATCTCATCCAATCTCATCAAACCCATTTCATCTCACCTCATCCCACATCGCCCAAAACTCTGTGCCCGTGTTTAGAGTTCCCGTCGCTCGCCATCACGCCTTCACTTAGTAAAAATCGCCTGAATCAGCCTTGGTCGCAAACTTAGACAGATCTCGATTTTGGCGAGGAAATTGCCCACCCTAGCCCCCATGGAGCCTAATGGACGTTTCAACTGGCACCTCAATCTGGACATCAAATCGCATCACACCAGCCCTGCGCTTTTATTTCTCTTTGACGAGAAGTGCGGATCGGCCAGCCACTTTTTATGCGGTTTCCGCATGCAGACAGCAAGTCGACCTAGGATGAAACTTTTCCCCCCCTCTTTTTCTTTGTCATCCTTCGATTTTGCCTCACCGAGGTGACAACAGCTTTCTCCCCCTATGTTCATGCATATGAGACCAGCCGCTTTGATGACATCAATCGTCCGATGCTTTCGGAATAGTAGCAGTAGCATCACTGATGGCTAATGGCGGGCGACCAGGGTCAGCAGTAATCCGTCACAATTTCTCCATCTTCGAGGATGACATTTACATATACCAAGCACTCCGCTCTCAATCTTGCCATTCTTTTCCCTCGCTGTATTCAATGCCAATGCACAAGTTACAATCGTTACAGTGTTGCTTGGTATCATCATCATCAAACGGCAACAATCCAAGGTAAGGAACAACCTGTTGCCCGGATGAACATGTCGTTCTTGGACATCCCGGCAACGTAATTCTCTTAGTCCGAGGATCTAAGAGAGGGGCGTCGCCGTGACTACAACATGCACGACATCTCCTTTTCCAGCCTACCAACCGAGTACGTACAAAGCACTCGTCACCGAAATTTATATCCTTCTTACGTCGTGTCCCTCGTGTATGCGAAGGAAGCCCTTTGCTCACAACAGTGGCGTCAACTCTGCCACGCACTGAGTGAGATATTATAGTGCCCGGATATTTAAGCCCAAATCATACCTAGAATAGACGATAAGCATCTCCCGCAAGGCGATCGGCGTGGCCTTTGTTCCTTTTTTTCCCCATGCGGAGAGCAAACAGCTCAGCTGTCGCATGATGCCGGCTGCAAGGGCCAACCAGAGACATCCATTCGTGTCAGCGCTCAGCTCATGGTCCCGTCATGGCCCAATGCACACGAGTGGAGGAATGCGAGTAATTTGGACGGTGAACTCAGGGACTCAGACTCACACCAAGAGAAGGGATACAGTACTGTCCAAGTACTCTTGTACGTGTGCTACATGTGCTACTCGTACATGTATCAGTCAAGAGACAAGAAGAACGAGGAAGGGGGAAGCAAATCCACATGTCTCGAAACTGCAGCAACGGCTGCATCTCCATGGAGGGACCCGCTCCGTTGGGTGTATCAAATGGATTGATGGCATTTCACTGAGACTGAGTCTTCAATCTCTACTAACTCCCTTCAAGTCCACGTACTGTCCATACTCTGCCCCTTTCGACACCAAAAGTGAATGCAAGTGAATTGCATCAATTGACCTCATCCCATCCCATCTCATCCCATCCCATCCCACCAGCTCAACACCATCCAACAGACCGCCCCAAATAGCGCTGGGCTTTTGCAGCTGGCCAACCAACCAGTTGCAGCGGTATACAACGGCTGGGCCCCTAGAAAAGCCAGCTAGGCTGCTGTGGGCAACCGGCCGGTAGGTGCTAAGCTGGCACTAACGGAGCGTTGGGCAAGGCGCTCCAGTGCTGACCTGGACTTATTTGCCTTTGTGCACGGCCAGCGCATTGCTGCCTCCCTCTTCCCCTACCTTGTACTTGTCCATGCCCGTACCCGTACAGGTACAGGTACAGGTACAGGCCACAGAGCCGCCCGTTTCGCACTCCACAACCTGAACCTGTGCTGACCTTTCCGTCTTTCACGCACACACACTTTGCCCTCCTCACAGCCTTCAACCGCCCTGCACTTCCACCAACTCCCGTCTTCGCCCACGCCGGAAAAAAGAGGAAAAAGGAGCGTCTCCAGGAAGGAGAGAAGCTGGTTGGCATATCCATCATTCGGGAGGGACAATTCCAGGCGCTGTAGACCGTTATCCAGTCCACCCAAGGCTGTAGTTGCTAGGGGCCTTCTCGCAAATTTTTGGTTCACCATGATGGCCTCGCCTTTGAAGAAGCAACCGCAGGATGTAGCCGACTGCGTCTTGAAGCGTGCAGAAGTCAGCAAGGTATGCATGCGCTCTCTCTCCGTTCATCATTTGCACACATTTTCCCTTGCTGCAGCATCCCAATGCCGGCGACGAATACTGGCCTTCTTTTTCTTCTTTACCTCCTCCCGCTTCCGAGTCATCCAGTTTCACTAACAGGAGCTTTGGCATACATAGATTGCCCGCCGACTCCAGAACCGCCTCGCACTTGCGCAGTTCAAGACCAAGCATGGCTGGGAAGACCTCACGCTCGACCTCCTCGAACCCAAGGTGGAAGAAGTCCGACGCAAGCGTCTCTACGAGGGCGATGTTCTCTCCGACTCTTCGTCCAGTGCATCCGACCTGCCGTACCCGACCAAGACGCTCATGAGCTCTCCCCTCAAGGCACCCTTGTTCTCCGATGCCGTCGGTTCCAGCAATGGCAGCTCCGGGCATCGCAAACGCACCTACTTTGCCTCGTTTGACAACAACGCCTCGAGCCCTACCAAGCGCTTCCGCGGCTCCCCGACAACGCACAAGTCATTTGGCGGGCACACCCTGTGGAAGGATGGACACCAGCTCACGCATTCGTCCCCCATGAAGCCCCGGCGGCAGCAGCACTTTACCACCTCGGCCGGGCCGGACGTCTCTTTCTTCCAGCAGCGGCGAATGACCAGCGAGCTGAATGCTCACCCGAATTTCACCGCCCCGGACGAGGACGATGACGATCTTTTGCCCGCACACTCGTTTGCCGCAAACATTCGGTCTTCTCCGCCTCGCACGCCGCCGATGCAGTCCCGGACCTTGCGAAAGAGGGGAGGCGGCGCCGAGGGTGGCCAGGAGGGAGCGGATCTTCTGCTGTACCTGGCAGCATCGCCGTCGCCAGCGGTCAAGCCAAACAGGTCTCGGATGGAGCGGCCGTCGACACCGCCGCCCAAGAACAGCAAGCTGGATTTGCCCTCGGCCATGATGACCACGCCTGGAGGAGGCAATCCTTTCCCCAACACCCCCGGACAAGGCTTCGACTTTGCCGACTTTGTCAACATTACCCCAAGCCCAGCTCAAAAAGTCTGGAAGACACCCAACCCCCTCACCGGCGCTCGCACTCCCCGCAGCGTGGCCAGGAAGCGCCTTACGTTTGATGAGCCTCGACCCTGATGAACCAACACCAACGAAGCATACCCTCCTAATATGTGACTGGCATACCCGCAATGCCTCACTGTCCCTACCTATTTGCTTCTTGTACATGATACCATGACACTGTATGCCGCATTGTACGCGGCCCTTATTGCTTTTTATTTTACCACTCTATATCCTGTTTTTTATGTTTCATTCCATTTTATCTATTCACGTCTTAACCCCCCCTAGTTGGTTGGCCCACCCAAGAGCCAATCTCTTGTTTGGATGCCTGGCCTTTGGCGTTTATCTGTTTGTCTGTTTTTGTTTTATTTTATTTTGATTAGACGGTCTGCACCGTTTACACATGGGGGCTCTATCTACAATATCTATTGAGCCGGGATTATGAGAAGGGCAGAAAATCGACGTTTGGGGATATTTGATCCTCTCCAAAAATGGACCGGTCACGAGAGGGACATGGAATCGAGCTGCTGTCTTTGAGAGAGAGATTTTGTTTGTTTGTTTGTTTGTTTGTCTCTTTTTTTTGTTATTTTCCCTCTCCGGCGGTGTACAGCAGGTGGATATGGCAGACGATGGCATGAACGGGATGGTTGGATGATTAACCCCTGGTACAAAACCAGGCAGGCCGTTGTTTATGGCCAAAATGAATGTGATGGTAGTTGGTCGCGTCAATGACAAAAATGATTCTCCCCGTAATAACAGCAATGTTGACGTTTTTGTGGTTGGATGTGTGAGTGGGTGGCTGCTCTTTTTCAATTCGGCCTAATAGCTGCATGTTCGTGCGCACACAGACGCGGTTCTTAGCTAGCTTTCCACGCCTCTAGGCCGGATTAGCTTTGCTCCCGGACGCGACTTTTTTTTTTTTTTTGGCTTTGAAGAGTCTCCCGCGTCTTGGTCGCGTTTTTGGGTTGCACGAAGGGGTAATTTTGCAGCTCGATTCGCAGACCTGATTGGATGGATGGCGCTTGGTGTGGCGCATTAGCTGGGCGGGCGGCGCAGATCTGAGGGTGTGACGCAAGATTCGAAGCTACGAGGAAACTAAAAAACTAAATTACGGGCATGTTAGTTCTGAAAGTTGTGTTGAGATTGCTCGTGTTGGGTAGAGTTGGGCTTTGTCCCTTTCTTTGCTGTTTAGGGAGAGCCATTGGTCATGCCACAAAAAAAAAAACAAAAAAAAAACTTGAGAACGGGGTTTGATTTGCTGCTGTGAAAGCTGCTTACCCTACAACACGGCACCAAATATCGGGCGTACCTTACTCATACTAAGTGGCATGACGAGAAGTACTAGGTAGTGCCTTTTAAACCATCACCACTCGACAGACTCGCCTGAGAAACACCAAGACGCGCTGATAAAGTCCGCCTTGCATGCGGCAACAGCTACATTTTACCCCTTTACAGGCGCATGCTCGGTCGGCATTGGACGGTTGCTTGTAGTGACGCGCGAGAGGCACTTCCAACGCAGAATGACGCAGAGGGGGCTGCAAGCACTTTAGCCCGCATCCACCCCCCACCGGCCGCAAGTTTTCTGTTGGTGACAATCATTCGATGAAAAGAGACGAGAGGAACTAGCCATGGTTGAGACTGTGGAGCCAGAACATTTGATTTGATTTGATTGAACGTCCTTCTATGTATCATCCACTGTGGGTATATGTCATACATGGTACAGAGTATATACTTGTACGAGTACTGCTGCTGCTACAGTACTGCTTTTACTAACCACTACTTTGTACACGGGCTTTCTGCCTAATACAGAGTGTCCGTCTTCACTGAGACCTGCTGGTGAGAAGACGGACATTCCTAACTACAAGAGGCCCATTCTCCAATTTTCCTGGGCATTTATATCCCAAGTCACCCCTTGCGTTTGTCATATGCCGCAAGGTTGATCTTCATTGTTTCCTCATTCATGAAATCGTAGGGCTATCTCGCCTACCTGTTGGACCACCGGGACCAACGTCTCCGCCGGCAATCCAATCACCGAGGCTGGAACCGCTCGCATATTTGGACGTATAGCTGTCGTGAGGGTTCTGTTGGATCTGGCTGCTATACACAGAACTACTCCTACTGGGAGTTCCATTTGGCGGAGCAAGGCGGCTCTCAATCTCCAAGTCGAACGGATCAGACCGGAATTTGTCACGACGCTGGTTGAAAGAGCCGTTGCTTTGCAGAGACTCTCTGTGAACAGAATGCGGCCGGGCAGGAACCGTAGGGGCGTGAAAGCTTCGAATTCCGCCCAATGATCGGCCTCTTGATCGGCGATGCGGGGCTGAAACAGGGGGAGGCAAGACCATGTTATCATCACTGAACGGATTTGCCAACACTGAGCTGGAAGGCGGTAGCACCGTGCCCGACATCAAAGCATTGGCATCCGAGAAGGGGTTAAACCGCCTGCCAAAATCAAAGCTTAGACCAGGTCCTAGCTTATGCCCCTTGGGTTTTGGGTTTCCCCCAGCTGCTGCGACGGGACTTGGCGCTCCCTTGTTTCGTATCGGCGCAACACTTCTGAGCTGGACCGTGTTTGCTTCAAGGAACTGAGAGTTTCCTCTGTTCATGTTGACGTTGCGGGGTGCAAACCTCTCACCAATGTTCTGCTTGACAGCGCCCAGTGTGGTCGAGATCCCTAATCTTTGTGCCATGGATGTGGAAGGGTCTTTTTCGGTGTACGCTTTGCTGGATCCCCGTCCATCTCTTGCGACTCTTCTCCTCCAGAACCATAGCAAGATCACAATAACTGCTGCGGCGGCGATTCCGCCTATGGTCCCACCGACAATGGTGCCGGTCGATGGGCGGGAACTCGAACTGGAGCTAACAGGGTCTGCTATCGGCTGCCCAGTAGCTTGACTTCCTCCTGGCAGGCCACTTTCTCGGAAGTCGCCAGGAAATGTGTTAATGCCTGTAACAGAAGCTGCAACACTCCCTGTAGAACTCGGGGTAAGATCTGTGACTGTGTTGGAAGGTATTTCACTCAGTATAGAGTCGCTAAGCGGCACAGCTGATGTAGGGGTTGGAGCTGAGGCTGTCGCAGGAGTAGGCACGGAAGCAGCTGCAGCGTCTGGTGTAGGAGATGAATTGGAACTGGGTGCTGAAATTGGTGTTGAAGCTGGGGCTGAAAGGGGCACATTTGATACCACAGCCTTTGCCGATGCAGATACGACCGGATTTGCTGGCTGGCTAGCGGCAACTTGGGATTGCTCTTGAGTTGAAGATGTGTCATTTGCCTGTATTGATTCTGTAGATGACGTTGAAACAGTAGAGGATGGAGACGGAGACGGAGGAGGGCCGATATCTGCAGCACTAAAAACCTGCGGTCCTTGGACCGACTCATCGGTGGGCTGGGTTGCCGACGGTTGAGCTTGAGAGGGAGTGGTTGATGACGATGTTGATGGCGTAGGGGACGGAGGCTCTTTTCCAATTTCGGTCCCAGACGGCGGAGAAACTCGAGGAGAAGAGGGCTGAGGGCCTGTTGGTTGAATCTGAGATTGCGGTGATGTTGTAATAGAAGAAGGCGTTTGGATAGATGGCGTGGCCGTGGGAATCGCACCGGTCGAGACTGGGGTCACTGTGGCAATCTGAGGGTTGAGTGCCAATGCGGAAGATGAGAGTTGTGTAGGTATTGGTGAAGGTGTTGAGATAACAGAGGTCGGTGGCGTCGAGGGAGAAATTGGACTGCTGTCGCTGGATGTCGTAGGAAGTGCGATAGTAGGAGTCTCGCCATCGGCTGTCAAACTTGCATCCGGAACAGTAGTAGTTGGTGAGTTTCCAACGGTTTCTGTCGCGATTGAATCCAAAGCTGTAGTACTGGGGGTTCGCGTAGATGCGCTTTGCGCAGTACTGGGAGGCACATCGAGAGCCACATCGTCCGAAGAGCCTTTTGTTGATTCGCTGGAAATTATACTGGAAGAAGATGGTAGGTGATTGCCTGAGGGTTTATTCGTGGTAGAACTGGTGTTGAAGAAAGTAGTTGATGTAGGCAACTGAGCATCGATGGATGTCGAAGAGCCACTCAAAAGGCTTGCCATTGCGGGTAGCAATTGGCTTGCGAGACCAGCCGCAAAGAAGCCGAAAGAATCGAAATTAAGAAAATGGCATATATAGAATGAAGAAGAGAAAAAGGATTGCGTGAGTTGACTAATACCCCCTACAAAACCAGGAGGAGGGAGAAAGCATTGCTGAGAATCGAAAGTGTACAATGGACTAGCCAACCGCCACTAGACAAAAGAAAGAGTAGGTGACAAAGAGTGATGAGAAGAGAAGATTACAATTGGGCTACTGAGAGACGAACGTTTAAAGAAGGTTAGAGGTGTGATATCCAAGAGGCGCGAGAATAAAGCCAGAGGAGAGTTGGATGGCAATGGTATGCGCCTTTACTCATGGCCCTTTGTAACATCTTCTCGGCGGTACCACCTAAAATTGGCAGCGCATGGGGCCACAGAAACAGAGCCCTGTTTAGCTCCTGCAAGGCAACGAAACACATTGCATCGCGCTGTGAAATGCGAGAGTTGCGCCGACACGATCTTGCATTTGGGAGGCGGCGCTCCGTATCAGGGGCTGAGACCCCCAGTCCTGCGACACATCTGAAGCATCATGACAAGCTAGTTGGAGGCGCGGAGTGCCGCTTTTGACCTAGTCTTGCGAAGGGGGGCAACAGTTTGGGATATGGCCTTGTATCATGAACTTAAAAAAAGGAAAGTTACGGAGAAAAAGAGAGAAATGATCGCCAGGGGATTAAAGCTCGAGGTAAGAGAAAACGGTGTTTGTTTCGACGTGAGCAATTGTAGAGCGTTATGTGGCCGAGATGGAAACGGAAATGCGGTTGCAGTGGTCTGTGTACGAATCAGTATTGGAGCCATCAACGTTCATGTAACCGTGACACAGAAACGGGAAGTCAACATGGTGCTGGGTATTTAGGCTGATGTGAGAGTTCTCTCCAACAATGAAGTACCAGGTAATGTCACACGTACAGTCGATGACCGGCCTCTCTCCTTGCAAGAGGCATTTCCATCTTCCATCGCTGAGCCTCGAAAATCCCGTCAGGCTTCGCAAGAGAAATGGACTGACTATGAAACCAGCCGTCAGTCCATCGAGAGAATACCTCCCCAATTAGGCGCCGGTTGCTGGTCTGGCCAGCGCTAAGGGCCTGGAAAAGCAGGGCGGCAGGGATGGTTTGTTTGATTGGCACGAGCCCGCGTTGGAAGTCGTTGAACCGGACTCATCAGGTCCAGTCAATGCTCTATTGTATGCCTTGTATGTGGGATACTTGACAAGCACGGGGTTGGGAAAGCAAAACTTGGCGGAGCATCGGCCGCACGAGATGTTGTGTACTTGAGTCTGCACCTGTTGGTTACGTTTTGTTAGCTTCATGGTGCACTTCACAGATAGGGCCGTGCTGCTAGCTTCAGTCTCAGACCAACCCCAGGTGTTGGACTTCCGGCGATGCGTGATGCGTTCAGGCTCCTAGGAGATGAAGAGCACTGGTATCTCGAATCATTCGCTTGCCAAGGTGCCTGTAGGCGTCATATACGAGTAATGAATGGTAGGTGCCACAATGGGAAAACCGTTGGTCTTCGAGATGCTGGCGGAGGAGGCAAAACACTCGTGGCAAGCTTGTGTAGTACTAATGCATGAACCCCTCTGCAACAAGACCGAAACTTGATCGTCTGCTGGTGAGGCATCATGGAGGTGGGTTCTCTACAATTGCTGTTGGGTAATCTCGAGAGACCAAGGAAAGGTTGGCATTTGTGATGGCCACATGCAATTTATCACGAGACGATTGCGCTTTGAGAGAAAAGCTAGGAGCGATATGATTACATGTACCTTGGAACTTGCCATACTTGCTCAAAGAGGGGAGGGGCATCCTAAGTCTGTTACTACTACCTGTATTCTAGCATCCCCGTGTCTCGAATGTAAAGCTACACCGATGATGGCGCCAGATACTGGAAGAAAATAGTAACAATAACAGTTCAATACCAATCAATACTACCTACTACCTACTAGTTAGGTAGTACTCAATAATACACCTTAGGGAAACACAGGTAGGAGAAAACAAAAGGCTTCAATTCTCTCACATCCCGTTCCGACATGGATTAGACAACTTGGGGTGCTGAATTAGTAGCAAGCTAGCAGGTAGCTCTACCTGTGAGTGTCCTCCCTAACGGAGCGAGTACATCGAGGGAGACTCATCAACTCGCCTCTGGTAGGCAGGCAGTACCCAAGTTGGACGTCTTTCATTCTCTAGAACAAAAGACAGAGAGTCGATACTCTTCCAAAGGTGAACAAATACACGCCTCATTTTCACCCACAAACTTCAGGCCACCATCTCCGATCCGATTATTGATGGTGCGGACTTAATCCAAAGCTCCGTCTTTGCCTTGCGCCTCTGTTTGCCTGCCGAGGCGGGGGAGCTGTTTAGCAGCTGGAGGCTTACATGTAGCTAAGGTACAGTAGGCCTCGCACTAAGTGCCTCTTCTGCGCCATGCCCCTGGATCGATCACCACAGCTGTCTGTCCCTTTGGGCCTGGGATTCGGATTCTGGATTCTCGACCCCATCTGCTGTATGCGACGCAACGCAACGCAACGCAACGCAACGCAACCGTCCAGCCTGCAGTACGAGCACGGAGCACGGCGGCCGGCTGTTTGGTTGACCCGCCATCTGCTCACAGTTGAAGACCCTCGCCCAGGCTGCGTCGTTTCTTGGACAATTCCTGTCCTGTCCTGTCCTCTCCTCCGTCCTCCGTCGCCGCCTCCGCTTCGGCTCGGCCTTTGCGAGCATCTGCTGTCGTCTTCCAGCACGCGCGCATAGAGGCCATCTCCGAGCCCATTCCCCAACCGCGTCTGCCCCCCCCCCCCGTGGACAAGACAAGAATCGGCGCTTGAATGGTTGCCCTGGCCCTGGCCCGCTCTCGCACCCGCCCCCCGCGTCCGCGTCCGCACGTCTGCCATCTCCGAGTCTCCATCACTCCGGCCACTTCGTTCCTCGTGATCGCTGCCGAGACGGACGGCACCGTCTTTGCTCCAGGTCCGCCCGTCTAGCCCAGCTCAGGCGACGGCGGAATCCCCTGCCCCTCTCTTCTGGGTACAAGCCTGGGCTTACGGTTGCGCCGCCGGCTCGATTTGGCTTTACCCACTACAGTATCTATCTATCGGCCTGCAGTATCACTCACGCTCCATCGTGACTTCATCAAGACCTTTTAACCATGTTTGGATCCTTTGGCTTGGGTATGTCTCGTCCACTTCCTCTTCCCCTTATTCTGCCTCGCGATTCCCTTCCGTTTAGAACTTGTCACCCGATCGACTCCTCTGCTTCCTTTTGTCCTTGCACCATCCACGCCGGATTTGGCTTTGCAATACCCTCTACCTTCACTTCTTGTGTGTCTTATTCCACCATACCCCCGTTTGTTTTGACTGCAGCATCTTGTCCTCTATGTTTGGTCTAAACGACAACTAGCAAACCTGCCGCCAAAGGTCAAGGTAGCCCCCGAAGACATCCCGCCTCCCACGACTATTTGTCTTCCTCGCTACCAGCCTTTCGTCCAGGATGACGTTCCAGTCGATCCCGAACACGCCCTATCTAACTTGCTCAAATGCACGGGCCGGATTTCTGCCGCTTCGGGAGCAATTGGCCTCTCCGCCATTGGATTTGATTTGAAACTGGACGTCCAAGTAGAGGAACTCATCCCCGACCCGTCCTTTCTCCCCGACTTTGGGAGGTGGGACAAGCTCACGCTTGAGGAGGCTCGTGAGCAAAACCAGGCGGAGCGTCGACCTATAAGAAATGGCAACTCTTCCCCTGGATGCCACGTTTATGCAGAGCGTCGTAGAGAGCTCTCGCACGCAAATGAAGACGCCTTTCGTACAGTCCGTCGCCTCGCACCCCCCAAGGGGAGGCAGCAAGCTCGCCTTGGCAACGCCTATGAGTTCTTTCGCTGCCTTGAATTCTTTACCGTGTATTGGGACGACCCAAGTCGGCCCCCCTCGCTCCCACCCTCTCCTGAACTGGCACCAACTGAGAATGGGGAAACCCCTGCTGCCCAGGAATCACTACCACCCCAAGTAACACGGACATCAGATGGTGGATCAATGCCTCCCGAATATCGCCAGAATCTTATTTCGGCCTTTGTCAAGCTTGTTGCGTACGACTTTGGCTGTAATGTTTCCATGTCTCGCCTTGAGCCAAGACTGCACCTGAGCTCTCCAGACGACCATCCCAGCCCCCGAAAATCATACAGCCCCTCCAATTGCCACTTTCTTTTCCAGAGCCCGACTACAAGAGAGGCAGCTCGTGCCGGCCTTGTGTACGGTCCTCTCGGGGCGGTGAGCACGCGCCCGAGTGTGAATTTTACAACGCCGGACATCGAAACTGCGCAGTCTACCGACCTTGCCCGGGAAGTGCTGGCGGCGCTTATCACGGCCCAGCATAGGGCTCGCGAGGGAAAGGTCGAAACGCGATTTGGCGAGAACCAGTGGTGGACTTCCAAACCCAGATGGGGTGGTGGTACCGGAGGCCCCATCGGGCGAGAAATCGACGCGGATTCGCCTCTCGGGGACAAGGATGCTGCACCTACCGACTCAGAGAAAGCGGCTCGGCCTGCTGCCAAAAGAGCCCGAAAGACCATGTCCATCTATGACGCTTATCGGATGGTGCGCCCACCCGCTCTTACATGGGACAAGAAGGCTCGCTACGAAGCCGTTGGCAGGCAGAAGGGCGTGGATTATGACGATGTGTTCGTGATTAGCTCTATTCTCCACCATATATCTATTCTCCGAGTGCGAGTGCCCGACCGGCTTCTGGAGGTGCTCGGCGGCTCTCCTGAAACGGATGTAACACGGCGCAGCTGGGGTAGAGTGCAAGGATGGAGAAGTCAGTGGTTTGACCTGTTTGATACGGAGCAGCGACTTGCTGCCATGAGAATGCTTTGGGCCGTGATGGCATATCAGATGAGGAAAGAACCGGAGGAGGAAGATGCTGCAATGGCTGACAGTTGAACGCTGTCGAGGCTTGTGAGGAGACAACTACCTTACGATGATAGAGAGTGGAAGATGTAGAGAAGCACATAAAACCACGCTGTTGATACGCGGGCAGGATTTCTAGGATACATCCAAGATGCGGCAGGGCTTTGTGTTTATGACAGCTACCTAAGGTTAGAGAATATGCACTGGCACGTGTGCTGCTGTGGACTACGAGTACGAAGCCGGGAGTAATGCAGGTGATGATGCAGAGTAACCGCGAATGTGATGTAAAGCACGAGCTTGTCTTTTACAATGGTGTTCACCATCTAGCGCCTAGGGTTGATGTATCATTGGGCCTTTCTGGCTCAACAAAAAGGCAAAAAGGTAAAACGCGTAGATGTGGCATCGTATAACGCTCAATACCTGATAGGATGACTGCCTTGTCGTGTTCGCACGTGTGATTCGCATTACTGGGAGCCCTTGTTCACATTTACCGTGGATAAGATATGTAGGACGCATGTGGTTATTGGTTTATGCAAGCGTTATGAAGCAATATTGGAAGAGAAGCTCATCGATCGATAAGACTAGCAGTAAAAGAACGCATACCATAATACGCTGTAGATTGCATTTGATCAGTCGAGATCATGAAGATGGCTCAAGGAGGTTGCAGACGTTCCAGTGCAGGATGTCTCGGGCTGCGATTGAATCCTCGACGCTGTCGTGTCCCTTGCCCCTGATTTGGATCTCTCGCCCAAGCCTCTCTTTCGCCAGTGCTTTCAACGATAGCCCTCCTCTCTGTCTTGGTGCCGCAGGGCCCTTCTCATCGGACCCTTGCTGGGTGTTTGCCGCTTCTTTTTGAAGCTCTTGGTCAACGGTTGTGGTCTCGGACGTTTGTTCCGTTTGCTTGTCCTGCTTGTCCTCTTCTGGAGGCCTGTTTGCTTTCTCGACCAGGTACGTGTCGATGATGGCTGGGTGAATCCAGCGTAAAGAGGTGAAATCAGAATTGGCGCCGTGTCCGATGACTATGGTATTGGGGCCGATAAACTCCCAGAGGGCCGTTCTAGCACTGGAGCGGCCCATGAGGCACGACCGCGTACGTCGTGCGTTCTCCATATCTTGTCTAGTGACTCCCGAGAATCTTGTGTTAAAGTGAATCATCTTAACGTCAGGATACACAAGTTTATCGAGCAGGACATGGCCTGAGAAGTAGTCAACAGCAGAGACGCGGATCAGCTCGGATTCTCCCGTGGAAGCTGTTCCCATTTCGCAGTCGATGACGACGGCGACTGCTGGAGCGCCCCTGGATTGGAAATTGGGTGTGTAGAAGTATCTCCATTCTCTTTCCAGCTCACCGGCGGCGTAAATCTTTGGCGTATGGTCTTCTTTGCCCTGGCATGGAGGTGAACCAGGGATACCACTACAGCAGGTCCATTTCTAATCCCGTGGTGTGAGCTTTTGTCATCTCATTTATATGAAGAGAGGGAATGGAGGGGGGAGAAGGAAAGACAAACCCTTTGAATGACTCTTCCGGGGTGATACTTGCAGTGCAAGACTGGCTTCTTAGCTTTTTTGGACGAGTCACCTTGGTCGGGATGACTGATAGGTTGGCCAAGGTCCTCATCATCATCATCATCGTTATTTCCCCCTCTTTGAACTGGCGTCTTGGGCAAGTAATTGGTCTTTTTCAACTTATGAGGAAGATCTCAAAGTAAAACGTCAGCTTTTATGAGTGTGTCTATATATACAAAGCACTTACGACGGCTGCATAGAAAACACCTCCGCTTGCGATCTAGATACTCTTGCGATAGCTGCTGCATGACATAGCCGGCTCTTTGGAGGTCAGAATTAAAATGCGTCAAGCTCTGGAGATGCCGAATATATTCTCCAGAGCTCTGAATTGGCTCGGGCTGATCGTCGCTGGGGGGTATCGAAAATGCAATGGGAATGGCGACTGGGCGGGCCGATGCACGCGACATGGCTGGTGAACGCTGGGAGAAGCAGGCTTGAAGAAAAAGAGAGAAGCAGGATGCAAACCAAATGGAAGAATGAATTCAACGCTGGAACGGTCTATGAGAGTACGATTGTGATGTGTGATGATGGGGGAGGAAGAGGGAGGAAGAGGGAAAGATGAAACTGATGGAGAAAGGCTGAGTGAGAGGTGCCTTTGATTTAGCGGCGTATCGATTGTGCCTAGTCAGGCACCAGTTGGATGTATGTTTGGCCGCCATCAGTCAGTCAGTCGCACAGGGTGGCCTACAAGACGCAGAAACGCCTAGAAGCGGCAGAGGCTTTGATGATGCGTGTATTTGATTGTATTCAACTGAATTCTGCATCTTCTGTCTCTTTTCCACTTCTCCCCCTTTGCTGTGTTTTGTCTAGGCGCTGTGTCGTGCATTTGCTAGGTCTGTCACTATTACCACGTACTACTACAAGGCTGAGCATGGCGATATTGGCATGGACTGAGTGCAGCACTAGGTAGTTGCAGCAAATGCCTCAGTCCAGTACATTGTCTACCTTATTATCGATAACGTCTCGATGGCTCTGCCGTGATGACTTCATCCCGTGCCACGTCAAGACTGGCGTCAAGCAACGTCTGGTCTTTACCGGAGCTGCCTCTAGTCCCCAGTCCGTTCCATTGGACGGACCCCAGCCAGCATAACGGCGCGCGCCCTATCCGCAGCGCTAATATTAACAGATGCACATTGCGGCTACATCTACATTTCTGTGCGTTGTACAGACTCAGCACGTGTACATCAGGTAGATCCCTAACGGGACCTTGGGTATATTCAGTCAGTCAGAGAAAGGACACCAGACAATACGAGCAAACGACCGGGGATTGAAAAACCACATAACCAACATACATATACTTCCAAGGGCAGCGTTGGAGCCATGAGCACTCCAGCCCTCTCCAACGGCACAGATGTTACCCCAGGCACGCCTCGCCTCATCATCGAGTTTCCTCCGGCTGCGGTAGTCGACGACCTCTCTCTCATCTCCGCCATCACCAAGCTGGTGAATCTGGTATTCATCGAAGCAGAAGCCGGTATCTGGAACCATGGCTTCGTGCGCACCTCTGATGCCGAGGTGGCAGACTTTATCCGCAAGGGCCAGCTAGCCGTTGCCTATCTCGCCTCTCCCTCATTGACATCCGAAGATCAGGGACTTCTTCAAAAGGGCCAGCCGGTAGGATGCGTGTGTGTCAAGCGGAGCTCAGACTCAATGTGCACCTTGGGTATGCTGGCCCTCGACAAGACGCACCAGGGACTCGGGCTAGGCCGCGAGATATATCAGTTTGTGGAGGAGTACTGCCTGTCTCTGGGCTGCAATACCCTCGGGCTGGACATTTTGGTGCCGACGAGCTATGCCCACCCGCTCAAGACGAGGATGGAGGCGTGGTATAGACGGCTGGGATTCCAGCTGGTGAGGCTGGCCGATTTTGCGGATGATTACCCTGCACTGGCGCCGCTGCTGAGCGGACCTGTGGACAATAGAGTTTTCGAAAAGAAGCTGAAATAGATATTTGTTGGCTGTGGAATTGGGTCATGAGATAAGCATATGGAGACCCGGGGAAAACTTTGTTGTCAACTTGTGGTCTCGATGGTTGTATATGTCGTCATCTATCTATGATACGCTCTGCCGGGCACTGGCGTTTGGCTATTCTAGACGAGGAAAGGACCTGGAACATAGAGTCAGGATACAGAAACATTAGAATACGTGCAAGACAATACATTATGGAGTACTAGCATCAAATAATTAGTAAGATGTCTGAGCAGACTTGAGTCGAGACATGCTTCCGTAAGAATATCACAGGCTCTGGCCCATCTCTTCCGCTTGGAAAGAGAGCAAGTGTGGGGATGGACCGTGGATAGGGCCGATCTAATTTTATATCCAGAGACAATTGCACATCACATCGAGCTGAAAGAGGAGACCTTGACAGTTGGTTTCCCTTCCCTTGGGCTGCCTCTTTGGCCCTTGGAACCACTTGGACCAGATCTCCAGCATGGGAAAAAGAAACATCTGCCGAGATGCGTTGACGTCGTGGGCTATTTTGGCCAACCGGGGCTCTCCCAAAGACTGGAACCTGCACAGACGATCTACGAATCTGCCTCCCGTGGATATCCCACCCCTCCCAGGCAACCAAATTTCTTTGCTTTGTTTACCCCGTCCCTTCGGAGCCGAGCGAATGGCAAGACACGCCTTGCCTCGAAACGGGGGTTGCGGACCAACCGACTCAAGACTATCAGGCCATTTCCCAGCTGGACAGGCACGCCAGAGCCTTTTTTCCCGTCCATCGATCGGCGGGCGAAGCCAGACCAGACCAGACCACTTTTCTCCCTTGGGTGAAAGAAGAAGAACGAAGGAGAATCTCCGTAGCTAGATTGCTAGACTACAACCAACAAATCCACACCCCTTCGCGCTGTTGTGTGGCTTGAGCTTCCCCCGGACGGAAAGGCGTTCCGGGGACGTGATTGGGCCATGCACGACGGATTCAGCTGCTTTGAGAACCCTGTATTCCTGTTGTTAAATGGTGGAGCTGAAGAGAAAATCTTCGTCTTTTGGACCTCCCCTTGCTGCAGGAAAAGTTTCTCGCCAAGATGCTTCTGGGTTAGCTCCAAAGCTTCTGTTCCGATGAGGATGCTGCATGATGTGCTGTGTTGTTCTTTTTTTTTTTTGCTTTCGGTGTAACTTTTGTTGCTTTTGCTTTTTGCTTTGCTGGCTGGCATCGGGTGAGCCTCACGTATTGACTGGGCTGCAGCTGTTCTGACTTGGCGATGGCATCACACTTTGGGGCAGACGGATAAGTCCGAGAGAAGGGAATGGTTGGCTGGGGCAGCATCAAATGTTTTCGGGGCAATTGCCGCGCGCCATTGAGAGATTGATGGGCGTAGAGTGCATGTACGAGTATTAGATGGATGCTGCAAATTAAATGGTGCTAATTAGTCCAGATTGATGACTTGGTGGTGTGTGTGTGTGTGTGTGTGTGTGGTGACGTGCAGCCTTGGGGTCGCAACAGGCGCTGACAATCCAACTGCCTACTACTACATACATGTAAGGACTCCGTTTTGATGTGTCGTCATGGAAAACATCCACATCAACATCAAATTGATCAAGATGCATTGTCGCACATTAGTGCAGCACCGGAGCAGAGCATCTGCAGCAATAGCCGCCTGCATGCGCCGTGCCAGGCCCTACAACTGATGCCGAATGCTTGTAAACAGTCCATGTCAACGTACGGGGGAGAAAAAAATGAAGATACACACAGCACTGCCATGATGACCCGCATCGGGGTCTCCGTTCGGCGAGGCAATGCCGCCATGCAAGACGCCATGTGGCCGAACCGCTCATCTTTTTCCGCGGGTTCGATGCCAAGCTGACGGTTACGGTAACTAAAAAGGTCTAAGCCATTTTTTGATTTTTGTTTCTTTCGTTTTCTATCTGGTCCCTTTGCATCGGTGCTAAAGAGGATGAAAGCAAAAAAGAGACGGGGGCCGGTTTGGGTACCGTATTGGATTTGGTGGCGCCATTGCGGCAGAACCAAAACCGTAGCGAACATGGGGCTTGTACTTGCCGGTGAGGCGCAGGATGTGCATAAGCTGGTCTTTGACGTATTACTGCCTGTACCATTGAGATGGATCTTGAATGTCATCATTGTCGACTTTTGATATCGGTTGTCATGTTGATGAGACCAGGCATGCACATGTGTTTTTTTCCGGCTCTGCGTCATTTGCGCATTTGCAGCGCCCCGGCCTCGACCGAGGCTTTCTATTGAGAGACAGACACTCAATCCCCTTGCTGACTACTAATCCATGTAAGCGAAAGCGATCGTCGCGCGCCTCAACGGTCATTGTCTTAGACACGATGCGCTTGGCAACGTCGGGAGTCTAGTACATACGAATACATGTATCTATTCCGTGCTAAGATGGGATTTCGGACTGCTGCCAATCATCCTCAGCTTTGATGCCAGAAGCACCGATGCCCCAGTCCACGCTTGTTGCTGGGCTGGGGGTTTAGCGAAGCTCTATTGTGCCTAACACCGGGTACATGTAGGGGTGAAGGATCCAATACCTTAACCTCGCTGCTATACGAGTATCAAACGGCCCGTGTCGTCTCGCCTCGTCTGCAACGGAGATGAATGATGTCCAGCCGGAGCATTAGTCATTGTTCACTGACCGAGTAGTACAATCAGCATTTGATCTGATCCCTCCTACTCGAGTCCTTCCAGAGCCTCCATGTCTTGCGCCTCGTCAAGAAATAAGCAACCAACGTTGAACCTTCTTACACTAGCCCCGTGTATCCCATCCCGCCCAATCCCACCCGTGCCTTGTCGTCGTCGTCGGAGCCGTAGACCGAGATACAGCCCGAGCAACTGGCTGCAACCCTCCAGGCATCGAAACCCTGGCCGGCTGGAACCCCGGCAGCCCATCGGAGGAGGCATCGTTTCTGGCCATCTCAATCTCAAACCCCAATCCAGCATCGCCCGCCACCGGTCGTTTATTACGGACCAGCATTCGTTGAGTGGGCGCTGCTAGCGGTTGAGCTGCAGCAGTTAGCGCCCTGTAGGTACCTGGGACTGCACCTGTAGCTACCGCAGAACCCCGCCACCACCAGCAATCCACCACGCTCCACTCGCCTATCCGCAACCCACCACCGCCAGCTCATCGTCACCCGACCTCCGCCCTGCGGGTTGCTGCGATTGATTTCATCGTGTCCCGGACCCGAAGCAAAAGAGACAAAAACCCTCGAGACGAGCGCTCTCGCCACCATTGTCAGCTTCATCCATCCCTCGGCACCTAGCCTGCCAGTTGCACGCCTCTTGTTCGCGTCTCGCCCACGCCCTGCTGGAGGATCCCTTGATCCCTCTCTCTCTCTCCTCAGCTGGTGTCGACATCAGTCTAGCCTCTCTCTCTCTCTCTCTCTCTCTCTCTCTTTTATCAAAATTTCCTTCTTCTTCAGCCGCCTTCTCTGCCGCCCACCTTCTCTTCACATGCTCGAGTAGTAGCAGCTGGACTGGACTGGACTGGACTTGTACGATTCCACTCGACACACTCGACTTTGTGTCTCCCCGCGTCTCCTCCACACCCGCCATTGGATCAAATCTCATCCATCATATCCAGACGTCCATCCGCTAGCTCTGATTCTGATTGATCGACCTCGGACCTGACCGCCCAGCTACACGTGCTCTCCTCGATAAGATTGCCAGCGCATTGGGAGCAGAGCCAGGCTTGCCTCCCATCAACGCGATTGCTGCGTGCACCTCGGACTTTGGATCGACGAACCGAGCAATTCTTTGGCACGCGACAGCTTGCATCTTCCTGCACCCGATTTTGCTGGTGCACTTCTTTTGCACATCCCCCGTCGTCGTTGCAACTCTAGCCAACTCTCGGCTCCAACCGCCGGCTTAGCTCCCAACGGCGCGCTTGCTTGCGCTGCCTTGCCCAACCGCCCGAGCAGAAAAGCTTCGTCCAAGCTTCCTTTCGAATCCGCCCTCGCTTCTTCTCCATCTCCCAAAATATGTCTGGATACCCAGCCTACAACGGCGGCGGCTATGCCGCACCGCCGCAGCAGCAATACCAGCAGCAGGGCGGCTACTATGCGTATGAGATCCTCCCAATGCCCCCTTCCAAACGCTGTCCAACGCTGCCCCGGCGATTGTGCCCCCGAAATCCCCAATCTCTTCCCATGCTCCATCAGACATAGGCACTTCTTGCTTCATCGCTACGCTGGACGTTGATGCTTACACCTTTTGCCTCTCTCCAGGCCTCAGCAGCCCACTTACAACGGCGGCTATCCGCCCCAAGGGCATCAACCGTCTCCCCAGCCCGGCTATGGCTACCACGCTCCTCCCCAACAGCAGTACTCATATCAGGTATGGCCGATGCCCTTGACCCCAGACATACATCGAAAAAAAACACCACGAGATTGCTCAGGATTCTGCACCTGCTTACACGCAATGATGAATGTAGCAACCTCATCCTCAGCAGCATGCCCCTCCCCAGCAGCAATACAACAACTACGCCCAGCAACCTCCTCAGCCCAACTACAACGGACGTCCTACTGGTACGGTGAACGAGAATCTCCTTATCCCAAAGCTGTGTGCTGACATGATACAATAGGCATGCCTGCCCCCGGTCCTGCTGCCCCAAATGGCTATAATCAAGGACGCCCTAGCGGTAATCCTCCGGCCCCTCCGAATGGGCCGCAAAGCTTTGGTCACGGCGCACCAGGCTATGCTTTCCGATACTCCAACTGCACTGGCCGCAGAAAAGCCCTGCTGATTGGTATCAACTACTTTGGCCAGCGTGGCCAGCTGCGAGGCTGCATCAACGATGTCAGAAACATGACGGCCTATTTGGTGGAGCAGTTTGGCTACAAGAGAGAAGACATGGTCATTCTGACTGACGATCAACAAAACCCCATGAGCCAGCCCACGAAGCAAAACATCCTCCGTGCAATGCACTGGCTGGTCAAGGATGCCAGACCCAATGACTCTCTCTTCTTCCACTACTCCGGTAAGTTTCTACCCCTGCTGTGCCCCTCGGCATCTTGCCCGGAGCTTGCAGGCTGACCATTCCTAGGCCACGGTGGGCAAACGAAGGATCTCGACGGCGACGAGCCTGATGGGTATGACGAAGTCATTTACCCGGTTGACTTCAGGCAACATGGGCACATCACAGATGACGAGATGCACCGCATCATGGTCACCCCCCTGCAGGCAGGCGTAAGGCTGACGGCCATCTTCGATTCGTGCCATTCCGGCACGGCGCTCGACCTGCCATACATCTATTCTACGCAAGGTATCCTCAAGGAGCCCAACTTGGCCAAGGAGGCCGGCCAGGGCTTGCTCGGCGTCATTTCCTCGTACAGCCAGGGAGATCTCGGCGGTGTTGCCAACAATATCATCGGATTCTTCAAGAAGGCCACCACTGGCGAAGAAGCCCACAACAGGGCCCTCGCAACCAAGACTTCGCCTGCCGACGTCATCATGTGGTCGGGAAGCAAAGACGACCAAACCTCGTAAGTCGATTGTCTCAACGTCAACCAAACAAATGATAGCTAACCGTGTTTTCTCATCAGGGCCGATGCCACCATTGCTTCACAAGCCACTGGTGCCATGTCCTGGGCGTTTGTCACGGCTCTCAGGAAGAACCCCCAGCAGAGCTACGTACAGCTGCTCAACAGCATCCGAGACGAGCTCGCTACAAAATACACACAAAAGCCGCAGCTCTCCTGCAGCCACCCTCTTAGTAAGTTTCCCTTGCAGATATGTCAGGTAGGGTAGTACTCTTCCTAACATATTTTGCAGATACCAATCTCTTATTTGTCATGTGAAGGATTTTCTTGCCTTTTCTTAACAAAAAATAAAATAAAACGGTTGAGCGGTTCTGTTCACGCGGTTATCATCACTTTTTTGTATATGATCTATATGTAGCCACAGATGATACGACGCTCTGAATAAAGCATGATAGGTGGTTTATCGGATTTGGGATTTGGAAAGTCCAGCTGGTCTCCTTTTTTTTCCTCCCTTGGGGTTTTTTGGTTGATTATTATTATTATTTTATTCTTCTTCGATTTGTCCATGTTTTGTCTCCCTGATTACGGCCGGTCTTTTTTTAAATGGGAATTCACTTTGGAAAAAAAAAATTCTTTTCGGGCTAGCATACGATATATTGAGAACGTGGCAATTTAGCTGGCACAAAATATTGATAAAGAGTTGTTACACTGCAAGACCTCCAGGCGTGTCACTTGTAAATACAATATAGCCATGTACGTGCGTTGAGCTATGTTCCTCGATAGGCTTCTGGGACATGTCACTTTTCGACATCTAGCTACGCATAACATCACAAAGTATTATTATATATGATGATCACCGTAATCAACGAGATAGGAGAACAATATTTATAGGAATGAGCTACATTGAGCTGTTTCAATCAAAGTATTCAAACTGTGTAAAACAAGACCGAAAAAACAAATCCAGTAGTCTTTCCCCTCCCCAACGCCATTGCTAACGTCAGCCCAATCCAACCGGGCGATTCCATCCTTATGCATGCTAAAAAAAAACAAGAGATGATTCTATCCTGTACATAGTTGACCTTCATCACCAATCCATAAAACCGTATCCTTGCAAGCAATTCATGAAAAAAAAAAGAAGTCGTTAGCGTTAGGAATCAGATGACTCTAGGATCAACACCCCCAAAAATAACCATGATTATAATAAAGAAAAGAAGAAGAAAAAAGACAAGAGAATAGAAAGGTATATATGGGTATCTTCTCCTCCCAAAACAACATGGGGAGGTTAGGCATTAGATATGCCACAGACATGTATGGCAAAAACATGTTTTAGTAGAGAGCCTCGACAGGGATGGCGCTGAGAAGCTTCATGCGCTTATCACGACGCTTCTCCCTGATATCCAGGCGGAGCTGTTTGCGAGCATCTTCTTGGGGAGCCCACTTGCGCGCGGCGATGCGCATGCGAGCGATGAAGCGGGCCATGACGAGGAAGGCCTTGAGAGTTGTCGGAGACTGGGTGGGCGAGGGAAGTTCGGGTATGGAAACGGGATGGCGGCTTTGAAGGACGTAGGCGCGGGCCTTTTGTAACTCACGGACTTGAGCTTTGTTACTGTAAAGATGGTCAGCAGATATTCTTACAAGTATCATTAAAAAGGGGGGGATGATGACATACCAGGCCATTGCGACATCGAGCTGCAGCTGAACGAACTTCTTTGCATACGAGACGTCCTTTCGAAGAGCCGCTTCACGCTCCCACCGAGCATGCATAAACTCCATCTGGAGCATCATGTCGCTCGACTTCTGCCTGTGCTGCGCCTCTGTGTTCTCGGCCGCCCTCACGATGGTGTTCAGCACCTCGTCAGCGCTGCCGCGATGGTGACGCTGCCTCTGCACCTCCTGGGCCTCCTTCTTCAGGAGCTGGAGGTCTTTCTGCAGCTTCTCGGCGCTCACGCGATACGCTGCTCGCTCGCTGCGGGTGCGTTCGAGCTTCAGTCGCAAGGCGGCCTCTGATGCGACGAGGTTTTCGATGAGCTTCTCCTGCTGCAAAACGTCGTGCTCGAGGCTTTCAAGCTCAGCTTGGCTCACTCGCAGCTGCTGGCTCTGCTTGTTGGTTTCCGTACGAGATGCAGTGGCCGCATCACGCTCACGCTTGACCTTTTCCAGTTTTTGTACAACGCGCTGCATGGCGAGCTCGTGCTGGGCTGACATTTCCTCGGCATCCTCTTCGGCCTTCTCGAGCAGCTCTTCCATGGCAGACTTTTCGTCCTCGATGTCGATTAGCTTTTGCTGGAGCTGCTTGATGGTCTGCGATGCCTTGTTCTCGGCAGCGCCGCGTATTTCGAGTTCCTCGACCCTGTTGACCTGCGCCTGATAGTCGATCTTCGTCTGGCGCAGTTCATCGCGTACAGTAGATAGCTCACTGCGGATCTGGGTCAAAAGGCCCTGGCGCGTCTCCAACGCTTCCTGAAGACTGTCGATTTGACGATTGAGTACGCCTTCCTCGCTTCGGTGGCGATCAGCTTCGCTTTGCATCACCTCCTGAAGCTTGGTCTCTTTGCTGGATAGAGAGCCCTCAGCTTGGCGTAGACGATCTACTGTACGCTGAAGACCGGCAGCCCTTTGCTCGGCTTGCTCTCGCCTTGATTGGAGCATCCGCTTCTCGGTCTCCCACTCTGTACTGTCGTTATCATACAGGCTGTCTTTTTCCCGAATCACCGCCCTCAGATCCGAGACCTCTGCCTCCAGGTTGGAAATTTCCGTCTTGAGATCCGAAATCTCCGCCTGATGATTCGAGATCTCGTCGTCTAGCCTCTGGATTTCGTCCTCGTACTGGGCTCGTATCTCTTCCTCGGTTTCGCCACTCTTCTTCTTCTCCTCAGCGAGCATCTTCTCCAGGCTGTGAACTTCGGCTTCCAACTTTTGGTGGTCGAGGCCCTTTTTCTTTTCCTCGGAAAGCATCTTTTCCAAACTGTAGACTTCGGCCTCCAATTTTTGGCGCTCAAAATCTTGTTGGCCTTGTCCAAAGACCCCGAAACTGCTGCGCCCAAAGCCGCTCTGCCCAAAGCCGCTGCGTCCAAAAGCATTCTGCCCAAAACCGTTCTTCTGCCCAAAAGCATTTTGCCCAAAGCCGATTTGACCGAAGCCATTCTGTTCAAAGCCGCTGTGCTTCTGTCGTAGCTCTTGCACGGTTGCTTGGAGATTGCTATTGTTAGCTCGGAGATTGTCGTTGGTGGTTTGGAGATTGTCATTGGTATTTTGGAGATTGTTGTTGGTCGCCTGGAGATCCTTGTTGACCGCTTGGAGATTGTCGTTGGCTGCTTGGAGCTTTTCAATTTCCGTAAGCAGTGTTGCGGCCTCTTGCTCAATTGCAGCATACTCTTGTACGGTCGCTTGGAGATTGTTGTTATCCATGGCTAGCTTGGCCGCCTTCTTCTCCAACGCTGCAAACTGGGCCTGAAGTTGAGCGATCCTCTGCTCACGCTGCCGAGATAGCCCTTTGGGAACGAAGGACGTATTCGCCCTCTCTTCTTCGAACTCGTCCAAAACCATTTCTGCCTTTTCCTTTTGGGACAAGGCAGAATGCAGCTTCCTCTTCGTCTCTTCGAGATCGTAGAGCTTGTTCTCTTGGTCTTGGATTATGCGTTGCTTCTCACGGAGCTCGGTTTTGAGTTGTTTGTTATCAAACTGTAGGCTTTGAACTTGACCTTCATGACCTCGTCCCTGAGAAACCTGCAGTTGTAACTCATCTCTCTCAGACTCGACAGCTTGGAGATTCTGTTGCAGTGTATCTACATCTTCTTGGCGCTTTCTCAGTAATGTTTGCTTCTCAATGAGCTTGGTTTCAAGTTCCTCAATCGTGCCCTCTAATTCAGTGATATTGGCGTCGCGATTTTGAAGCTCGGCTTCAAAGTCCTCAATTTTGGCCTCTAGTTCATTGATATTAGTCTCGCGAGCTTGGAGCTCGGCTTGAAGCTCTTCATTATTATCCTGCAACTCTTTGATTCTCTCTTCGCCGTCTTCGCCATGAGAAACTTGGTTTTGAAGTTTATCCATCTCGGACTCGAAGTCCTGGAGTGTCTGTTGTAACGTGTCCAGTCGTTCTTCCTGATCTGTGATTATGACTTCTTTCTCACGGATCTCTGCTTTTAGATCCTCAATCTCGTCTTGCAAGATCTCTACTCTGTCATCCTGATCTTGACCCTCGGAAATCTGGCGCTGCAGTTCCTCAATATCGGTCTCGCGATCTTGGAGATTCTGTCGTAATGTATCCATCTCGGTTTGCGCGTCCCTGGAGTTGGCATGCTTCTTTTTTGCGCTTTCCTCTAACTCTAGCCCTCGGTGGCGAGACTTTTCGAGATCCCGCTCGACAGTGGTGATCTGCTTCTTCAGTCGTTGAAGCTCGCGTTGCATAGTGACCTTTTCCACTTTGAGCTCCGTGTTTTCCTTGAGAGCTGCTTCATTATAGCCAGGGCCTGATTTCATGAGGGCATCATTTAAGAATTGAATTTTCAGCTTGAGACCAAAGTTCTCCTTCTCGATCTTGTCAATGACGTTTTCTTGTTCTCTTAAAGATAGTTGCTTGCCGTCCTGCAGAGGACCCATATCTCCATTCCTGCGCGGCGGGGGGCCTATGGGCGTTGAAGAGATGCTGCTGGCAATTTGTGGTGTTTCGAGGTATGATGCGACGGAAAAGTCCATTCGCGGAAGTGGTGTCATTTCGTCTTCGTCGATTGTCCTCAGCGCAGCCGGAGTGGTGCTTGCGGCGGTATTGTTCTCTTTTCCATTCCTCCTTGTGCTGTTCAATGTAGCGGACTTGAGCATTGGTGTGAATTCTCCGCCTCCAATGTTCGTCGGTAGATTTGGACGATCCACAAGCGGTCCCTTGCGGCGGGGGGTTCTGAAGTTGGAGCGCTTGCCATTGCGGAGTCGCTGTAGCAAATCGTCGTCCTTGTCTGGAGCTATAAACGATGCTTCGGGAGAAATGTCTGAGATATCGGGCAGTCGGCTAAGATACGTCGCGTCGCCGGCATTGCTTCGTGGTGTGTCGAGCACGCCGCCAAAGGCATGATGGGCCATTTTGGCGGCTGGTTATGGAGGAGTCGAGGGATTGTGCGAGTTGGTGGTGGACGTGATTCGAGGCCAAGCCTTATAACGACGCCTGTTGTGTTGTGGGAGGAAGCCAAGTAAGGCGCAAGCTGTAGTAGATCTGCTTGATGAATGATGACTGAATTCGGAGAGCGAAGAAAGGTGTAGAGTAGCGATAACGAATATTTCGAAGAGCGCGCGAGTTGCACAAGTAAATTGGAGGAATTAGACTGAGTTGTGAGACAAGAGTGTGGGATGTTCAAGGCAGGTTTCGCGTGGGAGAGAGGAGGTTAAATATGAATCTGTGCTGGTTGTTTATCGCGTTAGCCTTGTTTACATTCATGCCGAGTTAGGACTAGCGCCACGGAAACCCAGTGTCGACTTTTGGATTTTTCCTTGAAGTATGAGATGAACCTAATTACTTCTCTGAGCTTGGATGAGCTTGAGTTTTGGCAGTATTTTACTTTTTGGCAGTGGGATTCATATGCAAAATATGGTCCCTTGGTATAAACTAAAAAGGCCTGTGAATTTTGGGTCCCTTGTATATCAGAGAGTTATTACTGCTAAGGACGGACTAACAAGGACGTTTCCTGTTACAGGAATTTGTTCATTTACTTGGCACTAACAATTGATGAAAACAAGAGAAAAAAATCATTGAAATACATCATAAAAGTGTTTTGTACTCTTTACTACAGCATCTTGAATATCCTGGACACCTTAGATATGAGTAGAAGGCAGACGTTCAGGGTGTAAAGTCTCTAGCGGCCCAAATGTGTAAGTGCCACCAAACATTTACATGTGGGTACCCTGCGAAGTTGGGCAAAAATGGCGGGGTATCCCCAATAGGGCTTGTACATCAAGATTTTGAACTTTTTGCTACGGAGTATTCGATGACTGTTTTACTTTGGCGATTCAGATAGTGTTTACGTAGATATCAGTATCCATGGAAACTGAGCTCTGACTTTGACCATTTGACGCCTCGTTTATGTTGTAGGAAATCCAAATCCATCCCCTTGAGGACGACGCAAGGACCGGCGTTTATCCGCCATGAACCACCTCTCGCAGTATAAATCGGTTTATCGCACATACTCCCCGATAGATGCATGAACCTCGTTTGCGGGGAAAGGCGGAATGTGGCCAATGGTCAAGGATCCGTCGCAGTGACCGAAATATGCGAGTAATCCGGGCATAAATGCCAGGGTTTGGCCATCCCAATTTGCATCGGTATCTTTTTCAATTACAGAGCAGAGGGCACCGGCGCTCCTCGTTTTCGCATCGATGTTGACGTCCGAGAACCCGCTGTCAACTGTTTCCCTGCCACGATAGAAAGGGCGGCGAGAGGAGCAATTTTGTCTTGAAGGTCGCTGAGACACAACATCTGGGGTCTTGAAAACTTGCATTCATCATCTCACATATTCTGTGGATCGGCCTGCAGCTATGGAGCAGAATCGCAACGATGGCGTCTTATCGCTAGACCAGATGCCCGACGAGATCATCGGCCATCTTCTTTACTATCTCTCGCCTCACGACAACCTTTACAACGTCCAGTTGGTGTCTCATCGCTTCTATCGCCTTGCCAATGAACCCCTTCTATGGAGACACCACTGCCGCAGCTCTTTCAAGTACTGGAACCCGCGGCACAAGTTTCACAAGAGGGCGGCGGCACTGGCTCAAGAGACGGACTGGAAAGAGCTTTTCATCTTCAGAAGCGCTCGCAACCAGCAAGTATCTGCTTTGTTAGATGAGATCATCCGGACCAAGGTCAACCGCGTAAGGGGCTTCGAAATCATAGGCCAGATCGGGTACGATGCCAAAGATTTTCTTCTGGGGCAATGTCAAACATCTCCTTCTGCCGAAGATGGCTTGGCCAGAAGGTACGCTTCTCCGGACTCTGCTGTATCCTGTGACGCCGTTTGGAACCATCTTGCAAACTCACACTGTGGTACAGATACTATAGCAATGCGCTCTTGGACACGATCCACAAACATATTGCTATTCAAGAATGGCAGTCGCTTATGCTGTCTCCCCAGCCGTCTAGCGTACGACTAGCAGGAGAGCAGCTTGAAAGAGCTCTTGGCGCGTTTGACCTATTCGTGCTGCATGATCAGCGTGGTGATCTTGATGATGTATGTCCTCTTGTCTAATGCTTTACCAATGTAACCATTACTAAGTTGATGAGATCACACTGATGTTTGATGAGATTACGGCTTCTTTTCGATCTTCTCATCCAAAGTTTCAAAACTGGTCAACTCGCAGAAAGGCACTGAAGTTGCTCCGCTGGCTTCGCGAACATAATTTCACTGGAGTACAGAATCCAGAGAGGAACTATCGCAACTTGAGAAACTGCTTAATCGGCCAAGCTTTGCGTCATCCAGACCACGAGTCTATTCCGATCATTTCTACCGCCATCTTCTGCTGCGTGGCATCGCGACTCGATATCGATGCCAGGTGCTGCGCGTTTCCAACTCATGTACATGCTATAGTGTACTCGCCAGCTGGACATGCTTTGGATGGTGAAATTGTGGAGGATTTGAAAGCACAGCCTCAGTGCATGTTCCTCGATCCGTATGGGAGCGATTACGAAATTGAATTGCAGTATCTCCAAATGACGTTGACCCGGTTAGGTTTGCGGGAACATGCCGCACTGTTTCTTGCCTCCGTACCAGCATCAACAATGGCTTTGCGGACAGCACAGAATATCAGAGCTACCCTGGCGAGGATATCAGACATGCAAGACCACGCACATCCTGAGCTTAGCCAACTTATGCACGGAGACAGTAGAATGAATGCCGATGCCTGTCTTTACGCTGCTTCGTGGGCTACACTATTGTTGACCCCTCCGAACAACACCACGTGGCTCGAGCGATTGGCGAAATTCCTACGTCGATTCCCCGGGGCCTGGCCCGAGGATGTATGGATGGTTGAAAAGTACCTGTGGCCGCTGTTTAGTAGTGTCGTCAACCCGAGAGACGGATTCCCTCGCAACGTCGACGCTGGTTTTGGCAACCCCTGGCAGTTTTGGCAGTTTGTACGAGATGCTGATGGCATGGCCCCGCTTGTACACCGAAGAGACCTCTGCGATGATCCGAGGGGACCGCCGTTCAAGGTCGGCCAAGTTTTCCGGCATCGCCGATATGGCTGGCTTGGCGCTATTACCAGCTGGCATGAAAGGGGCTCTCAACAAGCAAGCGCACAAGAACAGTCTCGTGAGGATTCACTCCAGTACATTCACAACCCCAGGCCAACCAGCTCTCATTACTCACTCTGCTTTATGTGCATGTAAGTCATTTGGTTTATCCTTCGAGAATCTGTTACTCTTATAATCATCTGCTTACACTTTCACAGAACCGAAACGGAGCCCGAACAACATGTGGTGGCCCTGCGTAATGTCGAACTCGTCTCTGACCCTTCCGTCGTTCAAGAGGGCATGTTTCCCTTGGCCGGGAAGTTCTTCAAGAGATTTGACGCCGATACCTGCAGGTTTATTTCCAATATTCGAGAGGAGTTCCCACTCGATTAGGCTTGAGGCCGAACTTTTCATGCTGGAATGTGTCATGCGCAGACTTTTTTCTCTTCCCATACCCTCTTTTTGTTACAAGATTTATATACCCCTGGATAGGAGTTGCATGACGTGAAGATAGATTGGAGTCAGATTGGTTATTGGAGGCGTATGGTGACGAGTTCGGCGAGCTTCGCTGTTTCTCTTTCTTTTCCTTGGATTCTGGGGTTACTTGCTTCAAAATAGAGATTAGCTGATACCACTTCCTCATCGAAGTGATGGAATACCATTGGATACATTATATACTCATCACATGATACCCATCTGCTTGTGTTTCCTTCTCCCATTTGTACTACTGAATTATTGTAAGCATATCTTAATATGCCTAGAGTTGGCTCGCTGTATGAGTCGATGCAATGCTTGAGACACCCGTCGTCCTTCACTGCCCCTCACCCAATTTCTGCCCGCTTCCCCCCTTTCCCCTTAGTCTATCGTATAGTACTCTCAGGAATTCTCGATAATATCTTCAAGTACGCCTTTCTCGGCGAGTTTCTGCACCCATCTGTGCAAAGCCTGGCCGTAATCCTTTTTGCGATCTTTGACCCGTTGCTCATCTACACCGAGGGAAATCATCTCGGCCCTATGTTCTCCAATGGCGACCTTCAGGTCGACGACGAGTCGCTGATACAGATCATGAGCTTCGTCGAGATTATTCGCAGCGGATGATATTTCGCTCCGTATATCCTTTGGTAACGTTGCGTTCTCGACATCGGATGGCAGGAGATTGAACTCGGACAGATCGGCTGCGTTTTCCAAGACCGGTAATTGGCCGTTGATCAAATCTGCGAATTCTGAATTGTCCTTCATTTGATCTTTCAGGAGGCGGATGGATGCGGCTGCTTGCGTGATGGAGCGAGAATGCAGCGCCACAGGGCGTTGGCAGAGAGCGAGGAGATTGAAGGCTATCTGGCTCTCCTCATATTGCAATATTCGACCCTCAATCTGGGGTCTTGCGATGTTTGTCCAGCAGGTCGCGTGGGCGTCAATTGGGCCTTTTTGAAGGTGAAACGTTAATTAGTTCTTCAAGAGCCTTGGATCTGGCTGCTTCATTGGTTCACTCACCTATTCGATGGGGCTTGCTCCGAAGCCCATCCAGCTCCCAGACGTACCCATCTACTGGAACATAGGCAATAAAATGAAATCCATATGAATCGTCCACCTTTTTCTTCTTACTGGATTTCTTTGCGGCTTTGGACCTTGTCTTTGCCCTTGTCTTTGCCCTTTTAGACTTCTTCTCTGATACGGCATTTTCTAGGCAGAGATCGACATTAAGATGGTCCATGCGCCTGGTAAAGGAATTATGGATGCTTCTCATAAACTTGTTGTTACCGACTTCGTGCCCTCGGAGAACGGTGTTGAGATCCTTGGTTTCCTCCTTGAATTCTCGAAGCTTGTCGCCCAGTTCAATGTTTGGGGCGTTCATGACGATGTTGAGTAAAGCAAATGTAGCACAGGCATTATTAGTCGTCTAAATTGCTTCGAAATGATGGAAATTAGACATGAAATCGCTAAAAAGACAGATAAAACACGGAATTTGGTGGACATTTACCTGGTTGGCGAACCACAGTGAACCTGTCTCATCTCCCCCCTCACCTTCGTCTACATCAGGGGTATACTGGAATAGGAATATCAAGCCGTATATCGGTTTCCTGCAAGCATGTGAGCTTTCTGTTTTTTAATGGTGTTCTTGGAACCCACAGGAGCGTGTCTAGCCAGCTTTGGTCAATGCTGAAGAGTTCTTGCACCTTCACATCTTTAACCCCTAGGTCTTGTAGAATAGTATTGAAGAACGCCTAGGAGCCATCTGTTAGTACTCTGCTTATATGTCTCATCCGGCGAGTGTTTATCACATTATAGCCATGCTGAGAGGTTCCCATCCTTTTCATCGCGTCGGCTGGGAGCAAAGTAAGCGGCCGTAACTCACCGGTTCAGATTCAAGCTCAACCCAGCCCTCCCACTCCTCAATATCCGTTGATGTGAGAGGTCGTAGCGCTTCATCTAACATATTGTCGGGCAAATTCAATGACTCTGTTGCAGCCTCGGCCGCCTTGCGCTTAGGATTTCGTCGTCGTTCGTTCAAGCTACTGGTAGATGAGGTTTCTAGGGATGCTTCTGAAGCTTTGACAGCGTTGGTGGATGCGGCCCGCCGGGAAGATCGGCGAAGAGGCCTTTCAGAAGGCGCATCATCTGTGTCTTTTGGCGAACTGATCCTAACACTATTAGACATGTTTGCTATTCAAGCCAGGATTCTGTGGTGAAGGGATGGGTGAACTAAAGTGTCTTTGAGGTAGTCGAATTTTTTTGGTATACGTAGAGTATAGCGGAGTGTGTGATAGAAACAAAGGATAAGAAGGAATAAGGTGATAGGTATGAGAAGCAAATCCGCAGATTGGGATAAGCCGCCCAGCTGGCTGAGGCAAAGATGAGTGCGCGATAGATTGAGTATGCAAACCAATGTGGTTTCTTTGCCACTTGGAGAGAGCATCCGTTCGTGTCCTGCTATTTGATATAGACAGGCTCCAACAATTTTTTAATTTTTTTTTGATTGATTGGTGTAGATGTTTTGGGATTGCACTAGGTCGGTGTGAAGAAGCAATGAGGCAACGAGGTGAATCTGTTGCTTCAAGACTTGGTGCTGATTCAGGGCATTTACTTGCTGATGACGAACCTGGGTGATAAACTGGTGGCCATGATGAGGATTCACCGGAGGAAAGCCGCATATCCTGGAGGAATTTGGCGTGAGATGATGATGGAACGAGTCTTTTCAGTTGAGTTGCCGTATCGCTCAAATCAACATTGATGGTCCTCTCCGTCACTTTCAGTGTAATGACGGGTACTCGATGCCGATCTTGTAGGTAGTTATGTAGACGAGAGGATTTGTACAAATACGCGTCGTTGGTTATCTTTGAAAGTAGAAATCATTGGACGATCATCACGAGATGCTGATCATGTGCCGCTTTGCTGTGCGTTTGCATAATGAGAGCTACAGAGAAAAAGGATGGAGAGCATCAATTTATTTCAGCCTCGTCGTAGTCCAGAGACCAAGTACATGTACATTCGAGCCGCCTCGTCCATTGAATTATCTTGACAGCAGCACTGGCAGAGAAGCCCGTAGAGTGGCCGGGTGTCGTTTCGCCCAATCAGAGCGCAGCATTCGTCGTGGAAACCCGCTAACCCCGCTGACGGCATCGCTGCTGATTAGCTCCAGGCGCTGCGTTTCAGTGAGCAACAGAAGTCGCGTCTGGACGTGTCGGCATTTCAACCGCCAAAAAAGGGCATCCACTGAAAAATTAGGTAACCTAACTTGGTCCAACCACCAGGCACCCCAAATCTCCAACTCAATTCGCCCAAAGACACGCGACATCAGCGAAACGCCCATTTCGTCTGCTTTTGCTCCCCCGTGCAAAGGCCCTCCGAGTGCGCTGCTGCAGCTACCGATGCCGCTGAGCACAATCTCGCAACACCACGGAATGCGATGAGCGCGACTCATCGCCTGCGGTCTGGGTTCCCAGCAACCCAAACTGCCGCCACCAGACGACGGCTGCAAGACGACAACGAGCCGCCGGCTGATGCCTTTAGCTCAAAACTCGGATTGGACAGAAACCCGAGGCTCCCTTTGGCCCAGGAGAAAGCAGCTCCTCGCATCTCCAACACCCAGCCCGTCATTCCCTTGACGCTCCTCGATGCGCCACAACAGCGATTGTATGCCTTTGCTGTTTACGTCTTGCTGTGGGCGTGGAAACTCTACGACTGGCTACAGGTGGTGGAGGATGGAGATGCCTCGTGGTGGCTCTTCTTGAAATGGATTCTCATCGACTTTGTTTTCCTCTTTGGGCTCCCGGAGCTGAGGATACCATGGCTGGAGCTCTCCCAGCTCGTGGTTACCGCTGTTTTTGCGTCTCACTTAGTAACCAATTACATGCTCATGTTTAACATTCCGGTACGTTTGCCCGCGTCAATTTATCTAGGCGGCATTGCGTTGCTAATTGAGAGCTAGCTCCCATGGCAAGGTTGGCTCCTCGGTGTTGCCAAGGTCCTCTACGATCGTGAGATTTCCGTCTCCGAACACCACGTTAAAGTCTCCAACATCCTCAACAACCACTCGTTGATCATGGGCAAGCAAACCATCAACATTCTTCCCGAAGGCTCTGCCGTTCTCAACCCCGAGCACACACCCTTTTGCTTGTCGGCCAAAACCCAGACCTCGGCTTCTCTTCCAATCTTCTTCAACTCCACCGTCCCTGCCGAAATCGAGATCCTCCGTCTTGATCTGGACACTGGCAAAGAAGAAACCATCAAGATTCCGAATCGAGAAATAAACAAGGTGGCCAAGATCATTCGGGAACATAATGCGGATCCTGATGCTGTCCCGTTTCATTGGTCATACCCAGTCAAGAAGCCGGGCATCTATCGACTGAGCAAGGTTTTGGATGAGTACAAGCTCGAGGTTCAGAGACCAGTCAGGGATACATATGTGGTGCCTTGCCCACAAGCCAAGATTCGAACGGCCGATTCCGCGAACCGATGTATTCGTGATTTGTCCAACCTGTCGCTCGACGTAGTCGGCACACCACCATTGAAGATCAAATATTCGCGATCGATCAACGGGAAAAGCCATGCTTTCCACTTTCAGAGTCTGCAGCCAGAGGGATTCACCTCGCCACTCGTCAGCACCTCCGGCTTGGATCTTAACAACGGCGATGACGTATCCTGGGTCAAGCCCCAACAGGTCACTGTGCAACTTAATGAGTCTATGGCTACCCCTGGAGACTGGGAGTATTCGGTTGAGGAGGTGTATGATGCCCTTGGCAACGTTGTCAAATATGCAGATGCATATGAAGAGCTGGATGCGCTTAAGATGAAATCGCTCACCCAGAGATTCTCTGTCAAAGAGCGACCCAAGATTCGCATGCAGGGTTGTGATTTGAGAAATCCCATCAAGGTGGCAAGGGGTCGTGCAACCAAACTGCCCATCAGCTTTGGCCTCCCCGGTCCTGTGGATGATACTTCTCACAAGGTTACCTGGGAGTTCTCGCCCATCGACTCGATTACAAACAGCGGCGATCACGGTGACCAGGTTTCGATTGGAAAGCACTTTGCCAAGAACTCTCTCGATAAACCGTTGGTGTCAGAGCCTGGCCTCTACACGTTGAAATCAGTTTCAAGCGGATCTTGTGCTGGTGAGGTGGATGAGCCTTCCTCCTGTCTGCTATTGAATCCCCTGGAACCTCATCTGAGTCTGCGAACAGAGGAGATACCTGACAAATGCGCTGGCAACTCTGTTGGTCTCCGCGTTGATTTGGATCTTGTCGGCACACCTCCATTCACCGTGCGGTACGACATCATCTCCGATGGACGTGTTGAAAAGCAGGCCCACCGTGTGGATGCCTTGAGATCTCAGATCGAGCTCGTTCCTCGAAAGGCTGGACGTTACAAGTACATCTTTAAGTCCATCGACGACGATGTCTACACCGGATTACCCCTAACGGGTGACGACAAGGTCCTGGAGCAAGTAGTTAAGCCGGCTGCGTCGGCGTACATCTCCACCCCCGAAAAGACAATCAATGCATGTCTCGAATCTGAAGTGGACGTTGACGTCGTGCTTGCTGGAGACCCGCCGTTCAGTTTGGAATGGGAAATCATCCACGACGGCAAGCGCAAGCCTGGGCGTGCAACGAATATCGAAGATAGTCACTTCAAGATCCAGACATCGACTCTGACAAAGGGTGGAGAATACATTCTGGCTCTCAGCAGCGTCCAGGATCAGCGTGGATGTCGAACTTTCTTGCAAGATCAACTCAAAATCTCTGTGCGTCGCCAGCGACCTCGAGGTGCTTTCGGATTGCTTGAGCAAAAGAACAGCATCATGGCCATTGAAGATACGGCTCTTCGCCTGCCGCTTCGCCTTCAGGGAGAGGCTCCTTGGACTGTCTCCTATCGAAACTTGGACAGGCCGACCGATATCATCGCCAAGACCGTTAACGGACCGAATGATTACCTTTTAGTCAGGTCTCGAGGCACCTACGAGCTTGTTGATATTGTAGACAAGCAATGCCCTGGAACTGTTGAACCCTCAGCCTCCAAGTTTGAAGTCGATTGGTTTCCTCGACCAGAGATTACCATCGTCCCGTCCAATAGCATCAAAGAAGGTGCTGGCGTGTTTGTCAAGCAGGAGATTTGTGAAGGTGATGTCGATGGATTTGAAGTCAAGATGAAAGGTAAGCTCTCCTTTGGCGTCATAGTAGACGGGCCCCGAGTAATGCACAAAATACTGACTTTAGCTATACAGGATCCGCTCCATACCACGTTGAATACGAGATCAGACATAAGCCAGTACAGGGCGCTGCTTCTTTAAGCTCGAGACGTTTCGACGCCGCCTTGTCTAAGGCTGCTGTTGCCATGGACACGTCCAAGGCTGGCGATTACACTTACAAATTCTCTGGATTGGCAGATAATCTCTACAACACAGATAAGCATTTCAACCCCCTGACAGTTCAGCAGCGTGTGAACGCGAAGCCGTCTGCAGCTTTCGCCAAGCCAGGCCAGACGTTCAAATACTGTCTAGAAGAGCAAGAGCAAGAAGACGTGATCCCTATTACTCTCACCGGTGTTCCCCCCTTCAACGTCGAGGTGGAAATCAAGCATCAAGTCGGATCCCCCCCGGAAACCTACAGAATTCCCTCCATCCCAACCAATTCTTATGGCATGTCTATTCCTCGACAGCATCTCCGCCTTGGCAACCAGCAGCTGATCATCCGCACCGTCCGCGATGCCCGAGGCTGCCAGAGGAAGTACGACATTGGCAGCGGGCCATCTATCCAAGTCCAACTGTACGACGCCCCATCAATTTACCCACTGGAGTCTCGCCAGGATTACTGCATCGGCGAGCGTATTGCTTATACCCTTTCTGGCACTCCGCCATTTGACATCGCTTACGACTTCAACGGCCAATGGCATGCAAAGTCACAGAGTACCAGCTTCCGGCGCATTGCTGAGAAGCCTGGTGAGTTTATCATAACTAGCATTTCCGATAAAGCCAGCGAATGCCGTGCCGCTGTCAACATCCCCAGAACCATTCACCCTCTACCTAGCGTGCAGATCAGCCGTGGTAAACACTCTCGAGTGGATATCCACGAAGGAAACGAGGTGGACATTCTCTTTGAATTCTGGGGCACCCCTCCGTTTGAATTCACTTACACGCGGAGCAGCAACGCCAAAAAGGGACAA